AATTCTGAAGGATATGTACAGTTTTAGACATGATGATGCAAAATTTACAGATTATGCTAATATTTTAAGCAGCTAGTTACATCTACCAAGTTTGTGAATTGTGTATGATGGTTTTAAGTGAAGTTTATGTATAAACAAATTTCGAGAGGATCACGTGCTTATGATTGCTAGCAGCTGACCCGCATTATCCAATTCACTACGATCCAATCAGATGACTCCTAAACTACTATAAATACCCTGGGGTTTATTCCATTGCTATCTTCGTTTTGAAGAGTCCCCCCTTCCTCCCCTACGCCTCCTTCTTAGACGGGTGACACGGTGGCCCAGTGCCTAGCACTGTCGCCTCACAGCAAGAATGTCTCTGGTTCCTGGCTTTACCAAAACTAGCAGACATTTCTGTGCGGAGTTTTGCACTTCTCCCCGTGCTCACGTGGGTTTCCCCCGGGTTCCCCGGTTTCCTCCCACCGCCTAAAAACATGCAATTAAGTCAATTGAACAAGCCAAATTGTCAACATAGACACGCTCCTAGTTAGTAATTAGTTTCAAGAGCATTCACTTGCTACAGCGGGGGAGTTCTCGAGATCTACCTGAGCTCAAACTCCCCTCCCGCTTTGCAACGGGAGGGAGCCCTGGGCTCGAGGATCTCATGAGCTCAGGGCTCTCTCCCGGGACAGCATGCCAAACAAGCTTATATTAATCATCAGCTAAGTGTGAACTCTTGAAAGAGGCTAAATTTATTATTGAATAATGATAAATAAAATCTGATGATTATACACTGTAAAAAAATGCATGGATTGAGCACAAAAAAACTTAAGAATTGTGTTGTTTCAGCTCATTTTCAATAAGTAGTCTAAACAAACAGCAAATGTTTTAGTTTTTTTAATATATGTGAGAAGTTGTCAGACCATGTGCAATACTTACCGCTGTCCTGGCCTACAGCGACTGTCACACACATCATGTAGCACTAGCTCTCTTTATCTCAGTGCATTGTGTGCTGCTCAGGCCTGTGTTTTAGATAGACGTCCCGCCCTTAGGCAGAGGTAGGCCAGATAAGGATAAAACACAGACACACTCTCACCCCTAATGCTCAGTTCTCTTGTATGAAGATTTGCTTTATGACTAGACCGACTAATAGACTGGGACAGAGGGCTCAGACTGCCGGGGCCTCTAAAAGAGCATCAGGTCGTGGGTCCTAAGACTGTCAAAGGACGCTGAATACCAGGATTCTTGCACGCATGCAGTTCAAGGTCACTGAGGCCCCTAGATTCTAATATTAGGCATGCGATGTTTATCAAAACATGTTTATTGTTTTTTTTTAAAGAAAGATGGTGGTTTTCAATCCTGGTCTTTAAGACCTTCCCGCTCTGCACATTTTGAATGTTTCTCTTACTGCTTCATATTTTGTTTTAACTGACCAAAAGTGCCTTGCGAAGTGGACCCTAAAATTTTAATTAGCTCATTATTTACTCATTCTCAAATATCTTTTTTAGTCTTCTGTTAAACACAAAAGAAGGTTTTTTAAAGAAAGTTGGAATCCTGTAACCATTCACTGACATCCACAGATAGAAAAACAAGTACTACGCAAGTGAAGGGTATCAGGTTTCCAACATTCTACAAAATATCTTCTTTTGTGTTCAGAGGAACATAGAAGAACGAAATTCAAACCGGTTTGGAACAAGTGGGGGATGAGTAATAGATCACAGAATTTTCTTTTTTGGGTGAACTCGCTCACTGAGCTCACCGAAAGAATGACAATAAACATAATAATAATCAGGCGCCATGGTGGCTCAGTGGTTACTTTTTGAAGTGATCTAAAGTTGGTGCGTTTTGGATATTAAAAAGGAAGTGTGTTCTATATTTTAGGGGCTTTGAATGAACAAGAGACACTAGTGATGTGATTTAATGCCACAACATACACTCACCGGCCACTTTATTAGGTACACCTTAGGCTGTGGCGTTGACATGATTCTCAATTTGTACTAATGCACCCAAAGTGTGCCGAGAAAATATCCCCAACACCATTACACCACCACCATCAGAATCATTGATACAAGGAGGGATCGATCCATGCTGTTGACGCCAAATTCTGAACCTATCATCCCCGAATGTTGCAGCCGAAATGGAGACTCATCAGACCTGGCAACGTTTTTTCAATCTTATATCACGATTTTGGTGAACCTGTGCTTGTAGCCGCAGTTTCCTGTTCTTAGCTGATAGGAGTGTCACTCAGCGTGGTCTGCTGCTGCTGTAGCCCATCTGCCTCAATGTTGGACGTGTTGTGTTTGACGATCTTCTGTATACCTCGGTTATAACATGTGCTTATTTGAGTTACTGTTGCCTTTGTTTCAGCTTAAAACAGTCTGGCCATGCTCCTCTGAACTCTTGCACCCACAGAACTGCCTCTCACTGATATGTTCTCTTTTCCAGACCATTCTCTGTAAACCCTAGAGATGGTTGTGCGTGAAAATCTCAGTAGATCAGCAGTTTCTGAAATACTCAGACCAGCCCGTCTGGCACCAACAACCATGAGACATTCCAAGTCACTTAAATCACCTTTATTCCCTATTCTGATGCTCGGTTTGAACTGCAGCAGATCGTCTTGATCATGTCTACATGCCTAAATGCATTGAGCTGCTGTGAAGTGATTGGCTGATAGGAAATTTGCGCTTAACAAGCAGTTGGACAGGTGTACCTAATAAAGTGGCCGGTGAATGTACTTGTTGTGAGTGTGTCTGCGTGTGATAGGTCACTAGTGTTTCTGAATGTTGAATATAGGTTTTTAAGGAAAGAATTCAGTCATCATTTACTCATCTTCCACTTGTTCCAATCCACTTTGAGTTTCTTCTTTCTACAGCTTCTTTACATACAGTTTGTAGACCTTTTATTGTCATTTAAACTCATTCTGCACTGCACTGATGTACAGTTAAATTAAAAATTCATAAAGCTACTAAATAAGTTTATTTGATCCTGATATCCTTATAAACAGTACAATAATAATTTAAAGGATCAGTATTTATTTTTAGTTTTTATGTCTGAATGAAACTGTGACTATAAAGTTACATGCTTCCAACATTTGATTAAATGGTTGTAAAAGTTGAGTAATAAAATAGTTGCTTAACCTGTTTCCTGAAGAACCACATGTTGTAATGTCACTGTTGTGCAACCTTCTTTAAATGCAACAGACTATATTCATTCATTCATTCATTTTCTTGTCGGCTTAGTCCCTTTATTAATCTGGGGTCGCCACAGCGGAATGAACCGCCAACTTATCCAGCACATTTTTACACAGCGGATACCCTTTCAGCCGCAACCCATCTCTGGGAAACAGATTTTAAAAATGGTCCGGCCCTTCTGGCATTTGCCAGAATTGCCAGATGGCTAATCCCCCCCTGGTTGGCGGGTCAATCTGTGCTTTAAAAACAATCGGTGCAATAAAACACTATTGGTTGGGTTTAGAGAAGGAGGAGGGTTGGTCAGTCGATTAGTCAGTCAGTCAGTCAAGCCTCCTTTCCACTGCACACGACTAACGACAAGCGACAGCCCGGAAGTCATTCATTTCCAATGGACAGCAGTCCGGGAGATGCGTAGAGTTCTGATCATCTCCATATGCAGATAATTCGGATCCGTTGAAATATTTGAACTCCTGCGACTAGAACATATACGACCGACCGAATGTGATGTATTTTAGTGTTGTACAAGCAGTTCTGTGCGCACAAGATGAGAAAGAGTTTATTTGGTTATTTTTTGAATTATAAAAAATCTATATATATAACAAAAAAACATTTCTGTTCATAAATGTAAGTAAGAAAGTAATAAGAATATATATTTTAATGTTGTTTCCACATTCCCTCCAATGTTTTAGCGGTCTATGAGTTTCTACTATTCATTAATTCATTAAACCATGTAAACGCACAGAGAATAATGGCTCTTGCTTTTGCACTCCTTTATTTCAGACACTGACAATCAGCTTCTCTCTCATGGTGCACGACAACACTGAATATACTGTGCGACTGCCGCAAGGGGGCGTATTCCACATCTGTCCAAATGTTGTGTGCAGTGGTAAGGCGGCTTCAGTCAGTCAGTCAGTTAACAGCGGCCTCTGGTGGATTTACGCAAGAAGAGCAGACGCGAATGGCACTCGCAAGAGAAATTTGAGGTCTCAAAAAGCCTACACAGCGGCCTCTGGTGAATTTGTGAAAACAAAAACTGCAAAAAAAAAAAAACAAAACAAAACAAAAACAAAACCCTGGGATGTATTTGGTGCTCTCTAGAAAAATATATAGCAATATGTTTTCAGAATGAGCCTGGGTTCAGATAGTGGAAAGTTACATCATATTAAGCACCTACCAGAATGCTTAACTGATCCCTATTTAAAAATTAGACTAGAAATGTGTTGATACCTGAAAGAAAGAAAGAAAGAAAGAAAAGAAAGAAAGGTAAAATATTGAGTAATATGTAATTTTTTACAAAGTATGTAACTGTTAGCATGATGTGGTAACTTTTTTTCTTGCCCCAAGTCTTCAAAAACCTGTTTGTCTCTATCGACAAAGAATTTGTTTCTCACTCTTCCAAAAACACACTGACTGAAATATCAAGCTTGTATACAAGTTCAGTGTGTCAGAGTGTCTTCAAGAGGAATCGCACTGTGTGGTGACACATGCTCACAGCCAACAAAGCTCACCTTTTGTACATAGGATTAAGGTTGCCATGTAGGTTTCGATAGATTGAATTACTAGCCCATTCTGTCTTTGATTTGGTTGACTACAAACAAACTACTTCCTTAATAAATTCCCAACTGGATCTGTTCCAGATGCATCATCCTGTAGCACTGTCATGTTCAGAGTGGGCTGGATCTATAGTATGCAAATCATACTATAATCGCTCTAAACTTGATGAAAGCAAAGTAGGACTTCCTTGTCACTTGTTTAATCCCGACATCGCAATGCAATTGGTTTAAATTTGCCCAGATGAGACGTGATCCGCGGCACTATTGCCTGACGCTGCTGTCAATCCAGTGTGGGGCGGAGGACGCGAGCCTACCCGACACAGCACCGGAGACACCGGAGCAGAAGTTGATCGGAGGAGCCTTTTATCCTCTCCAGCTTGCTTTGGATTGCTCTTACTTTACGCAGGCTTTCACACCGCTTGCAGAGTCCTCTGTGCGATAATGCCGGACACTAAAAAATACATCGAGAATCTCTCTGGAGCGGGGAAGTGCATCGGCGTCCTGACGAGCGGAGGAGATGCTCAAGGTAAATGATAATTTTTTGTTTTATTAACAACAACAAAGCGATTATATGAGGTCAAAGCTGTTTGTTTGGCAGATTTACCTGTTGTTGTTATATATCTAAAGCGAAACAAGTGCAACAGTTGATAGAAGGCGAGGCAGTTCCGGGCTTTTTAAACTGAGGCTCAAATTACAGTTTTGTAGCTACTCGGACATGCGTTTTAGTTACAAAATAAATTATATATGAGGTTTATCAATTGGTTAAACTGACACACCAGTCATTATTGAATGGGTAAGTTTGTTTACAGATAACCGGAGGAAATGAAAGTTCCATCTCTATCGTCATGACAACGCTCGAGCTGACTGCTACTTCCAAAACAAATGTTATTAAATATTTATGCAATTAGCACATGACGCAGCATTACGCTAAGCCACGTGTTTTATTTTGTCTATGAATTTAAACAGATCAGAATTATGAATTATGCTATAAAAAAGAGAGTTTTCATTCATTTTCCTCACCTGTCCATCTTTGTACGCTTGTCTCTTGATAAGCTTTGCTATGAGTCGTGATGAATGTATGTCATGCTGAAGAATGCGTGCGCGGGTCTACGTGATTGCAGGCAAGTATTAGAGAGACTTCCATGATGCAGCGATCACGTGGGAAAACCCGACGGCATCCCGAGCTTGAGCGGGTAAATGCTGCGGGATGATCATTTCCGTTCATTGGCCCGTATGCTCTTTTTGAAGTGCATCTTTCCGCCGGTTGTTTTCCGCTCTGCGTTGCAATTATCTCAAGTTAAAACTGTCAAGTCTGTATCATCATCGTCATTATCATCATAACAGTTTGTTTACTCTTGAATAGGCTACGTGTGAATCTTTCTGAACTAACTAGCCTATCTATAATAAACAATTAACTAGTTAATGTTTTTTGGTTCCAAGAATGTTCCACTTTAGGATCAAGATAACCTCTTGATAACAAGTAGGTTTCAAGACTTTTGTTCTTTTCTCTCGCTTTTTTTAAACCTTTTTATTTGTTGCTGCCTCTGAATAGCATTAAGGCACACTGAAATACCACTGACAGGGGCAGACTAAGTGATTTGGGGGCCCTAAGCAATTTCAGGTATGGGGCCCTTGCATTGAAACTTAAAACATTCTCTTTCTCTCTATTTTTTTCTCTATAGATTCTTAATTTTTTGTAAATAAATGGCATGTTAAAATATATATTTTAAGTGGAACCTTTATCTTTAAAAAAAGGTTTGAAATTACAATTTTTAAGGCGATGTGGTGGAGCAGCAGGTAACAAGATCTCCTCACAGCAAGAAGGTCACTGGTTCGAGCTCCGGCTGGGTCAGTTGGCATTTCTGTGTGGAGTTTGCATGTTCTCCCTGTGTTTGTGTGAGTTTCCTCCAGGTGCTCCGGTTTCCCCCACAGTCCAAAGACATGCGGTACAGGTGAATTGTGTTAGCCAAATTGTCCATAGTGTGTGTGAATGAGAGTGTATGGATGTTTCCCAGTGATGGGTTGCAGCTGCAAGGGCATCCACTGTGTAAAACATATGCTGGATAAGTTGGCGGTTCATTCTGTTGTGGAAACCCCTGATTAATAAAGGGACTAAGCCGAAAAGAAAATGAATGAATCTCATTGATATCTGTCTAGGGCGACACGGTGGCTCAGTGGTTAGCACTGTTACCTCACAGCAAGAAGGTCATTGGTTCAAATCCCAATTGGACCAGTTGGCATTTTTGTGTGGAGTTTGCTTGTTCTCCCCGTATTGGCGTGGGTTTTCTCTGGGTCCTTCGGTTTCTCCCACAGTCCAAAGACATGCGCTATAGGTGAATTGAATAAACTAAATTGACCTTAGTGTATGAGTGTGAATGTGAGAGTGGGTGTTTCCCAGTTCTGGGTTGAGGCTGCAAGGGCATCCGCTGTGTAAAATATATGCTGGATAAGTTAGTCACGTTCCTGCTGCTCCAATCACCATTCTCCCTCACCATCTTGTTCCCTCAGCTCTAGTCATCGCTCTCCTGCTCCAGCCACCTCCCACCACACCCGTGCACAATCACCAGAATATTAATGAGACACACCTGCACCAGCAATCACAGTCCCCTATTGACCTTATTCTAAAATGCGGAAGTGCGCCTGTTTTCGCGATTGTCTTAGAACTTCCGATTCAGTCGCCTATGTGAGAAATGACTAGGAATAATAAACGGCAGAAAATGGCCAAACTACTTGCTGAACAAACAAATGTTTGCATGACTACACAGACTAAGGAGCATAATATAATAAGAAAATATCAAATTGCAACATCAAGCAGCGTAACGAGCAGTTGTTAACGTCAAAAAATGAATGGAAGTGAATATGACCGGAAGTCGCGAGACAAAAATATTCAAATGGCAGCGCCCGCTCGTCAGCTGAGAATAAGGTGAATAAAGACTCACCATTTCCAGCTGTTCAGCGGCTGGAATCAAAGTCAGATGGTTTTACCTCACCTTCTTCCCTGCTTGTCTTCATCCGTGGATGTTTCCCTTCTCCCGTGGACATTTCTCCTAACCTGTGGAAGAGCATACTGTGATTAAGGGAAGTGACTTTACATTCTGACGGTTGAATGAAGATCCTTGTTTACATCGTGAACTACTCTGAAGACAGCTCACCATCCATGATTATCACTTACCTGCCTTTCCTGTTAAACTATCCACATTGTTTTGAATACGTTGACGAAAAGAGATAACCATCCTTGTCTTCATCGTGTGACCGTGACAGTTGGTGGTTCATTCCGCTGTGGCGATCCCTGATAAATAAGAGACTAAGCCGAAGGAAAATGAAAGAATGATGAATGATATCTGTCTGTCTGTGATAAACTTATTGTAAGTTTATAACCCAAAACTACAAGATACAAAATGTCAATTCAGCAAAACATGAATTAATTAGGCATGATGTTAGCCAGCAGTTGCATGTTTATAACCTGTAATAGATTATATTAATTTTCCAGAGTTCTGTTTTCCACATTTTTTTTCCCAGAGGGATTTTAAAAAGTATTTTGTAAGGGAGCCTTTTTTTCGTTTTCTTTTTGTGAGATGTGCCTTTGCCCCAGTACAGATGAAAGGTTATAGAAATGCTCCAGGATGACACCATGTCTCTTAGCAACGGTTTCCAGGCAGCAGCTCTGCCATCACTATGGGTTAGGCTGGACATAACCTCAGGGGAGCAGATGCTTGATTCAACTTGTCAGGTCACAGCATTAATGGGAGCATAGTGAGCAGAGCGTCCACCATTCATTCCTCTATACACACACACGCATGCTAGCGATGTTGACTGTTTAAAATGAATGTGTCCTGCATCACAATTTCTGAATCTCCAGTCTCTCTTTATTTCTCCTTGCAGGTATGAATGCTGCTGTGAGGGCAGTGGTCAGAATGGGAATCTATGTAGGAGCAAAGGTTTATTTTATCCATGAGGTGATTTTTCTTTTACTTCATCATGTTTCTTGAAACCCCTGTATAATCTCTGAAGGATATTGATATCCAATATGAAGCACCATTTATGTTGTTCCCAAAGGGTGCACATTAAAGCTTGTGACAGAAAAAATAGATGCTCATATAATGGTTGCCTTGGTAAACACTGCAGGATCAATTAATTAAGTCTTTATATTGGAGTAAGCATCTTTTTTTGTCTTGTCAGGGCTACCAGGGCATGGTGGATGGAGGCGATAACATCAAGGAGGCATCATGGGAAAGTGTTTCCAGTATGTTACAAGTGGTAAGCAAAATGTTAACGTTTTAAAGCCTCCTAAGTTTGCAATTTGTAAACTTTGAATTCAGGTTTGCAAATGTGTTTACATTTTTGATGCATGTTTATTATTTTTTAGATCCATGATGTTGTTGATTTATTCCTTATATTTTTTCATCAGAATATTACGTGTGTTTTCAATTTTTATTTATTTATTTATATAGTTTAGGTGGAAATTTAGGCGACACTTACAATGTAAAATAACGCTCCATTAGTTAATAACATAAACAAACAATAAGTAACACAATTGTATGGTATTTATATATTATTAACTCACTGTGTGTTAACTAATGTTAACAAGCACGACTTTGGATTTTAATAATGCATTAGTAAATTTTGAACTATGATAAATAAGTTCTTTACAAGATTATTCATACTTAGTTATCAGTTAATGTTAATAAATACCTAACTAACATTATGGGGCCCTATCATACACCCAGTACAATAAGGCGCAAGATGTGTTTGGTGCGATTTATCGCAATTTTCAGTCTAGCACAACCCTAATTGTCACGTTTTCCGCCACGTTGTCTAAATAACAAATCCATTTGCGTCGTTTTGTGGACTCATGGGTGTTCCGGTTTAGAAAGGAGGTGTGTTAAGGCGCATTGTTGGCACGTTGCTATTTTGAGAAACTAAAATAGACCGTGCCATTGACCAAGTAAAAAGCTGTTCTAAAGTCCATGTTAGTTATGAGCCTATGCAGGATGTACAATGCACAAATATCTTTACATATGAAAAAAATAAGGGACTAAAATGTTACAAAAATTATTATTTTCTACATAAATATAAAAAACATCATGCCTTCTTCATGTTGTTATTTTTTCCAGTTTATTCATGACAATTTGCAGTTGTATAATGTTGTTATTATTTGCAGCATTATTTATTATATGCATATTTATATTTATTTTAATAAAAACTAGTTTAGGTCTGTCCGCCTGTCAGGTTTGGGAGATGTATGCATCCTCATATGGGGCATAAGAATAGGACGCGTGTTTGGATATAACTCAGTTTTTTGACCACACTTCATTATTATTATTATTCATTTATTAATTTGCTGGAAATTAGAACTGAATTTAGAAATTGTTTGAAACAAATCTTTGCGCTTAAAAAGCGAAATTAAATATCTAGGCTGATGGATTTAGTGGAATGCGTACAACACAGTTTCCTTATCCACAAAAGTAAAGGAGTAAAGTAAAAAGTAAAAGTAAAAAGAAAGTAAAGAGGCAAGAATGGAGGAGGCTCGCTGTTTATCCTTGCGCTGCAGATGGTCTGTTTAACTGTTTTCTCTTAGTGAAGCGTTCAGTTTTTCCTCTTACAAAGTCCACCATGTAAATAGCAAATGCACCATGACACGACGCAACTGACTCTTAAAGGGAATGGGAGATAAGACTCTGATTGGCTTATTACACATTTTGTTCTAAACACACCCATAACTCATAAAGAGAATAGGCACAGCCCTGTTAGACCATGCGCCATGCAGCAGAGCGTATTTTTCCATCCGCTTTAGACTTTGCGCCTAGATCATTAAAATAGAGCTCTATGTAATGGACAATTATTTTAAAGTGTTATCAAAAAGTTATCCCATAATTCAGGCTTGAAGCATTCAACACTATTTATTGTTTTCCTAATGTCAGTGGTGGAAAGAGTGCCTAAAAATCATACTCAAGTAAAAAGACTAGTACTTGTCCAAAAATGTAGTGAAGTAGAGTAAAAGTATCTGTTGTAAACATTACTCAAATTATGAGTACAAAGTAGCTCTGTTAAAGGGACACAAGAGTATTGGGTAGTGAGTTTTACACTGTGAAAGGCTGATGCGTTTACATGCAATTTGTCCAAGGATGTGTTAACGTAACATTCTGTAGTGCATTTAGTTATTGTTTAAGGCCAATTCAGTCATCATACAGTAAACATCCGTCATCTTCTCATCAGTGACATGAGGTCTAAACAGTCTTTCGGTCATCATGTGTTAAGATTTTAGACACCTTCTTGGACGCTATTAGTGCTTCCGGATGGTTTGCTGCCTTTATAAATCGCCCTTTTCTTGAGGTAGTTCAGTATGATGCGATTTACTTTCTATGCGATTTAATTGGAATTAATTAGAATCACAGGACTGATTTTTGCTACTCATTTACAGTAATTTTGTTACTTTACACCACTACTTAATGTTACCGTATGTGTTCAGGGTGGCACAGTGATCGGCAGTGCCCGATGTAAGGATTTCCGCACACACGAGGGGCGTTTGTGTGCCGCCCTGAACCTGGTTCAACGTGGTATCACCAACCTGTGTGTGATTGGTGGAGACGGCAGTTTGACCGGTGCTAATCTCTTCAGGGAGGAGTGGAGCGGACTGCTGGATGAGCTTGTCCAATCAGGTAGGATAGTGGGAGGGGCTTTTCCATGTGTTTATGATGCTTTGCATGTATTATAGGATTCATTTCTGCTGTAAGCCATCTATGTCAGTTCCTGGAGGGCCGCAGCTCTGCACAGTTTAGCTCCGAGCTTAATTAAACACACCTGATCAAACTAATTGAGTCCTTTAGGCTTGTTTGAAACCTACAGGTAAGTGTGTTGAAGCAGGGTTGGAACTAAACTGTGCAAGGCTGCGGATCAGTTTGACACCCCTAGTCTTGGAAATGCTTTTTAAAAACGTGCTATCGAAATTCTCCACACAGGTCATCCATCGAATATTAAAAGGCGAGTTATTAGAATGAAGAAAATGGAGAAATGTCACATCCATAATCAATATAATGTTAACATTCTTTCTGTGCGAAGTATGGTTGTGAAATATTACTGCAAATGTCACATCCATAAAGCTGAAATTGCTCTAATGTCATGTTAAAACACTGAGTGTAATGTCATTTTATGAAGGGCAAAGTCAGGGTGTCTGCTGGGTCCTAAAAAGTCTTAAAATGTCCCAAATTTAAAGAACTAAATTTACTGAAATATTATGTTGTAGGTCTTATATCATTTTAAACAGGTCTTATTTTTACTTTATCCAAGTAAAGCTACACAACTGGGTTGACATCCATTCAGTGACCAACAGTGCATCTCAATAAAACCCTATTTTTTTATATTTAGGTTTTTTTTATGCAAAGAGATACAATTCACAACAGCTGTTAGACATTTTTACAGCAAATTCCCCAAATTAAGTTCTCTTTAAGTTAAAAACAATTACACAATTCCTTAATGATAATACTGGGCGATTTGAAAAAGATCCTTAATCTTTAACCCTTTAGAAGTCTTAATGGTCTTAAAAGTCTAAATTTGACATGTTGAAACCTGCAGAAACCCTGAAAGTTCATCAGCTCATATCCCGTTCAGTTTTACTCACGTGTTTATGGATTATGTATGCAACCTTTTTTTTCTTTAAATTATTTGTTTCAGTTCTTTTAAATATCATTTCCCCAAACCAGAATTGTAATCCATAGTTTGAAATGCAGTCATCACATGTGGAAAAAGGTGCATAGAGTAGGTTACGATTTTTAATAATGTTTTTTTATTTTTAGGTCAGATCAGCGAGGATGCTGCCCAAACTCATTCTGCCCTGCATATCGTCGGGATGGTGGGCTCTATAGATAATGATTTCTGTGGGACAGATATGACCATTGGCACTGACTCAGCACTGCACAGGATCATAGAGGTGGTGGACGCTATTATGACCACAGCGCAGAGGTATATGATAACAAACAAACACTAAACTACACAGTTCAAAACTTTACCAATTTTTTAGCAAAGAACTGAGCTTACTTTTCTGTAACATCAACTAGATCATGGATTTGTTTTCCATGAATGGATTTTAAGTTGGAATGAAATTTAAGTTGTTTTGTTAATGGGTCAAAGGGTCAAAGATAAAATATGGATTCACAGCTATGGACTAAATGAGTATTTTTATTAATTAACTTTTTACTCAAACCCCTGGTCTAATGGAACCAGTACTAACTCAAAAGTTGTAAATTAAATAGCCTTAATAAAGCCTTAGTATGACTTTCCGTGTTTTTTTCTTTAGCACTCTTCGAATGTTATCACTTGATCAAGTGGGCATTATCAGTGGTTATCAGCTGATAGATATGGGTCAGTAGGGGCCTTTTGCACCTACTGGTAAGCTCAGAAGGCTGTTAATATTCATTCACATGGTTAATCAGCTATGCTTTTAGATAAGACTTTTTTACATTACTGTGACGGTTGGGTTTAGGGTTGGGGTGAGGATAGACGTTAATAAAATACAATAAATGGTAAATGTAATAAATAATATAAATAATTCTCTTGGTTAATCAGCTACACTAATAGAGATACTCCAGATCGGTTTTTGCATTACTTTGACGGCTTGGTTTAGGGTTGGGGTAGGAGTAGATGTTACTGAAAGACAATTAATGGCAAATTAAATAAATAAGAGAGTCATGGTGGCGCGGTGGGTAGCACATTCACCTCACAGCAGAAAGGTCGCTGGTTTAAGCCTCGGCTGGGTCAGTTGGCATTTCTGTGTGGAGATGCATGTTCTCCCTGTGTTGGTGTGGGTTTCCTCCAGGTGCTCCGGTTTCCCCCAAAGACATGCGCTATTGGTAAAGTGGGTAAGCTAAAGTGGCCATAGTGTATGTATGTGATGTGAATGCAAGAGTGTATGGGTGTTTCCCAGTGTGGGGAAAGGGTGAAAGGGCATCCGGTGCATAAAACATATGCTGATAAGTTGGCGGTTCATTCCGCTGTGGAGACCCCAGATTAATAAAGGGACTAAGCCGATAAGAAAATGAATGAATTTAATAAATAATATAAGCAATTCTCATGGTTAATCAGCTATACTAATAGAGAAGACTCCAGATTCAGATCTGTTTTACATTACTGTGACGGTTGGGTTTAGAGTTGGGGTAGACGTTACTAAAATACAATTAAAGGGAAATTTAATAAATAATATAAATAATTCTTGTTATCTTCCGGCCGCAGCCGTATGTGACCTATAGTTGATTAACCATTTGGATGAATGATAACAGCCTTCTAAGCCTACCTATAGGCACAGAAGGCCCCTACCTGGCCAGTATCTATTAGCTGATAACCACTGATAACGCCCATTCAGTTGAGTGATAACATTCGCATCCGCTGTTTTTTTGACTGTCATAGTAAAATATTTTTAACAAATGTAAAAAGATTTAAAACAAATGCCTTTTATGTTTTATTAAGTTGTCATTTAGTTTATTATTTGTAGAATTACAAGGAAAAATAACGCATTTAATCCATTTTGCAATTAAGCATTTCATATTTAAAATGGTTTATATTAGGGCTGCTCAATATATCATTTCAGCATCGATATTGTAATGTGTGTGTCTACAATAGTCACATCGCAGGATATGCAATGTTGAGCTGGGATTATAGTTGATCAGCACAAAAGTTGAGAATACATGAGAATTGTGGAGCCATTGCAAAGTATAACCATGACAGACTAAAAGCTTATGATTTGCATGTGTTTTAAAAGCATTTCAAGAGAGTTTAAAACATTTGGGCACAAAAAAGTACAATTTCTGTACCTGAATACTGTTTGACCTTCTGGAAAACCATAAAGCACTGTTTGTTTACATTTACATTTAGTCATTTAGCAGACGCTTTTATCCAAAACGACTTACTAATGAGGACAAGGAAGCAATTTACACAACTATAAGAGCAACAATGAATAAGTGCTGTAGACAAGTTTCAGGTGTGTAAAGTCTAAGAAGGAAAGCATTAGTAATGTGAGAATAATTTTTTTTTTTGAGTACAATTAGTGGTATAGCTAGAGAGGCAATTACAGATTAGGAAGTGAAGTGGAGACTAAATAGTTGAGTTTTTAGTCGTTTCTTGAAGACAGCAAGTGACTCTTAAGAAGAGTTTGGTATGTTATGAGCTGTTCAGGATTTTTCGTTTTTCGCCAAATTCTCTCTGCAGCCCGAAGTTTTGAGCGATGCTCACAGAGAACATCCGAGACCCAGGGTGCAGGTGGACTGGCACGAGCTGGCCTGGATGTAAGAGAACATAGTCTGTCTAGACATGATGCTAGTGTGGAGCAGAGTGTATCAGTGGCACTGTTCGTATCAAGTGCAGAGAGTTTTTAAGATGGAGGAAGAGAGTCTGAAACAATAGTGGATAGTCTATTGGGTGAAAGAGAGCGTAGGTTTCTGCGAAAGGCAACCAGTGTTGGAGTGTGTGGCAGCTCAGGAGTAATGTGGATGTTGAGAGACAGAAGGAAATGATCCGATATTTGTAGTGGAGTTACTAGTATTTTATCAGCGAAACAATGTCCCATGTAAATAAGGTCTAGCTGATTACCTGATTTGTGAGTAGAAGAAGTAGGTGCTCTTTTGAGGTCAAAAGAGGCAAGCAGAGTCTGGAAGTCAGCAGTTTGAGGTCTTTTAATGTGAATGTTGAACTCACCTAGCACCAACAAGGGAGTGTCATAATCAGAAAAAGATGAGAGAAGAACATCCAATTCATCTAAGAAGTGACCTAATGAACCCGGTGGGCGGTAGATGACAACCACATTTATGTAGAAGGGGTGGATAATGAAGACTGCATGGAATTCAAAGGAGCTGATTGTTGGCAGGGAGGGTCTCTGAGTGAATTTCCATTCTTTAGAAATCAGTAGTTCAGTCCCACCCTCTCTCCCAGTCTGATGAGGAGTGTGGGAAAAAGAGAAATTAGCAGAAAAAAGAGAAATTAGCAGACTTTCTATGTTTATTTTCTCCTTAAAAAATCAAACCAATCAATCTAAAATAAGGATTTCTTTCCAAATAGAGCTATTCAAGATATCTGGTGATATTGTATCCATATCACAATTTACATTGCAGAGAAACAAATTATCTCAATGTCAGATTTTTCCAATAATATGCAGCCCTTTATATGTAAAATCTCTTATCTATACCGAACATAAATCAGACACCAAAACAAGATGTTTGACTTTGACCCATATGCATATCACATCTATTATACATTCATTTTACACACCTATCAGCTAATAGAAATAAAGCACTTATTCATTTTGTTCATCTTTTAGCCATCAGAGGACCTTTGTGCTGGAGGTTATGGGGAGACACTGTGGGTAAGATCCTCCACAAGAAAGCATGCATTTGCATAATAATTGAAAACCCACAATAAAGTGTGTGTGTGTGTGCGCGTGTGTGTGCGTGTGTGTATGTGTGTGTAGGTATCTAGCATTAGTCAGTGCTCTTGCGTGTGGTGCTGACTGGGTGCTGATTCCAGAACGGCCTCCTAAAGACGGCTGGGAGGAACAGATGTGTCAGAAACTATCAGAGGTAAAACACTCATACACACACTCACACACTCACACAGGCCTGAAGCCAACAACAGTGACACGACTAACCCAGTTACATCATTCAGTATATGAGTCCAGTTGTTTTGGAAGTGCTGTAGTAGGTTATAGTCTAGTTGAGATGTAATTAAAATTCACATCACTGTTTCAAGTGTTGCGTTACTTTCTGCATGGAGATTTGTCACTTTTTTGCATGCACTGAATGTTAAAGGTTTATTAATTTAGACTGGGGGTTATTTAAAGTGACAAGTGAGAGTCATGACATGCATCTATGCTATCAGAGCTGAGAATGCTTGCAGAAGTTTCCAGTGTAATCTAATCAGCAAACACACACACACATGTATATATCAAAGTTTTTGCGTTCCATATAGCAAACAGGATGTGTTACATTTGTTTTTTTAAATAAAAAGTCCTAAAATGTAAACAACTTATAAAAAAAACATCCCATAATGTAAATAAATTGTCATGTAATAAGAATAGGTCAATAACTACTGTAAATTTCAACAAAAATGTCAGAAAGAACCTTATAATTCTAAGTTGACGATGTACATTTGAAACCAGAAGTTTACATACACTGTATAAAAAGGCACATAACCATTTAAAAATAAGTCAGATGTTAATGTGATTAAACTTTTTCTCTTTTAGGTAGGTTAAAATGATCAAATTCGATTATATTGTGCTTAATAGCAGAATAATGTGATTTTTTAAAAAGAAATTATGACCATTCTTGAAAGTAAAGTTTACATACAGTTAGATTATTATGCCTCTGAAAAGCTCAGATGATGGTGTCAAGGTTTTGGAAGTTTCTGATTGGCTAATTGACAACATTTAAGTTAATGGGAGGCACAACTGTAGAATAGTATTTAAGGGAAAGCTCAAACACGCTGCTTCCTTGTGTGACAACATGGAAAAATCAACAAGCCAGACTCAACAAAAAAAGCCAGATTTCAATTCGCTAAATTACACTGGAAAAAAGAATAATTTTGGAGACATGTCCTGTGGTCTGATGGAACTAAGATTGAACTGTTTAGCCATAATGAACAGTGTTACATTTGGAAGACAAAGGGGAAAGCTTACAAGCCTAGAAACACCATCCCAACTGTGTAGTATGGGGGCGGCAGCATCATTCCACTTCACAGCATAGATGGCATCATGAAGAAAGAACATTATGTAGAAATACTGAAGCAAAATCTCAAGACATTAAAAATTAAAACTTGGCCTCAAATGGGTCTTCCAAACAGACCATGACCCCAAGCATACTGCTAAATTAGTTAAAATGTGCCTTAAGGACAAAAGAGTGAATGTTTTGGAGTGGCCATCACAAAGCCCTGATGTCAATCCTATAGAAAATTTGTCGGCAGAGTTGAAAAAGCTTGTGCGAGCAAGACAGCCAACAAATCTGACTCAGTTACACCAATTCTGTCAGGAGGAATGGGACGAAATTCCTTCAAACTATTGTGAGAAGCTTGTGGAAGGATACCCAAAACATTTGACCAAAATTAAATAGTGTAAAAGCAAAGTTTAAAAAATTAAATTTGGACTATCTAGAAATTATAACAAATTCTCAAAAATAAAATAAAATAGTAAACATTTAGTATGATTTACCATCAGACATTTTTTTAAAAAAATGGTTATGTTACTTTTTTTTAGAGTGTATGTAAACTGCTGGTTTCAACTGTATGTATATATATATATATATATGTATGTATGTGTATGTATTTATTTATTTATTTATTTATTCATTTATTTACTTTTTCAAATAATTCTCAAGTGACATTTAATATTATTTTATATTTACAAATATTTTTGTCAAGTGAATCATGCTATCTGATATTTAGATTATTTAACAGCTGATGTTTTTGCTTATTGTTAGCATTACAATAAGTAGTCCAAAGACATGCGGTATGGGTGAATTGGCTAAGCTAAATGGTCCATAGATTGTGTATGGGTATTTCCCAATACTGGGTTGCAGCTGGAAGGGCATTCGCTGCGTAAAACATTTGCTGAAATAGTTGGTGGTTCATTCCGCTGTGGCGATCTCTGAAATAGAGAAAAAGCCAAAGGAAAATGAATGAACCCTATCCATAACGAAATCAGTTGTTTCCAATACCACGTGGGCCTAGTTCAGGGGTGGCCAACCCTGTTCCTGGAGATCCACCTTTCTGCAGATTTCAGTTGCAACCCATATCAAACACACCTGCCTGTAATTATCACATGGTGTTCAGGTCCTAATTAATTGGTTCAGGTGTGTTTGATATGGGTAGCAACTGAAATCTGCAGGAAGGTGGCTCTCCAGGAACAGAGTTGGCCACCTCTGCCCTAGTTTATAAATCTAAGTATGATTTTTAACAGTTTACATTTACAATGACACAGGGCATGTCCTCATAAACCAGCTCAACACTGTAATACAAAGGTCATACCCAAGTCATTGTAAAAATTTGTCCTCATAAATCCACAAAATCAACACACAGACATGCACACAGAGCTTGTTTCAGTCCTCCAGTGTTTGTCCTGCAGAGCCGTTTGCGAGGTTCTCGTCTTAATATAATCATAGTGGCTGAAGGAGCCACAGACAGACACGGAAACCCCATCAGCTCACATCAAGTGAAGGACGTGAGTATCTCCTGCTTTTTTCTCATTCGTTTGGATGTGTGTATGGATGTGTGTGTGTGTGTGTGTGTGTGTGTGTGTGTGTGTGTGCACGCACGCTTTTTCTCCCTTGTAGAATCGTGCTGATAAGAAACGGCTTAATATCATCATAGTAGCTGAAGGTGCGATAGACCAAAACAACAAGCCCATAACCACAGACCATATAAAGGACGTGAGTAATGCACGACTGGGGGACTTTTTTGTGCTTTAAATAAGTGACTGAGTTCCTTCTCTTAAACTACACTGTAAAAAATGTGAAGACAAAAAGTCGACAACAAATATTTTTATGTTGCTTTATTTTATTTTAATAAGTTTATTAGGTTTCCACTCAATTGTTTTAAAATTATACAAGGTTTAACTTATTATTTTTAGTCAGTTTGATTGATTTAAGTTGAGATTGATTAGAAAATAAAAATTAATTTACAGAACAATTTAAGGCAGCAAGAACCTTTTTTTACAGTGTACTTTTTTACTTTCACTATCCTAGTTTTGTTATATAAGTGGTAACAAATCTCAAATTCAGATTTGAGTTTTTGTGTAAATAACGTTTGTTGTGTGTTTGCCTGTGGTATTTTCCCCTCATTTATTGCATTATTTGTAATAGTTGTAACTGGTGTGTGATTTACTTTTAGATTTGTCTCTCACATCTTGCATGTCTGTGGTTATGTTTATGTGCTTGCTTTTAGAACAGTCCAGTCCTATTAAAATAGAGCTCTGTTTATTAATGTGAATTCATGGAGGAGTTTATAAGTTGGTTTAAAAGTTCAGTCCTTTATTAATGATAAGTCAATGTACACTACTGTTTAAATGTGTGGGTTTAGCTTTTTTACTGAATATTTTATCCAACAAGGTTGCATTAAATTGGTCAAAAATGATGGTTATGGTTATTACAGGTAACTAAATGTGTTTAAAAATGTTTTAGTACTTAAAATAAAATAAACATTATTTAAAATTAAAAGATTTTTACCAAAGGAACAATTTATTGGACCTTAAAACTAATAGAAATGATCTATTTGCAACAATTTGACAAAAACAACACAGATATAAAGTGCCTAATTTTTTATATTTTTATATATTTTAAAGAATGTTAGAAATATATTCATTCATTCATTTTCTTTTTGGCTTAGTCTTTTTATTAATCAGGGGTTGCCACAGCGGAATAAACTGCCAACTTATCCAGCATATGTATTTACACAGCGGATGCGCTTCCAGCTGCTATTAAACACTGGGAAACACTCATTAACTCTTGCATTCACACACATAGACTGGGGCGAATTTAGCTTATTCAGTTCTCCTGCATCGCATGTCTTTGGACTGTGGGGTAAACCGGAGCACCCCCACGCGAACACGGGGAGAACACAAACTCCACACAGGCTCGAACCAGCGACCTTCTTGCTGTGAGGCAATCGTGCTACTACCCACTGTACCAGCGTCACGCTGTTAGAAGTGTATATAATATTATATTTATATGTACTGTATATTTTTATATTTATATATCTTTATATTTTTAATTTATTCAATAATTTTTTTTCATCGCCACAGTGGAATGAACCACCAACTATTTTGGCATTTGTTTTTTCAAAGACTATAGAATACACCAGACTTGTCACTCGGATAGTTTTAAATGGGTAAAAGTGTAACAGTCAATATGGCAAACGAAGCCCCGCCTACTAGTACAGGAGCCAATCATTGATCGCTATAGACTGAGGATTGAGGTGCTTTTTCTGTTGTAAACAAACCCACTGGAATTTCAACGTATACTTGCTTCACAGACATAAGAAATATATCTAGATAAAGCTTGACGTCTGTACTTTTAAATGAACCAACTACACTTAAAAACAAAAGTTTTCTGGTTTTGTATTCTGCATAAAAGGAACGTGAGGTAAAGTTCATCGTGTCAAACACACATCATATGACAGCAGCAACTACTCAAACACCCACAAACTTGTAAACAAAGAGTCGCTGTCATTTCTGGAGGAGATTCACCATCAAGATCAAGTTGTGAATTACTTGAATTATTGTGAATTATTAGAAGAGCAGCGTGGTCAGACGATCATTATCCAGAGGATGATAATGTGTAGAATAGCCATAAATGAGGTTTGCTGCGTGATCTTGTTTCTTTCGATTGCGCAACCTGAAAAAATGCTAATTTTGTTTGATTCAAATGTTTAGAGACGAAAGTTATGAGACGGTTGTTGTTTAATTTTAATAGTGATTCCAAATCCGTATTGTAATCGTAAGCTTGGCAAACAGTTTTGGAGAATTTGATGTTTCCCCATTCAGACAGAATGCCCGAGCATACTGCCGAAGAGGCGTTTCAAAGATGGCTGCCAAGTGAAATGATTTCCTGCCACAACCCAGTACTAGAAAACTATTTTTAAATTATTATTATTATTATTATTATTATTATTATTGCTATAATTTAAATAATATCTACTAAACTTTACATTTACAAAGAATTCAAAAAAAATCTGTAGTATTACTCATGTACAATACAGATGTCATATTGAATGATCATGTTACACTGAATAATGGAAAAATTATTCTAAATGTTTGCTCTTATAAAAATAATTTTTAAAATATATGACAATAAAATATTTAATTTTAGAAGTATTTTAGTATAAAATTAGGGTGGCAAAGTTGCTCAGTGGTTAGCACTGTTGCCTCATAGCAAGAAGGTCGCTAGTTCAAGTCCCGACTGTGTCAGTTGGCGTTTCTGTGTGGAGTTACATGCTCTTCCCATGTTCGCGTGGTTCCTGGTGCTTTGGTTTTCCACACAGTCAAAAGACATGAGCTATAGGTGAATTGAATAAACTAAATTGACCATAGTGTATGAGTGTGTGAATGAGGAAGTGTATGGGTTTCCCAGTACTGGGTTGCGGCAACAAGGGCATCCGCTGCTTAAAACATGCCGGAATAGTTAGCGGTTCCTTCTGCTGTGGCGACCCCTGATAAAAAAAGGAATTAGGCTGAGGGAAAATGAATGAATGAATATAAAATTGTTGATCATTTCACAATATTACAGTAGTTATAATCAAATAAATGCATCCTTGTTGAGCTCAACAGACTTCCTTCTTATTTGAAACTTCTGAATAGTAGTGTATTAATTAATAATAATAATAATATAAATAAAAATAATAATATTTACACGTGAATTTCTGTGACTTTTATATTATGTAAAGACTCTGTCGAATCTCTCCTGCAGCTGGTCGTGAGCCGGTTGGGGTTTGACACTCGGGTCACCATTCTGGGCCACGTCCAGAGAGGAGGAACCCCCTCTGCCTTTGACCGGATTCTGGTATAAATCCCAACTGTATTTAAATGATCTGAACTTTTACATTGACCCCTGTTTGTTGACTGTGGTGTGCATTTCCTCCACAGGCCAGTCGCATGGGAGTGGAGGCCGTTTTGGCTCTTCTCGAAGCGTCTCCTGGTACTCCAGCATGTGTGGTGTCTCTGTGTGGAAATCAGGCGGTCAGGGTCCCTCTGATGGAGTGCGTTCAGATGGTGAGAAATGGATGCTGTTTGCCTTTAAAAGTGTTTCATTATTATTCGTTTTTGGAGATTACCTACATTGTAGGGCTTAAAGTCTGCATGAACTGGAAGCTTTTTTGCTATTGTATTGCAGCTCCTAGAGAAACAGAATATTAAATGAGAAAACAGTGGGCGTGGCTTGTTTTTTTTACTGTGAGCTAATTGGATGTAGTAAAGTAGGCATTCCATTCAAAAAGATCGGGAAAAGGGTTTCAGGAGAGTTTTTACAATGTAACAGACACCTCCTGCTCACCAGTTCTGTTTGTTGTCAAAACAGAGTTGGAGGGACATGGTTAAGTGTGTTAGCTACGCCCAATAAGATAGAATAGAATTTTACTGAAAACAAACTGGAAGTGGATTTTCAAATTCCAATTATTGATTATAAGGGCAAACTATTTTTTTTTCTTTAAGACAAGCTAGGGCTGGGCGGGACAGTATATTGGGTTCTGGGAATATATTGATATGATTCCCCAAAGCAATGCGGTATTATCCAATATCATTCACGTGCGCATTCTGCGCGAAACAGACCAATCCAAGGAAACACGTGAGCTCAACTTGCACAAATGTACGCATTCGCAAATGAATGATTCACTCCATGAATCATACAAAAGATTTGTTCAAAATGCCATCTCTGACGCTACATGGAGGAACATTATTTATTTATTTATTTTTTATTTATTTATATTTTATTAGAACGTTCAACAAGAATACAAAAACCTACAGAAATTGTACAAATCCTATATCAACAAAAGTAGACAACGGAACAAAACAAAACAGAGAAACAAAAGATTATACCTGGGGGAATATGAATTACAAAAATCAATTTAAATCTATCCTAAAGCAAGGTCACAGTGATGTTTAAACGGTCACATACAATGCAGTCCACTGGATATTATGAAAAAGAGACAATACTGTAAGATTCACACAGTGTTACTGATTTTAAAGCTTTGACATTGCTAGAGGTAGAGATTGTTATTAAATAATATTTCAGATCTAAAATAAGAAAAAGGGGCTTTACAGGAACATGCAGTGGGCAGGCAGTGCCGGTGTTGTATCGAGATCTGCCTCCCTGGACAAATCTGGCTCCCCCTCGCGTGCACGCATGTCACATAGTGCCTGCAGCTGTCACATCGGTTTATGTGAAACCTTTTATGAATCATTTCTTCCGCAATTGACAGTAAGAACGAACATAGAAGCCTTTTTAAATTGACAAGCAGCACCTGAATGTGTTCAAAAGAATTAAAAACACCAAGATGGGAGGAATTTATATCACTATTCTAAAGTGAAACCACCTCATATTCACTGATTATAAGTTTAGTATTTATTACACAACGGTCTCTTCTTTACATTTACGTTATCACACATTTAGCTCTGCGTTCTGCTCTGTTATAATGACTGTTTACATTTATATGCTTCACCAGCATTTTATCACAGAACTCTGAAACTATTTGGTTACTTTTCATATCTATAGTCTATTCGTTTTCATCTCCTTATTTAATATTTAGTAAAACAAGTTTAGTCAAAACAAAAGAAAAGGTGTTGGAGTTTTTTACATGGAGTGAAAGACTTCTCTTTAGATATCTTTGATATGTGCACTGCTTAATTACTGTGCACAATACATACATGTAATTGTGTAACTAAAAACATATACAGCTGATTAAATTGTTTATTTATAAATCACACAACTGTGCTACACAGGAGTACTTATAACAACACTGTAATTGTGACATAAAATACTGTGTTTCAAATTTACATTCAATGTGGTTCTTTTCTATCCTACAATACTTCTTGTTGTGTTACTATTTAAGTGTGCCCCTTTTTTGCTCTGACAATGTTGCTGTTTTCTTTAGTTTACTTTGTTATTTGCACAACAGAACAGTAGTGCACAGTGTTTTATTTATACAATGCAATTATATAGTTAAATATTAAATATTACTTATCAAAGATTTTGTTTATAATTTGAAATGTTCTGCAACAGTTTTAAGTAAGAGAAAACCTGTACTGTGTTTTATTTATCAAATATTTTGCACAGCTGTTTTTTTTTGTGCAGCTGTTTATTTGTAAAAACAGGGAGGAAAACCCCTGTGTTTGAATTATAATTTGCTCAAAAAACGTTTAATAATGTTTTAATAAAGGCTTTAACTCTTGAGTAACCATTTATGGAAAAATACCAGATATATATCGTATACTGTCATTCCTTCTAAAAATACCGGGATATGATATTTTGCCCATATCGTCCAGCCCTATGACATGCACAGATTATATGTTAGTAATGTGAGCTCATATGGTTAGTTATGATTTCATTCGTACTTTAATAGGATAGTTCACCTACAAATCTAAATTCTGTCACCATTTACTCACACTTCACTTGTTCAAAACCTATTTGAGTTTCTTTCTTCAGTTAAGCACAAAATAAGTTATTTTGAAAAATGCTGGTTGATGCTACTCATTGACTTCCACAGTCATTTATTTTCTATGGGTACCAACAACCAGCATTCTGTGAAATAACTTCTTTTAAGAAAAAGATAATAAATGTGTAAAAACTATGATAGAAAGCACATTTACCTAATGAATTCCAGCATGTGGCTCAAAAAAGGCATGTGATTTTGTTTGCCACAGTGCTTTCATTGTGTTTTGTTTTTGTCTTTTGAGGCGGAAGTAATTTCTTATATAAGAGTAAAGGGGCACAGTTTCTATCACAGCAAACTCCTTTTTTCCTTTTGATATTTGCTGCCAGTTAATCAGAAAGTGATGATTTTGTTCTCTTTGACTTGCATTGGATGGAAACGCTGCTTTATTAGTAAAGGTTTTATGCAGCATTCAAGTTTTGCAGTCCTATTTGCATATTTAGATGAAAAAATAGACATTGTTACTGTTCAAATCCCTTTGTTAACAAAAGCTGAGAAAACCTTTCGAGCTAAAATTCAGATTTTGTAATTGTTACATCCTTTGAATGTATTAATTATAATTGTTTATTTATTGTGTGTTTCCTGCCTAGAGGGTAGAAGGGGGAGGGGGGTATTGACCTGTTGTTTGATGTGAGATGTTTATTGAGCACAATCCAACTTCAGTCTTTTGAAGAACTTTGTTGTTTACCTTGTGTTGTTGAACTTGAAGGCAGTGCGTCTACTTTCATTGTTATGGTGTTTAAAAGGTAATTGTCTTGTTTCTTTGTTTGATTTAAACTTGATTTACAAAAGGAAGCCGTAAGGAGAGGGTGCCATTTTTATTTTTGTTCTAGATTGTCTCTGTGTATTCTTAGTAAGGGAGTCGAGGAAAGCTTTTGTTGTTTATTTCTTTTCTTTTACCTGGATAGGTTATTTAGTACTCCTCCTAAGCTAGTTCCTGATTTGTTTGTTGTTTTGGTTTATGCTTACTGCTTCCCATTTTTAACTATTTATAAGAAAATAAATTAAGTTTACTCATCTTGTGGTTGTTTCACATTTCTAAGGACTGCAGTAATTCCTCAGTTTTGCTTATTATCTAACCTTTGTCTAATTTGTTAGTTTTATTTTTGTTGTTGTTCCCCTAAAGTGCAAATAGTAGCTAATTATGTTACTTCCATTCTCAAACCCTAGACGAAAGAGGAAGGAACATAAAAGTAATAGACATATGGGCTGTTTTTCAATATGCGTTCTTCAGCAATCTTGCGTCCTCGTCTTCTCGTCTCATGTCAAATGCCAAAGTTTAGTTCCAAAACTCAAGGCCGCAGGAATGGAGGATGTGTGAAATTTCCCACATGTATTCTTAATATCGAGGATGCGTGGATGCAGACTTGAGCGGAAAACTTGCTTGAGAAGTCACAGAAGTCATTGTGGCTGAATAAAGGAGGTGGGAAGTGCAGCCTTTTATACTCGTTTATTATTAAAGTTCAGAGACTTCAGAGAAAACTTATTTGTCTCAGGAGTTTCCCTAAAAAAGACGTGAATTTAGACATTCACATCAAAATCTCAATGAAGGCATATACACATTGAGAGTGCTTATTTGCTTAAATTCTTATTAAAATGTGTTTTATTTATATTGTGCAAAGTATATTAGTAAGATTTTGTGCATGTTTGTGCAATATATATATATATATATATATATATATATATATATATATATATATTGAAAAGGGGAAAACAATAAATTGTTGTATAAATGCTGTAATGTTTAAATAATTTATAAAAAATAATTCCGAGGTGACCTGGCAAGAACTATCTTCACCAGAATGCAAGTTCGTTCTCTGCTTTCTTGGAATTGAGAAACAGCCTGAAGGCTGATTTATACTTCTGCGTCAAGCGCACGCATATGCTACGGTGCGGCCAGAGACTGTGTGTGTGGTCACGTGATGTGCGTTTCAGTGTTTTGGTGTAGACGGAACCTCTAAAAAAATGTAACTACACGTTGCAACAATGCGTAGCGCAAGCTCTGTGATTGGTCGGCTTGGTAGCGCTGACAAGTCGGCGGGGCAGAGAGCCGCGCAAGCCCGATGAAGCGAAAGTGTTATTGCACAACAACAGAAATTTATAGTTCTATATTTGTATATTTATACATGGTTCTACTTCTGCGTCAAGTGATTGTGCATTTATACTTCTGTGCGCTGGTTCTGTTGTTCTGCAATAACACTTCCAAACCACTAGTTGGCAGTGAGGTGTTAATGTTCCTCTGTGTCGAGTTTTTTCGCTGGTGTTTTGTTTTTCCTGTATGCTCCCTTTATGTCAACGCGTAGGCTGCGCCGTAGCATACTCATGCGCTTGACACAGAAGTATACATCAGCCTTAAATGCACAGCTACGCTCGTTGCATGTGCCGTGGGTTTTGACGATCACTTGACGCAGAAGTTTAAACCAGGCTTTTGTTTCTGACACATGCAAGCTGCCAACCAATCAAAACACACTGGGTCATGATCTTACAGAAAGACGGGTTTAGAGAGAGCAGATTTTTGAACAAACCATTTCAGACACTGTGAAAAAAGAGCTGATGAAGCAGTTTATGTTATGATCAAATCAAAATTTGGGGGAACTTTGGATAGATACATCTTTTGGATGTAAACATCTTAAAAATAGCATCATTGAGGCACTGTAAAAGCCAGTCCTGTATCTTTTGTTTACTGTAAAGTTGGTTCAGTCTTATGAGTGTTTGGTAGACAGATTTAACGTCTGCTTTAGAGTTTTCAGCTTGTTTGTTTGTTGTATTGCAGACTCAGGAGGTTCAAAAGGCCATGGATGAAAAGAGATTCGAAGAAGCCGTGAAGCTGCGTGGCAGGTAAACCACAAAATCCTTTTCTTTTTAAGCAGCAGATACATTTATTTATGTATTCTGTTTTTTTTACATTTACTTTTGTAATTATTATTATTGTCATTATTAAGTGACATATCATTTAACATTAACAGGGGTCGCCACAGCTGAATGAACCACCCATTATTCTGTTATTTATTTGTTTTTACTATTTTTTATTATCTTGTTCTTGTTACAAAAATTGAAAAGATAATGTAGAAATTCTTTCACTTTGTCTGCCATTACAAGCATGTATAAAACAGTATTATGAATTAACCATTTACTTAATTCATGCTCTTTATCACTAAAGGAAATGTCTGAATGGTCTGTTTTTTGTTTCTTCTAATTGTAGAAGTTTCGAAAACAACCTGAACACCTACAAACTCTTGTCTCACCGCAAAATTGACACAGAGCTTCCACATGTAAGTCTGTTGTGATGTTCAAGGCATGTCTGCTCTGATTCAGCTTCTTTCTGTGAAGTGTGTTCTCACAGCTCAGTTGTCACACAACTCATTTATTTTCTTCTTTGGCAATGATGGTGGAGAGCAGGATGGCCAGTGTCGTGTATGTATAAGTTTTGTAGAAGTAGAATATGATAATATAGTGCTTATCGCCTGAGTTCCTGAAGCTTCCCATTTTTTGTCCCCAGAGGCATTTTATTTATTTATTCCAAGTTTTAAATACAATATATTTCTGATTGGAGTGTTTTTATTGCTAAATATTTCTTGTCGGCCTAGTCCCTTTATTAATCTGGGGTTCCCACAGCAGAATGAACTGCCAACTTATCCAGCACATGCTTTACGCAGCGGATGCCCTTCCAGCCACAACCCATCACTGGGAAACATCTGCACACTCATTCACACTCACGCACTACGGACAATTTAGCCTACCCAATTCACCTGTACCGCATGTCTTTGGACTGTGGGAAAAACCGGAGCACCCGGAGGAAACCCACGCGAATGCAGGGAGAACATGCAAACTCCACACAGAAACGCCAACTGACCCAGCCGAGGCTCGAACCAGCGACTTTCTTGCTGTGAGGCGACAGCACCACCTAGTGCGCCACTGCGTCGCCCATTGTCAATGTAGTGCAAAGTAACACAATAGTAACAAACAGGGGTGCGTTTCCCAAACAACGACGTAACTCTCGGCTGAATTATCATGGTACAGTGCAGCGCTTAGAAAAAGAATGATGTAGTGACGAGTGTTTCCCAAAACCTGTAGTTTCTCTGTTGCTCTAAACTGGGTGAAGTCACTACTTTAGAGAAAAACCCATAATTTCTTTGTGAAAGAAAATCCAATATTAGGTTGGTAAAAACATACAATCGCTTTCCATATTAACTGAAATATATGTAAATGGCACATAGGGCCTGTGTTTGCTTTACTAATATTATTGAGAAGTTGAACATTACATAGTCTATTTCAAAACATATCACTTACAAAAGCTAACACGTATTCTAATATCATATAAATCATTTAAATAAATAAATAATGAGGCTATTTGTTATAAAATGAAATTTAATATTTATTATTTATTAGAAATAAAAAAATCATACTTTAATATTAATGATGATTATGATAATAATAATAATAATAATAATAATAACTATTATTATTATTATTATTAAGTAGGATATTGTTTTATTTATTTATAAATATTTTTTTAATTTTCAGAGCGTTCTAACGAGAAGGCCCATGTCATACAGTACAGATACTTAATAAATAACCCACTATAAATGAAAAGAATTAATGTATGCTTTTTGTTTTTACTTTGGAGACATATCATAAATTCCGCTTTTAAATAATGGGTCACCTATAGCTTTCGCAATGAGGCTGAGTTCAAAATGACATCAATGTTTTCAAAGTGCACTGCGAAGGGAGCGCAACTGTAAACGTAAGGATCGCTAAAACTGAACTGTAAAAATAGTTTGAAAGCAAAATACACCAGTGAAATGCTTTGAATGTTAGAATGTTCTAAAGGAATAGGGCATAGGGGGGATAAGTGGGAATAGTGCGCAGCCAGGAACTATGTTTCTAACTACAGCTCTAGAGATGTAGTTGCGGGTGCTCAAGTTTGTGAAGCAGTTTGCGATTGTTTGTTGGAGCGATGGATTTGGGAAACAGCAAATCAACTTACTATGTTTGTGACGACAGAACTTGCGACCTTAGTTGGCTAATGATGGTTTTGGGAAACGCACCTCTGAGCAGCGTCACATGACTCCACACACGGTAAGGAGAGTAATTTACAAAATCGACCTGGAAAAATTAGATCGATTAATGATTTTGAATGTCGATTTCCATTACTTTTCGATTAATCGCCCAGCCCTACTATCTAGTGTATTATTTACTAGCTATCTGAGAGAGTACAACAGGGTATGATTTCACTGCAGCATTAAAAAAAAATCAAGAAGTGATAACATTCATAATGTAGTATTGTCCCCGTTCACATGGATCTCTTATAACAGCTACTAGACTTTTATTATTTTTACACAGAGATGATAATTATATTGTGTTCGAAACACATAAAGCTTTCAGTTTTTTTTTTTTCTGAAAATGCTGTCATGTAAATACCCTTGAGTCCATCTGTGCAGCACTGAAATCACTCAGCAGATCCTTTACCAGACCTCGCACTGACCCTATAGACTAGAACTTAGTAGCGTAGAGAATAAAAACAGATTAAATCTTGCATATTATTTGTATTTTTATGCAAGTGAAGAAAGCTTAAAGGCATAATTGACTCAAAAATGTAAAATATGCCATTATTTACTCGCCTTCCAGTTGTTTCACACCTTTTCTGTCGTTGAACACAAAGGAAGATGTTTTGAAGAATGTTGGAAAACCTGCAACCATTGACTTCCATAGTAGGAAAAAAATGACTATGTAAGTAAATGGTTACAGGTTTCTACCATTCATCAAAATATCTTCCTATGTGTATAACAGAAGAAAGAAACAGACACAGGTTTGCGACAATTGAAGGGAGATTAAATAATGACAGAATTTTCACTTTTTTGGGTGAACTATTCCTTTCAATCACTAGCACAAGAGCATAGTCATGCATTACAAGGATTTACTCACAACAGCAGTTTAATCCAGGATTTTGCTCAGTTGTTTTTGTTTCGCACAAGATTAGATTAACACTGAATTGTACTATAAACATTTGTGGGTAACAGCAGGGCACAGATGCTTTGAGAACAGTAAGACTTACGATATTATAATAGCACCTCTCTTCTCTTCGGTCCTCTAGAGTTCGTTTAATGTGGCCGTGTTGAATGTTGGCGCTCCTGCGGCTGGTATGAATGCTGCCGTGCGCTCAGCAGTTAGAGTCGGCATCACTGAAGGACACACCATGTTTGCTGTGAGCGACGGGTTTGAGGGCTTCTACAAAGGACAGGTAATGCAGTAGTAGGTAATCGCAGAAGCAGACCTTTGGCCTTTTTATTGATGATCTTTCAGCATTCACAGTTAAAGCAAAATGATTCGCCCTTTTGTGAATTTTCTTTTTCTTTTTTATATTTCCCAAATGATGTTTAACAGAGCAAGGAATTTCTCACAGTATTTCCTATAATATTTTTTCTTCTGGAGAAAGTCTGATTTGTTTATTTTGGCTAGAATAAAAGCAGTTTTTAATGAAAAAAAATGTTACGGTCAATAATATTAGCCCTCTTAAGCAATATTTTTTCTGAATGTCGACAGAACAAAACACCGTTATACAATGACTTGCCTAATTACCCTAACCTGCCTAGATAACCTAGTTAAGCCTTTTAATGTCACTTTAATCTGAATACTAGTATCTTTACATATCTAGTAAAATATTATTTACTTTCATCATGGCAAAAATGATGAAAAAAGAAGTCAGTTATAAGAAATTAGTTATTAAAACTATTAAGATTAGATATATGTTAAAATTGAGGAAAAATATTCAGTTGGGCTAATAATTCTGATTTCAACTGTATTTAATACTTTCATTGGTCTGCATAAATGACTACACACACTTTTGCCAGTGAATATATCCAATATAGTTTGGTGTATTTAAACCAAACACACCAAACCATATTTATCCATTAAAATGAGATTCATTAACTTCTTGGTACACCTAACATTTAACATTCTGAACACCTAACATTTAACACCGAACTTTCTACTTCAAAGAGTAGAAAGATAATACAGTGTATCCGGAAGGTATTCATACTGTAGCTCTTCACTTTTTTCTCACTTTTCATGTTACAGCCTTATTCCAAAAATGATTAAATTCATTAATTTCCTCTAAATTCTCCACAGAATAGCCCATAATGACAATGTGAAAAAGAGTTTTTGAAATTGTTGCAAATTTATAAAAAAATTAAAAACCTGAAAAATCACCTGTACATCAGTATTGACAGCCTTTGCCATCAAGCTCTGAATTGAGCTCAGTTACATTCTGTTTCACTGATCATTCTTGAGATGTTTCAGCAGCTTCATTGGAGTTCACCTGTGGTAAATTCAGTTGATTGGACATGATTTGAAAAGGCATACACCTGTCTATATAAGGTCCCAGGGTTGACAGTGCATGTCAAAACACAAACCAAGCATGAAGACAAAGGAATTGTCTGTAGACCCCCAAGACAGGATTGTCTTGAGGCACAAGGCTGGGGAAGGTTACAGAAAAATTTATGCTGCTCTGAAAGTTCAAATGAGCACAGTGGCCTCCATCATCCATAAGTGGAAGATGTTTGGAACCATCAGGACTCTTCCTAGATCTAAGCTGAGTGATCTGGCGAGAAACACCTAAGCCAGCTCTATCCCTACAGTGAAGCATGGTGGTGGCAGCATCATGCTGTGGGAATGTTTTTCAGCAGCAGGAACTGGAAGACTAGTCAGGATAGAGGGCAACATGAATGCAGTAATGTAAAGAGACATCCTGAATGAAAACCTTGACCTCAGACTGGGGCAATGGTTCATCTTCCAGCAGGACAATGACAGCAGCACACCGCCAAAATATCGATGAAGTGGCTTCACAACAACTTCTGAAATAAGACTGTAACATAAAAAAATGTAGAAAAATGAAGCGCTATGAAGACTTTCCAGATGCACTGTATAAAAGTTTGATCAATAAAGTAAATGTTTTGACATTATTTCCTTTTCAACCAGCAATTTTGCCACTAATAATGTTTTGAAAGCTTGGTTACTAAAAGACAAAGCATCAGTAACAAAAACATGACTTTTTGATTGTTTAAGATGTTAATTGTTTTCAAATACAGTTCATTATTCAAGATGTGATGGAAATGTCGATATATTTTCATTTAAACAAATCAAACATCTGGTAGCAACCCTGTTCTGTGAGAAACACTGCATGGACAGTAGTGTGTGTGTGTGTGTGAATTGGTCCTTTTCCTAATGAGATAAACCCTCATGATTACAGTAAGCCCATTATTCCCTCCCACAATCCCCTGCTGCATTGTGCTCAGTGCCATATTTAACCCAGTGTAACATTTCAGATGCACTCAATGCTGCTTTCATCATTCAGAGGAAGCGCCTTTGAAAATACATGTTTGCCATTTCAGTGCACATTTTGAACATTCAATGGGACTAAAGCAGTTTTACAAGCTTTCTTTGTGTGTAGACGTTGCGGTGGGCTTCAAAATCACAGGGATTTGGGTCCTGTTTTAATATCGGGAAATTTTTAAAAAGACTTGTTGGGTTAATGTCACTCCAATATGACAGTGGACACACAATACACACAGGTCTGTCCAAACAGCTTACAAAAGTTGATTTTCATCATAGGTGCCCTCTAACTCTGTTAGTATCAGTGATCATACTTTTATTTTGCAGTGTAAAGGAGTTCAAATTCAAGCAAACGTTCACACTGTATTCTGTTTTTTTAATGTTTTTTTTTCTCTCAGATAAAAGAAATCAAGTGGGGGGATGTTGGGGGCTGGACGGGGCAGGGCGGGTCCCTGCTAGGAACAAAACGGTAAGGTTACACTTCAGGTCTATTGTCAACAAAAGTGTGTTTGTGCATTGTATTAGATGTTTTCTGATACCCTGAAGTGTCATTTTTCAGAACCCTCCCAGCAAAACATGTGGATAAAATTGCAGAGCAGATGAGGATTCACAACATAAACGCTTTACTGGTTATTGGGGGATTTGAGGTATGCGTTATGATGTTAACAGTATTCACCTACATATAAATTAGTAAAATATGATGTACTACTGAAAAAAAGGCCAGCCAACTCAGTTTCCCAGACGTATTTATTAGGATCACACTTCATTATGTATCATTTTATATTTGTTATATTGAATTTTATTTACAAGTAAAAAACAATAATTCATAATATTTCGTTTTACTGCCAAAAAAGTATTTTCTATAAGAATATAATATTTAATTATTATAAAGTGTGACATATCCCTGTTTTAAAAGTTATTTTAACAAAATCTATCTTACAGATTTACAATTGTATTATAATCTTACCAATGCTACCATTTAAAAATTTGGGGTTAGTAGGTTTGTAAAGGTAAAAGAAAATTTACATCATGACATACACACACACACACACACACACACACACATGCAGCTATTGTTATGGGTACTTCCCATTGACATAATTTTTATACTGTAAAGACTTTATATTCTATATTCTCACATTATCAACACACTTTATTCTGTAAGATTTATATGCCATTTTTATCATGGGAACTAAAAAATGCCCCTGTAAGGTAAAAAAATCACTGGTATTTCTATACTTGTGGGGACATTCCGTACAATGTAAAAAATACAAGGTACACACACATGCACATAATTGTTCCTGAAAATTACACTTTGAATAAGATGAGTAATTAAATATATATATACAGTGTGTGTGTGTATATATATATATATATATATATATATATATATATATATTTAAACAGAAAGTATTGCAATACTATGCCACACTAGTACTGATTTAATAAAAATAAAGATCTGACCAACCTCAACATTTTAAATAGTAGCTTAAAACACCAGGAAACAAACAAAAATGATGTCTAAGGGTAATCAGTACAATCATTAACTGTACATACTGAAATATTAATGTAGCATAAATGCCTTTCTTCAATATGAAGACACATTATCTTTTCTAATCTGACTTCATTTTTATATTGACAAAATCAAAAATATTTTGTTATTGTGTTATTTTATTACATTATAAATAATATATTAACAAATACTTAATATTTATCTCAATTATTCTGCATTGTATCGATTATGAGGTGTAGTTTACTAGTTTTATGGAGAGTAAGAGTGGGTATAAACTAGGGCTGTGCGATATGGGTAAAAAAATAAACTTCTCTTGATTTTCCAGAGCAATATTGCGATTTTAATTTTAATCACGTTACAGTGTTTATGTACAGTGTGAAACATTTTTTCAACGGAAAATAATTAGATCTTCATCAAAGACCTGTAGCATGTCTCTAAAACAGACACAAGGCAAAATGTAAAATAAAGTTCACCTAGCAAAGGTGTAATAAATTAGCTCTAGAACAGACCTATGGCAAAACAAATAAACAAACTAATGTGTGTGTGCGCGCGCTGTCAAACTTAAGGAAGGCTCCGGAGTTCTGCTTGACCACATAGCAGAAGCAGTTGCGTGTACTTTTCAACGTGTCCACAGATTTTTTTGCCACGCAAAGCTCATAGACCTCTTTGTGACGCTGTTGTAGGCCGTTCACATATGACATATTTTACATGCACAAGTCTGTTATTTGCAATATTTCTTAATAATTTCCATATTGAGAGCAACACGTTCGCGTATTCCAGGTGCTCCCAGTTGAAAACATCTCTTTTCAGACAAACTTTAAATATAACTTTTCAGAATGGCACACCGAGAGTCACGTAACAAGAACTGACCGATCAGCGTCATACTTTGTATGGAATATACACACATCGGTAGATTAATTACCTCAGACAAACACAGGATACCCAAACACCCAGCTCTTTTTAATTTTCTCCATAAATAAAACGTGTATCAAAGCTGCAGCAATGTTTTGTTAGTTTGTCATCCTTTAGGAAAACGGAAGCGGCGTGCCTCGCGCTTTCCACACGCTTTTAAGGGTGTTTCACACCTACACTTTTGTTTCGGAGCCTGTCTTGTTTGCCCAGTTTGCGCGGGATGTTTGGCATAGGTAAATCCAGCAATCGCGCTCGGATCCAGTCCAAAACAATCGATCTGAGATCGCCTGAATGAGGTGGTCTCGGCTTGATTGAAACGAACTCTGGAGCGGATCGATTGTAGTGAGAAAACAATACAATCTGAGCCCGGCTATATCCCAGAGTTTTATGGTTATGTAATAGGTATACTGCTATAGGAAGAAAGAATTATGAGTAGTGCGGGACGTCATTCCAAATATCCCGGAAGTTTTGTGAGTCTCCCACAAATGCACAGAGACTCGCGCATCTCCCTCCTGGTCCTCAAATACATCGCGCACCCTTTCCACCCCTCCCACCAAATCTGTCCTCGCTCTTCAGACACGTCATGCGCAACCTTTCAAACACCACGACACCCCACCCCCGACAGCTGAGCGGGACTAAACCATGAAACTCTGACCGATGTAAGAACAGTTTACTCACACTTGACTTGTTTTAGCTCTGTTGGTCTGTTTAGAAACTTTTCCGTGTGAAAACGAACCGCACCAAGAACAAAGAGCAACATTGTAACAATTTTAATCCCTGTTTCGGAACAAATGAATCGATTCACAGGTGTGAAAGCACCCTAATGGCCTACTCACACTATGCCATCCGTACCGTGCCCAGGCCCGTTTCCTGGATCGTTTGAGAAATGTGAGTGCGCTGTATCGGGCTCAAGCACGGTTCACTTAGCCGGCCCTGGCCTGGTTGGAAGAGGTGTTCCTGAGCACGGTTCACTTGGGCTTTGGCGCGGTACGCTTGTGTGTGAGTGCAAAACGTGCCAAAGCCCGAAACTTAAAGCGAGACGTGACTTTTAAGGGACTGTTTCATATGGATTTATTAATCATTCTTACTGTTCTGTGAACCCAAACTGCCGTTGTTTATTAAAGACAAGAACTCCTCACAGCGCGCCTTCAGCAGACCTCCTCAATCCTGCAGCTCGAGGACTTTATGATTGTTTATGAGCGCCCAAAGTGGCGGATCTGTTCAGCGAAATATCTGACTGCGTGTCCCCGCATCCCTAAGGACTCTTTGGCGAAATATTTGACTGCCTGTCACTGCATAACAAATGACTGAAACGATATAACTAGAGAAATCTCCACTGTGCTGCTGAGTAAGAGAGCGCTTCTCACTGAACAGCACAGCAGCGATGACGTAAGCGTGCCGAGGCCTGTTTGTGGTGTGAGTGCGGGCCGTCGGGGGAGACAAGCGTGCTTTGGCCCGGTTCGAGGCAACTGTACCCAGTGTGAGTACAGCCTGAGACGCAATATATAAAGGACTTACAAATTACCTGGTTCTGCAATACATCAGCCTTCCTGTTTCCAAAGTAATCCCACACCACAATTGTTGACTTTTTTTTTTGGCACCAAGGCAAGTCCTTTTTAGATGAACTTCATCTTCATCTGTTTATGAAGCCTATTCAGTTTCCTGTTCTCATGCTTTGTTTAGGCGCGCTGCATTATGATTGGTTCAAATATATACAGAGGGAAAATCGTGCTTTAAGGCGATTTAGAAATTGTACATGTCCAAATCATGATTTCGATACAATTTCTATTAATCGCACAGCCCTAGTTTAAATTACATACTTTTTATTTTAAACATTGAACATTTAAACCTTTGTCAATTTGGATTACAGTTTAACAAAAAAAAAACAAGAATAATATCTAGACTCAATAATGATAATAATAATAATATAAACTTTGAAAGAAAAATAAATAAATAATAATAAATAATACAGCAACAATATATTTAGTCACCTTAGAATTATAAGGTTCTATCTGACATTTTTGTCAAAATTGAGTTATTGACATATTCTTATTAAATGACAACTTATTTACATTATAGGATGTTTTTTTAATACGTTTTTAACATTTTAGGACTTTTTATTTTAAAAGGGTTAGGTTTAGGGTTTATGTTAGGCACATACTGTTTGCTATGGAATGCAAAAACTTAAAAGATCAGATTGCAGATAGAACCTTATAATTCTAAGGTGACGTTTTGTCTAATCTACAGTTAAAGTCGAAGTTATTCGCTTTCCTGTGAAACATTTGCCAAATGATGTTTAACAGAGCAAGGAATTTTTAACAGTATTTCTTATAATATTGTTTCTTCTGGAGAAAGTCTTACTTGTTTTATTTCAGCTAGAATAAAAACCATTGCCCATTTTAAGATCAATATTATTAGTCTAATTACCCTAACTTGCCTAATTAACCTAGTTTACGCCTTTAAATGTCACTTTAAGCTGAATACTAGTACCTTGGAAGTATCTACTAACATATTATGCACTGTCTTATGGCAAAGAAAAAAGAAATCAGTTATTAGAAATGAATCATTATGACTATATAACTTATGTTTAGAAGTGTGAAGAATAGAATAGAAATAACAAACAGAAATTGGGAAAAATATACAGAGGGGCTAATAATTCAGCAGGGCTACTAATTCTCTATTCAACTGTAAATACTTTTAATGTTCATCAATTCAACAAAAGGGTTGCCATCTAGAACTGAGACACTCAATAATGACTTATTTTGTTCTGTGCACTACTAAAAGAGATACAGGTTTCTCCTGCCGTTTCACAGTCTACATAACCTCTTCCAGTTCCTCTTTCCCTCATTATCACAGTGGGCACAGCTCTCTGCCCATTACCCATAATCCTGCTCAGTGACCCATAAGTCCTTACTCTGACCGCAGGCATATTTGGGTCTGATGGAGCTCCAAGCAGCTCGCTCCAAACACGCAGAGCTATGTGTGCCGATGGTGATGGTCCCGGCCACTGTGTCCAACAATATTCCCGGCTCAGACCTGAGCATCGGGGCAGACACGGCCATCAACGCCATCACAGACGTAAGACCGCACACACACTCGTTCCCGAGAGTGTGTGTGTGTGTGAGGGTTTTTATGTGTGTGGGCATGGATATCTGTTTGTCAAGAGCACTGGAGATACACTGAAAGGTCAGAGCTGATGACGGTCAGCCTCTCTGATGGAGAAGCACACACACACTGAATGCTGGCAGTGTGAGACTCAGGTTAGAGACTCTCATGTGTTTTTAGATGCACAGTTAGAAGTGTAGAGGTGTGGTAGAGACCAGACATATGCTTATATGTTAAGGTTACAGCCATTTACACATACAGACATCTGATACATATGCCAACTATATACAGTATATGACATACAAGTTCATATTTGGATTTTGCATGTAAAAAATATGCAACATATATTTTGAAATACTGCAAGTAATGGCCCTTATATGTATATATTTTTTCTAACCTTCGGAATATCAATTATGTACACATATATTCAAATATATTAGCAATAATGTTATATATGTGTTTATATAGCTTTAACCCTCACTGGCCACTTTATTAGGTACACCTGTCCAACTACTTGTTAACGCAAGTTCCTAATCAGCCAATCACATGGGACCACCTCAATGCATTTAGGCATGTAGACATGCTGCAGTTCAAACCGAGCAACAGAATGGGGAAGAAAAGTGATTTAAGTGACTTTTAATGTGGCTAGAATTTGCACAGGCTCACCAAAAGAAGACAAGAAGAAAGGATTAAGGCAGTTTTGAAAAAAGTGGGTCCAACCTGGTACTAGTAAGGAGTACCTTATAAAGTGGCCGGTGAGTGTATAATCATATGTAATATATATGTACTTATTCAAGTGATTGAAAAATATAGAAGCAAGCAGCCAATTTTGCAATATTTCCATGTATCAGATTTCTATGCGGATAGATTTTAGACCCAGTAATTTATTTTGTTGCTTTATTTTATTTTTTATTTTTTTAAGGACACAGTAATGTTAAAAGTTTCTTTGATAATCCAATTTTACAAATGCTTACAAACTGTCTGCAAATAATATTGAATAAATGTCTAGTTTTAACGTTGAAAGAATTCAATAGAATTTTCTTGTAAAACCTAATCCAAAATAAGCTTTGGAAATTAGGATGATTTCACTCTGTACTTTACATTTACAACCATTTTTAAAATGTAAAGTTAAATATCAAAATTGTAAGATAAACTCAAAATTGTTAAATGTAAATGTATTATGTTTCTTGTTGCAGATATTGTAAAATTAAATTAAAACTGTAAGATATAAACTCTTATGAAAAAGCTCATAACTTCCCCAGAGATGGGCTGCGGATGGAAGGACGTTGCGTAAAACATAAGCTGGAAAAGTTGGCGGTTCCTTCCACTGTGGTGACCCCGGATTAATAAAGGGACTAAGCCAGGGGTGGCCAACCCTGTTCCTGGAGAGCCACTTTCCTGCAGATTGCAATTGCAACCCATATCAAACACACCTGCCTGTAATTATCACGGGGTGTGAAGTAATTGATTCAGGTGTGTTTGATATGTGTAGCAACTGAAATCTGCTGGAAGGTGGCTCTCCAGGAACAGGGTTGGCCACCCCTGAACTAAGCCAAAAAGAAAATGAATGAATGAATGAAAAAGCTCATATCAGTGAAACAATTTTAATGTACACAATAAAAGTGCAATTTAATTAAAGTTTCTTGCCCTTGATGTTATTGTCATAATGCATGTATTTTACCTAAACATTATGTAGAAGTTTCTATATTACCTTAATAAATATATCTTAAATTGTCAATTGAATCATTTATATCATTTAAATAAACAGTTAATGTTATGTTAGTCAAATATTATTATTAATATTACTATTAAAATATTACTCAAATTACTTAAAACTAAAACTACTATTATTATTGTATAATTGAAGTTGAACGCAATAATTTCTAGTGAGTTTTTCCTTTATTCCCTTAATTCCCTTGCACATTTAGTTACTTATCTAAAGTGCATGTAAGTTTACTTTACACACTGCTTATAATGTAGTTTGAGGAAGTAGAGCTGCATCGAGAACTGTCATGTTTGTGAGGTTGACCGTCAGCACAGTATGACTGAATCAGTGTGTCTGGAGATAAACGCATGTGGTCACAGCACAACCTGTCGTCTGCATCACTATGTGTGTGTGCTTGCACCTTCTGTGTGTGTGTGCTTACATAGCAGGCCTGGTCCAACTCAAGCACAATCAAATACACATGGATTATGCTTGATTATAATCCATGTGCTGCAGAAACATCTTAAAGTTTCCTATTTCGTTTATATAAAGTATACATACCTTTACGAAATAATTGGAATCCAACAAAAATAAATACTGCAAGACAGCACAACAACTAAAATAGTGAAATCTGATTTCATGGTGACCTGAAGTTGTATCTATCCAACTTGTTTGTAGCATAATAATTGTAATGTAATGCAATAAATGCAAACAATCAAATGTGAGTGCAACTAACTGCATGCTGTTTTGGGCCCGGCCTGACGTCCAGTGTGTCCCTGTCTTCATGCATGTGCTCTTCTGTGCTGTCGAGGGTTTGGTTGTGCTGCGTTTAGTCTGGTTGTGCAGTTGTGGTTCAGCTGCTCACGTTTCAGGTCATTCTGTGGCATTTCAAAAGTCAGCGTTTAGTGAACACCACGCCCACATCACAAGCTGGAGCTCCACCTGCTGGTCAAACACGTGTATGATCTCAGCGTCTTAAAAGGATAGTTCACCCAAAAATGAAATATGCTCTCTATTTACTCCACCTCAAGTGCTTCCAAACCTTTATGGGTTTCTTTCTTTTATAAAAGAAGATATTTAAAGAAAGCTGAAAACCTGTAACCATTGACTTCCAAGAGGAAAAACTATGGAAGTCCATGGGAACAAGTTTCCAACATTCCAACCAATGAAGGATGAGTAAATGATGACAGAATATTGATTATTGGGTGAACTATCCCTTTAACATTTCCCCATCCACTCAAACAGAAAGGAGAAATTACTCCAACAGCCTATGTAGTGTGCACTAGTAAGTGAGCGCTAGTCCTAACCCATGCTCGTGCTGCAGGCGTTTGAGAGTTTGCTGCAGCTGGTGGACGCCCGCAGCAGGTATGAGGAGTTCTGCGTGCCCCTGTGCATGCTGCCCGCCACCATCAGTAATAATGTGTCCGGCACTGACCTCAGCATCGGCGCTGACACCTCACTCAATGCCATAGTGGAGGTAAGACACCACCCTCAGCCTCGCCAGCGCTTACATGGAGACTTACAGCAGCTTACATTGGACAATCATTGATCAGGCTGTGTTTGTAAAGGTGCACTAAGTTACTTTTGCTAAATCGGAGTCTTGGGCTGTGTCACAAACCCACTAATTAATTTCATGGTTTCAGACAAGTTTATTGTCATTTTTAGTAAAAAAAAAAAAAAAAAAAAAAAAAAAGGAAAACTTCAGCAACACTTGTAATAAAGGAGAACATTTTAATGAAATAAAACAAACGGCTTTATTTATTTTCATTAACATTTTCTCCTTTATTACAAGTGTTTCTGGAGATTTTGTACTATATTTGCATTTTGTCTATGCACCTTGTATAGTAGTTGAGTGCTCCAGAGCTTCCCTTACATGGTCATTTTACCTTCAGAAGAGTTAAGAAATATAAATAAACCTGATTTTCTTATTTGCTATTATGACCTAAGGTTGTTTTATGCATAAGATAACTAAATAGAATCTAAATCAGGGAAGGGCAAACTTGATCATTGAGGGCTGGTGTATGTGCAGGGTTTTGCTTTAGCACTAATCAAACAAACTAATCCGTGTCTTTAGGATCACTAGAAAGCTACAGGCAGGTGTGTTTGATTAGTGTTGGAGCAAAACTGTGCAGGACACCGGCCCTCCAGGATCAAGTTTGCCCATGCCAGATCTAAATATTTCAAACATATGAAGAAAATTTGAGAATTAAAAATGGATTTAATCTAAAATTATTAAATTTATATATCATAAAATGTGTACAGACATACACAGACACACTCACACGTAATGTGTAATAAAAAAATACACAATTTTGCAACATATACATATAAAGCTGAGATTACACTAGAGTTTGAGCAATGGAAATTCTGTAGTACGGCACTGCGAAAAGGGGCGGGATTAAACAAGATGATTAGACATTAAAAAAAGTGAGCGATTGGTCCATATTCAAAATTTTTGTCCAGCGAGGTCATATTTTGATCCTTGATTGGTCTCATACAGTCAAGTGATGCAGTTTCGCAAATCAGAGTTCACCAAGCATGAACTTTCCAATGCAGCGAACTGCAAAACTTGCACACGAGCTTGCGTTTCCGGTCTGATGCATTCACGTGTGTATGAATGGAAGTCTATGGGGAGAAAAGTGCAGTGTGACCGTGGCTTAAATATGATTTAAGAATCTTGTAAAAAAAAAAAAAAAAGTGTATATGTGTAAATGTTTGTATTGGGGTTTCTGTGACAATGTAGACTTTTTAATTTTTATTTAATTTTAAAAGAGTATTTTTATTTATTTTTATTTTTTAACATTCTAAGTGCACTTTTACAAATTTAGAATAAATACTAAATTTTTTTTTTAATATTTTTTTTATTTCTTAATATTTATCAGTTAAATACAGATATGGCCATCTGAAATGCTTGTATATTCTTCCAGTAGCCCAGCAAACACTGTTCATCCAGAATGAGGATCTGCACATCAGCACACGTTTACTGAGCTGAAACCACATGCATGATCTGTGTTATTGTTTAATCTCTTGTGATTGCATGTGATATGTCTAAAATGAACACAAAATTAACACAATGCCAATTGTGAGGAAAGTGGATTTAATAATTGAACATGTAATATAACAATTAAGTCTAATAAACTTCACACTTCTGTGATCGTAAAACTGCTGAATGAATGAACTGTCATAGGGTTATGTACTTACAGTGATTGATGCACTGTGTAGGGCAACACAGAATGCGCATGAATCTGCTTCAATTTATTAATTGTGTTTATTTACATTTATTTAGTTTTTAAATTAATTTCAGTAATATTATAGACTAATATGAAAATGTTCATATGATTTATTTTTAGTTCAATTTGTAAAGTAACATTTTCTGTCTTTAAGTAGATATAACATATAAGAGACTTGCTTTGTTTGCTAAATAAGTGGATCTAATGGGATTTGCATTGTAAACCTTAAATAAAAGTTAAAAATGTATTATTTTTATTTTATTTTATTTTGGTTTTTAGTTATGATACTCCCAAAATTATTTCACATAAATCAGCAATCATTTTTAAACAAAAATTTGCGCAGAAATAGCAAAAAAAAGTTTGCAGATTGGTGCAGTTGTGTAGAATAAAAAAAGTCACTAAAGTAATTCTAGACTGCAGTTTTTTAATAACTAAAAGTTATTTCGTTTGTTCACAGTCCTAATATGTACAGTAGTTTATGATAAAATATGTTTTTTACTAGATTTAGTTTGAATTTAATAAATTTTGTAAACAATAATTTCTTGCATTTATAGTCATAGGGGCAAAAACAAATTCAAAAATTTTAAATACACATGCCCATTTCTTTGACAATATTTCTTAATGACTAAACACTGAAAAAAAAAGATTTCTGAAAAATTGGTACAAATGAACATATTAAATTTACTAATGTTCAACTTAATTTGTTTGTTTAAATTCAATTAATTTAAATAAATTGTTTACAACCACTTAGCTTAAAAAAAGTAAATCCAAGGAATCATTATTGAATCCTTTTTTCAGTGTACATATATTTTTTTTAGTCACAACATTGGAATTATGAGCTTTTTTCTGTTTTGAGTTATTTGTATTGTATTATATACATTCAGATTCAAAGTGTTTGTGTTAAAGAATCAAATAATGTTCTAATTAAAACATTCCAAAATATTTGATGTAAATAATACAAATATTTCAAGTAAAGCCTGTAAAAATGTCAAATATATTTAAAAGAAATCATTAAAAATAAAATGTAAAAAAAAATTACAATAATTTCAAGGTGACTGTTTATTAATCATATAGTTTCAAATCATTTAAAACATTTTTAAAAACATACATATATTGTTTATAATAAATATGTATATTTAAAAAGACGGCAACACCAAAGCTCCAAAAATACTAATTTATCAAAAAGGCGAACACAAAGCATATAACGTTTCAAGCTCAGCGGCTCTTCATTGGCTTTGTGTTAATCTTTTTAATTTAATAAATTGGTATTTTTGGAGCGTTGGTGTTGCTGCCTTTTTGAATATATTTTTGCACTTTTTGCTGTTTTTCAAGAGTTCACACATACCTGATGATTGATTATAAAGCATATTTGGCATGCTGTCCCGGGAGAGAGCCCTGAGCTCATAAGATCCTCGAGAGGGCAGTTTGCTCAGGTAGAGATCCCGAGAACTCCCCTGTTGTAGTAGCTAACGAACAGATAGTGATTGCTCTTAAGAGATAACTTACTTGGAGCATGTCTATGGTGCCGATTTGGATTAGTCAATTAACTTAAGTTGTATGTTTTTGGACGGTGGGAGGAACATGTGGAACCCAGGGGAATGCCAAGTGAGCACGGGTGGAACATGTAAACTCCGCATAGAAATGTCAGCTGGCTTGGTAAGGACTAGAACCAGTGACGTTCTTGCTATGTGGCAACAGTCCAAACCACTGGGCCACCGTGCCACCCATCTAGGAAAGGAGGAGGAGGAGAAGTAGGGGTGAAAGAGGATTCTTCAAAATGAAGATGGATGTTATATGGAACTTAGGGTATTTATAGTGGCTTAGGAATCGTCTGATTGGTCAGTCATAAATTGGATAATGCAGGACCAGCTGCAAGCAATCATAAGCATGTGATCCTCTCGAAATTAGTTTATAAATAAACTTAACGCCTGAGCACCCATTTAGACTGAAGTGTGTGCTTTTGCGCATTTTTAACTAATAAATAAATGCAAATCTTTTAGAATGAATAACATATATTATTAAATTATTTTTACAATTTTTTCTCACAATTGGCCAGTTAATTTTGGTTTGTGCTTCTCTAATTGTGTTTTACTTGTTTAATATTCTGTATATGTCTAATTGTTCTGGTGTGTCTAATTGTTCTTTTCAATTATGTGTGTGTGTGTTTAAACTGCAGCTGATCTGAGCTTTGCATGTCTGTCTCTTATTTCTTATTTCTTCATGCTTAATCCATTATAATGTGTTGTTCTGTCAGACGTGTGACCGTATAAAGCAGTCGGCCAGCGGGACGAAGCGTCGCGTGTTCATTATCGAGACCATGGGGGGTTATTGTGGATATCTGGCAACCGTAGGTGGTCTTGCAGCTGGAGCTGATGCTGCGTACATCTACGAGGAGCCGTTTGACATCCGAGACCTGCAGGTCAGAAACACTTCACTTTCTGCTTTTCTGAAGGAGTCCTGCTCAATTTAGCTCTGGGTCTATATATATTCAGCTTGTGTCCTAGATTTGACTGTTTTAGATATGCACCCTGCTTGTGTCAATTGTATTCTGTGAGGATCGTGTTTAATGTCATTTAAAATAACGATACATAGAGATACTTTAAGCTTAATTTATCCATTACCAAAACTAAAACTCAAGTCACAAATGTTAACTAACATTTTATATGTGTTGATATACAGTGCATGTGGAAAGTATTCATAGCGCTTCATTTTTTCCACTTTTTTATGTTACAGCCTTATTCCAAAATGGATTAAATAATTGATTTCCTCAACATTCCACACACAATACCCCATAATGACAATGTGAATAAAGGTTTTTTTTAATTGTTGCAAATTTATTAAAAATAAGAAACCTGAAAAATCACATGTACAAAAGTATTGACAGCCTTTGCTCAATAGTTTGTTGATGCACCTTTGGCAGCAATTACAGCCTCAAGTCTTTTTGAAGACCTGTCTTTGGGAATGTTTGCCCATTCCTCATTGCAGTACCTCTCAAACTCTTTCAGGTTGGATGGGAAGTAACAGTGTACAGCCATTTTCAGATCTCTCCAGAGATGCTCAATAGGATTTAGGTCTGGGCTCTGGCTGGGCCAATCAAGGACATTCACAGAGTTGTTGTGAAGCCACTCCATTAATTTTTTGGCGGTGTGCTTTGGGTCATTGTCCTGCTGGAAGATGAACTGTCGCCCCAGTCTGAGATCAAGAGCACTCTGAAGCAGGTTTTCATTCAGGATGTCTCTGTACATTGCTGCATTCATCTTTCCCTCTATCCTGACTAGTCTTCCAGTTCCTGCTGCTGAAAAACATCCCCATAGCATGATGCTGCCACCACCATGCTTCACTGTAGGGATGATATTAGCCTGGTAATGAGCGGTGCCAGGCTTTCTCCAAACGTAATGCCAGGCATTCACTCCAAAGAGTTAAATTTTAGTCTCATCAGATCAGAGAATTTTGTTTCTTATGGTCTTAGAGCTCTTCAGATGCCTTTTGGCAAATTCCAGGTGGGGAGTGGCTTCTGTCTGGCCACTCTACCATGCAGGCCTGATTGGTGGATTGCTGCACAGATTGTTGTCCTTCTGTAAGGTTCTCCTCTCTCCACAGGAGAACGCTGGAGGTCAGACAGAGTGACCATAAGGTTATTGATCACCTCCGTGACTAAGGCCTTTTATCCCCGATTACTCAGCTTAGATGGCCGGCCAGCTCTAGGTAAAGTCCTGGTGGTTCAAACATCTTCCACTTATGGATGTTGGGGGCCATTGTGCTCATTGGAACTTTCAGAGCAGCAGAAATTTTTCTGTAACCTTCCCCAGCCTTGTGCCTCCAGACAATCCTGTCTTGGGGGTTTACAGACAATTCATTTGTCTTCATGCTTGTTTTGTGTTTTGACATGCACTGTCAACCCTGGACCTTATATAGACAGGTGTATGCCTTTTCAAATCATGTCCAATCAACTGAATTGATGACAGGTGAAGGCCCAGGTGAAGGCTGTGAATACTGATGTACATTTGATTTTTCAGCTTTTTTATTTGTAATAAATTTGCAACAATATCAAAAAATATTTTTTCATTGTCATTATGGGGTATTGTGTGTAGAATTTTGAGGAAATACATTTATTTTGGAATAAGGCTGTAACAAAAAAATGTGGAAAAAGTGAAGCGCTATGAATGCACTTCCCGGATGCACTGTAAATCAATATAATATGCAGCAAAACACAAAAGTGATAATTTGATAATGAACAACATTGGTAATTCAACACTGATAATCAGAAATGTTTCTTCAGCATCAAATCAGCATACTTGATTGATTTCTGGCTTTGCTTCACCTGAAAAATTACAATTTAAACTGAAATATTATTTCACAATATTAGTTTTGGATCAGCTCTAGTGAGATTTAAAAAAAAGTTTTACGGATTTCAAAGTGTATAGTAGTTGTAATTGAGTTTGCAGTTCCCCAATGCAATATTACTAATATTAGTAATACAGAAGGTCAGAGGTGTGTTGAATTGAGCCTTCAGGCAGTAGTTCAGCAGCGCTGCAGGATGAGCCGCAGTTATTGTTTATGGATGAGGGTCAGAGGTGAAGATCGCCCCCTTCTGTCAGACTCTGGCATTACAGTGTCCCTCTTGTCCTCTGCTTCATCCCGCACACACACAGAGGAATATTTAGCAGAGCACACTATTTAAAGAAAGAGAGAGAGAGAGAGAGAGAAAGAGAGAGAGAGAGAGAGAGAGAGAGAGAGAGAGTGTGTGTGTGTTTTTATGAGTGCTCTATTTTTCAGTCTAACGTCGAGCATTTAACAGAGAAGATGAAGACCAGCATCCAGAGAGGACTAGTGCTCAGGTATGATTTCAACACAATACACTCCTGAACGTGTTTGTGACAACATCTGTAGTGAGATGAGTATGTATGTTAGAGCATGAATGCCCTCAGTAATGTGTGTGTGTGTGTGTGTGTGTGTGTTTTGCAGGAATGAGAACAGCAATGAGAACTACACCACTGACTTCATCTATCAGCTGTACTCTGAAGAGGGTAAAGGAGTGTTTGACTGCAGGAAGAATGTCCTGGGACACATGCAGCAGGTACACACACACACACACGCACACACACACACAGACCAGAGCCAGCGATGCAACAATCTTCATCTTTCATGGCCTGATTTTGAATTATTTTGTCGTTTTTTTGTTGTTGTTTTTGCATGTTTTATAAAGTAAATACCGCCTAAGAAAAAACCATCTGAACTTTTCTGAAGAAAGTCGGTTCCCCTTAAAAATTACTTTCTTAAAATATGCCATCACAATTTTTTTCATCTAGTATTTCTAGCATCCATGTTTGCTCAGAATGTTTTTTTTTTCTTTTACAAAAACAGCAGGATGAATGTACAGGAGAATACAAACAAATATGTTCAGTCTTCAGGTGTTATGTATTATAGGAGAAAGATTTTCTATTCTCTTGCAATTCTCTGTGGAAAAAGCCTGCTGTTATTCTCTGGGCGGCTCTATGCTGAGTGATCAACTACAACCTTTGATAACGCTGCAAATAAAGCAGTGGAAACATTTTATCTGAACTCTGTGATGAGTTCTAAATAGCTAGATAATGTTACATAACTCGCACAGCTGAAGTTTTTAAATCTTATGTGTGAAAGGATTAAATCAACTATGGCTGAACAACTTCAACGTCACCATACAACCAAACACAGTTATTTGGAGGTGTTCTCCAGCAGGTCGTGCAGATTTTTGACAAGGATAAACTTGCAATTTGTTTTTAGCAGTCCGTCCAAGGATTGCAAGAGAACTCTTATTCGCAACGATGGGATAACTTACCGTTGACTTTAATTATTTGAATTCAGTCGATTAAAATGAATATTTTGCCTAGGTTTTTGTTTCTGTTTCTTTTGTTTTACTCAAGTCCTTTTTTAAGCTTTTGGATGGGGCTTTTTCCTCCTAAGCGCTACCTGACAAAAGTCTTGTCGCCTATCCAGGTTTTAGGAACAACAAATAATAACTTGACTTCTAGTTTATAATTTGGTATCAGAAGTGGCTTATATTAAAGGCAAAGGCCTCTAGAATATGTTTATTTTACCAAAATAAAATATAATCATCTTCAGTCTTGATTTTTAATAATTTAATTAAGAAAGTAGAGTCTGACTTTGCTTTGACTAAAGTCTTGTCACTTCACAGTAGTAATGTACAGTATAGAATATAAAGTCATGCTGCAGTGGAAAAAGAATAAATATTGTGTATGACTCCCATGAGCTTGGAGTACTGCATCCATGCATCTCTGCAATGACTCAAGTCACTTATTAATAAAGTCATCTGGAATGGCAAAGAAATCGTTCTTGCAGGACTCCCAGAGTTCATCAGGATTTATGTTCATGCCTCCTCCATCTTACCCCAGACATGCTCAGTAACGTTCATATATGGTGACTGGGCTCGCCAATCCTGGAGCACCTTGACTTTGCTTTCAGGAACTTTGATGTGGAGGCTGAAGTATGAGATGTAGTACTATCTTGCTGAAGAATTTGCCCTCTCCTGTGGTTGGTAATGTAATGGGCAGCACAAATGTCTTGATACCTCAGGCTGTTGTTGTTGCCATCCACTCTGCAGATCTCTTGCACGCCCCCATACCGAATGTAACCCCAAAACATGACTTTTCCTTCACCAAACTTGACTGATTTCTGGGAAAATCTTGAGTCTATGTGGGTTCCAGTAGGTCTTCTGAAGTATTTCTGATTATTAGGATGCAGTTCAACAGAAAGAAAATCGACCTTCTGCCACTTTTCCAAATGATCAACTTGAAGTCAAGTTATTATTTTAAGCTCTGACAACTGGAATCAACAACAAGACTTTTGTCAGGTAGTGTATATTACAGGGCAAACCTTGCCAAATCTAGAGACATGAAAAGAAGGGGGTCTTGGTCTGCCAAACTTTCTGCTTTATTACTGGGCAGCTAATATTAGTAAACATCATATTTGGTATAATTCTCCTAATACAGAGAACACAATTCTTTAACACTGTAAATAACTCATTATTTGCCCAAAACTTTAAACCTGCAACCATCGACTTCAATCTGTCCTGTTGTGATGTTTTAGGGTGGCGCTCCTTCACCATTTGACAGGAACTTTGGCACGAAGATCGCAGCTAAAGCCATGCAATGGATCTCCAAGAAGCTCAAAGAGTTTTACAGAGACGGTAATGAGACAGGAGCAGAATGATGTGTTCCTTACACAGAAAACAAACTGGTGGTAACACTTTACTTGAAGGGGGTGTTCATATGACTGTCCTAACAAATTAAATTTATGCCACTGTAGTTGAGGTCAAGAAAAAAAAATTAACAATACTATTTTAAAAATTCGTCATCATGTGGTCAGCGAAAGTTAGGTGCATCAAACTAAACCTACTTATGCACGGACTGTGTTCAAATTCCCATCGGATTGTCAAGAGTGGAAATCAACTGAATGGCTACAATCCTCATTATAAAATCCATGACAGTTACTGTATAATGACCTCATGACAATCATGTTTATGATAGATTTAAATAGAAAGTTATGGAGGCTTAGTAATGGCGTCATAACGAAGACATCGCAAACAAGTCATGTTTGCATTTGAAATAACAAAACTTAGCGAATGACACTTAATGACAGTTGACTCAAGCATTGATAAAATCTCCATTTTCATCATTATAAATGTTTCATAGCAGTCTTATGAACACCCCCTTCAAGTAAAGAGTATCCTATTTGGTCTTATTGATGCATTATTAAGGGTTAATTGTGAAGTATTGTTAATTAATTTGAACTAATAAAGGCTTAATTATTATATTTAATGCAGTATATTGTTATAAAAGTGTTTAGTTGTGACTGTCGGGATTTCCATGGCAGAGTTTTGAGTCATTTTCTTTTGCTTTTTGTGTTTTGCTTTCTTCTCTTGGCTCAGATGAAGGTAAATATGGATTTTAAATTATTATTATTTATTATAATTTATATATAATAATACTATTATTAATATTTACTATTGTTCACTTTAAAGTGGTGGCATTATGCTGTGTTTGTCTGCATTTTATGTTTGTGTGTGTTTTCAGGCCGTGTGTTTGCGAACACTGAAGACTCTGCATGTTTGCTGGGGATGCGGCGCAGGGCTCTGCTCTTCCAGCCTGTTGTTCAGCTCAAAGACGAGACAGATTTTGTGTAAGATGACAATCATGCACTCCTAACATCATATGATATGCATTTAAATGCTAAGAAAAACTTTTTTTAAAATGTATACTTACTGTAGGGTTAGGTTTAAGATTAGGGCTAATTTAGCATTGTTTATTGTCATGACTATGGTTAGAACATGTCACAATAAGACAATACAAGAATCTTTTTCCCGACAGAATCTGGTCTTACTGAACTTTTGATATATATTAAAAGAGCACACACATTTTATACATGTTGTTTATATATTATATTTGTGTCCGACGAGCGGGCGCTGCCATTTGAATCTTTTTGGCTCGAGACTTCCGGTCTCATTCACTTCCATTCATTTTCAGACGTTAAAAACTGCTCGTTACGCTGGTTGATGTTGCAATTTGATATTTTCTTATTATATTATTCTACTTGGTCTGTATAGTCATGCAAACATCTGTTTGAAGAGCAAGTAGTTTGACAATTTTCTGCCGTTTATTATTCGTAGTCATTTCTCCAATAGGCGACTGAATCAGAAGTTCTAAGACAATCGCGAAAACAGGAGCACAACCGCATTTTAGAATAAGGTCAATACATAACACATAAAGTATTTATATAAATATGATATAAATATAAAGCATATAGTTGTTTCTAGAATTGCAGACACATTCGGCTAAAAAAACCTATTTTAAAAAACTTTTATTAAAATGGTTTTATATATACAGTTGAAGTCAGAATTATTAGTCCCCCTGTTTATTTTGTTCCCTCAATTTCTGTTTAATGTAGAGCAGATTTCTTCAACACATTTCTAAACATAATAGTTTTAATAACTCATTTCTAATAACTGATTTATTTTATCTTTGTCATGATGACGGTAAATAATATTTGACTAGATATTTTTCAAGACACTTCTGTACAGCTTAAAGTGACATTTGAAGGCTTAACTAGGTTCATTAGGTTAACTAGGCAGGTTAGGGTAATTAGGCAAGTTACTGTATAACGATGGTTTGTTCTGTAGATCAAAAAAATATAGCTTAAAGGGGCTAATAATATTGACCTAAAATGTTTTTTTATAAATGTAAAAGCTGCTTTTATTTTAGCCTAAATAAAACAAATAAGACTTTCTTCAGAAGAAAAAATATCATCAGACATACTGTGAAAATTTCCTTGCTCTGTTAAACATCATTTGGGAAATATTTTAGAAAGAATTCAAAGGGGGGATAATAATTCTCACTACAACTGTGTATATATGTTTTCTCAAAGAAAAAAGTATATTTGCATAGTTTAGGATATTTTCTCTTGTAAATTTTAACTTAAAGATTTCCAAAATACCTATTTTGTACCGTCTCTGCCTCATGAATCACACAGTTTTAAACATCATGAGATAATTGTCAAGTTTTCATCTTTTTTTGTGTTTGCTCCGTTACAAAAACATTTGCATGAAATGTCTTTTTTCTGTATTCAGTACAAAAAATAACGTGTCTGTCTCTACATTCTGGTTAACTCTATTAGAGCTTATTTAAAAAGACAACAATCTTTAAAGTGCTGATAGAAAAAGCATTTGACATGCTCCAAGTGATGTCACTTCCTCTGATACACAAATCTGGAAGACATTAAGGCATGTGATTAATCATTAAAAGCAAAAAAAAACTTTAGGAAACGCCGATAGTAGATTGGGTGATGCCAACTCTGTTATTCTGATATTTCTGTGAATTTCTCATTTACTTTTTTAAAGCTATAATAACTTTTAGAATACGTTTTAGACGTGCCATGTGATGTCTGGTTTGAGGTTAGCATCTTGAGCTAAAGCACAAAAATGATGGAGAATGTCAACTGTTAGTGCTTTTAAAAAAGTATAACAACAACTAATAACAGAATCAAACATTTCCCCCAAAACATTGAAGCATTGCTTTACATTAATAATGAATTCAGAGTATTGCTAACTCAACATTTGTTTTATATCATTCTGTTTTAACAAAATGAATGGAAAATGCTTGAAATTTTCCTGCAGATCTGGAATATGACATAACTTGCGTATAATAACAAACTATATATATGTAAAACTATATATAGCCCACCTGAATTATTATCCCCAATTTCTGCTTAACAGAAAGATTTTTTTTCAACACATTTCTGAACATATTAGTTTTAATAACTAATTTCTAATAACTGCTTTATTTTATTTTTGCCATGACAGTAAATAATATTTGACTAGGCATTTTTCAAGATGCTAGTAATTCAGCTCAAAGTGACATTTAAAAGCTTAACTAGGTAAGTTAGGGTAACTAGTATACAGAACAAACCTTCGTTGTACAATAACTTGCTTATCGAAAAGCAAAAAACAGCTTAAAGGGGCTAATAATATTTTCCTTAAAATGGTTTTTAAAAAAATTTATAACTGCTTATATTCTAGCCGAAATAAAACAAATAAGACTTTCTCCAGAAGAAAAAATATTATCAGACATACTGTGAAAATTTCCTTGCTCTGTTAAAGATCATTTGGGAAATAAAAAAAAAGAAAAGAAAAAGAAAGATTACTTTTACTGCATATATCATATATATATTTGAGAATTGAGCGACACCTGTTGTTATTTACAGTCACAGAATCCCGAAGGAGCAGTGGTGGCTCCGTCTGCGGCCGCTCATGAAGATTCTGGCCAAATACAAAACCAGCTACGACGTGTCGGATTCAGGCCAGCTGGAGCACATCGTCCGGCTCCGAGCTAAAGACAGCTCCGCCATTTAACACCTCAAGATCAGAGGACTCGACCTGTAGAACACATAATCATATACGGTACATGCGAAGCAGTTGATGTTAGACATTCAGCCACAAAATATATTTATGTGTTGTGATTGACAGTCCATCGATTAGCTAATCATCCCTTTTAAATGAGGCCATGTGGTATCTTTTGTGAATATGCAAGATATTCCTATTTATTTTTATTCTACTAGAGCTTATTTTCAGAGATCTCTGAATGATTTTTGTGCTACTCACTGGCTTAAAGTAGCACAATTCCACTGTCTTATTTTATTTTCATTTTTTACAGTCACTAGAACACATTTCTCAATACTTACTGTGACTCACTTCATAAAGCATTTTGCACAGCGGTTTTACTGCACAGGGGTGTGCAATATTTATAGTCTATGATAAAAAGATAGCTAAAAACAGGGTATTCAGACCTTTTCCAGTCTCAAATTGAAGCACTTTTCCAGAAGTAAATGACATATGAGGGCGCTTCCTCATCAGATGCTGTTTATTTTAAACTTTATAAACGTACATCAGGCTATTATTATATATTAATTTAATCACTATTTAAAATGTTGAATATATGAAACAATACATAATTAAATATAATTTAAATTAAAACAAAAACCAAGGTTTTTTTATTCCGATTTGTTCAAAATGGCATTTATGAAAACAACACAATTACATTATGAAAACAACAGAACTCAGTTCTAAAGCAGTTTCGAGCACTTTATCCAAAATCTGAGCACTTTTTAAACCTTACAAAAAATATAGCTATTCAAATTCAATTGTTAAGTTTTTCCAGCACTTGTACAAACCCTGTTCCAATTTTACAGTATGTGATTTTGTTATTTGTAGGATCAGATGCGGTTTAGAAATAATGCATATGCAAGTGTTGTTTTTTCAAATTCTGTTAAACTTTTATGTTTTAATAACCTTTTCATTTGTTTCTCCAAGGAAAATCGAAAAAGCATTTGACAGGAATACGGATGCTTCCTTCTGAAGAAATCTGTTTGATCAAATCATGATTCAGTGATTCGATTGAACCATTTAAAGGGCACCTATGATGAAAATCATCTTTTGTAAGATGTTGGGACAGAATTGTGTGTAGGTATAGTGTGTCCAGTCATATTGGAGTGATAAAAGCACAAGTAAAAATGTTAAATTTTAACGTTAAAACAAGACCCAAATCCCAGTGAGATTGAGGCCCACCGCAACTTGACATAGAAGTGCAGTTTTCCCCGCCCACCAAATTGATTGACAGACGGCATGTTTCTATAATAATGCATACATGTCCACAGAACAAATTATTTTTGCAAATAAACTGAGATTAAAATATCTGTTACAACTCTCGTGTTTTACAAGTTTAAAACGTTTCTAAAACAGCATGTTTGTTATAAAGACAGTAAAAAAGCTATCTAATTCTTAACCGCTATAATCTCCAAGGCCGCATGGTGTCAGTAAACGCTAATATACTGTATGTGTGTACTGCAAATGGCACTTGTGTGAGACTCATTATTTCAGAAGGGCTTAAATAAACTCCACCACTAATACATGACATAAACTTGGTATTTTTGACTAATGAGCTGTATTTCAGCTGCATCCGAGTCTGTAAATCATGCTGTTTATCTGACGTAACGCATGATGAGAAGCAGAGACATGCACGTGGGCACGGTGGGCGGGAAGAAGCAGCTCATTTGCATTTAAAGCCACAGGCTACAAAAACAGCTACACTGAACACAAAGCGAGCTCCAAATGAGCAGATTCTGGAGGCTATAATAATCTGCTGGGTGTTTTGAGCTGAAACTTTACAGACACATTCAGGAGACACCAAAGGTATATCTTACAAGTAAAAGGGGTAAAAAAGGTGCCCTTTAAATGAATGATTCAATTAAACGTTTATTAAGACATGCACTTACTGCCACCTGCTGGTGATTTATGTATCTATGACAGGCCTGAATGATTCAACAGGCGACTCTTTTAAAAAAATTGAAGGATGTATTGAGAAATTGGTCCTAGCGATTGTTAAAACTCAAGCTAAGGTAGCGTCTGAATAGAATATTCAAGCTGCTATTCCGTGTTGTATGTTAATGCAGGCACTTTGTACCAAAGCAGATGTTGTGTTAATATGTGTGTGTTCATCTTGATGTGCATGAGCTAACAATGCTGCATAAACTCCCTTTAGAATGTAAGCAGTGTGGCTTGTCATTTTATTCATTATGCAGTGCACACTGTTTTCAAATAGCAAAGCACATTAAAAGTAATAACTGGATGAGTTATGCTTTTTTAAAATGAATTTAATATTCCAGTCTATGATCACATTTATTATAATTGTACACATCTCATAAATAACATTATGCTAGTTTATAAATCCAAAAAAAGAGCCATGAGTTTATAAAAGATGGAGTCCACCATGAACAGTGTAAACAAACGCTGCTTTACTGAAATAAACAAGTGAGCTCAGCACTATTTTCAACACTTCTGTTCATCATGAGGACTCCTGTACGGACCCAGAGTGATCTGTGCGTGATCCAGGAACATGTGCGTGGTTCTTATCATCCTAATAATGAGAAAAGATGGGAAAAATGTCTATTTGACCACCCATGAAGGGTCTTTTCTGATGCTTTCATTTTCTGGGCCTAAAATCGCCACTCCACAAGTCTGCTGACCGATACCTAGATACCTGTTTCAAGAAGAAGAAAAAAAAACAAGTCAAGTCAATATCATTTAAAGAGGCATTTATTTTATAAGCGTATTACTTTGTTAAATTATAATATTGATTTTTATTAATAAAACAGTTCATCCAAAACTGAACATTTACTCACTCCAGTTCAAAATCTCTGAGTTTCATTATTGTGTTGAACACTTGAGAAGATCTGAAGAAAGCTGAAAACTGGAACTATTAAAACTTATGCAAGTCCATTACAGGTTTCCAGCTTTCTCCACAATATCCTCCATTGTGTGCTTAAGTCAATCAGGGTTTGATTTAGAGAAGGTGAGTAAATGATGACAGTATTTAGGGTTTTAGGTGAACCATCAGAACACAGCATTGGAAATTCAGTTTGATTACCAGGGAACACATGATGAAATGTGCAAAATATATAGTTCAAGGTGTCTCCTAAATGCATGAAAATGTCTGTTTACCTGCCAGCGACATCAATGAGATTTCTTTCAGTCACAGCGAAGAGTCTCTCTCTGTGCGCTTGCTTCATCTCATCTGTGATGCCGTTTAAAAAACGCCCCAAACCTGCAGAGCAATAAAGGCAGCCTTGTGAATCAGAACCCAAACACAAAATCTGTCAGCAAAGAGGTGCTGTTATGCCCCAAATTTCACATGTCTCTAGAATGTTTAAAGTTTTAGCTCAATTATAAGCTTTGAAAAAAATTACCAACTGCTTTGGCAAAATGATTCACTGTTTGTGATGGCTGAAAACAGCACATGCTCAGGACACCTATTGATTAACATGTGTAAATGAAATAAAAACATGCAAAACAGGCATTAGAACTGGCCTCTTCAAATATAATGCCAACTTTAAACTGTAAGAAAAATGCACTTGGTGTCTCATCTCGTATGGTGAAATATTAAGTGTCTGAATAATATGCACTCTTTTAAACATTTTCTAGGCTTAGATTTTGTTTGTTCCACTGTGGGCTCTGCTAAACATTAACTACTTTGATTTCATTTGCAAATGCCACATCTACAAACTTGTAAAACTGATCTAAGATCAGGTAAAAATAATGAAATCTGTTCAGCGATCGACCATGTAGCGGAGCGGTCTGAGTGAACCCACATGATTCATGTGGATTTAATAGTATTACCAATAATCAGGGCTTGACATTAACTTTTTTGATCACCGGCCACTGTGGCTAGTAGATTTCCAACATTACTAGCCACAATTTTGTAGTTGGAAAAATATATTTTATATGCATAAATTTGACTTTGTCATGCTAAAATTGCTTGATGTAGATTTTGCGTTTTGTCTACATGCCTCCTCGTTTATTTCACTTTTTGTGTGTCCTGTATGAACTTGCTTAATGTGCATGAGCTAATGGGTTGTGGTTTCATAGTGTCCTATTACAATTAGTTTTTATTTCACATGACTTCACAGAGCTCAAAATGAAGGATTTACTAAAGTTATCTCTGACCACACCAAACATAAAGAATTGTTTCTTAGCCACAAATGTTAAATGTCAAAACAAGCAAATTATAGCTGTATACTATACTTTTTATTTAACAAAACATTTTTTTTACAAAACCAAAAAACAATTCACATTTAAAAAAATAATTATTGTCATGTATCTAAAACTAAGCACAGTAATCAATCCTGGTTAAAGGTCTCAGATCAGCAGTTAACTACAGATAAGTGGGGAGTTAATCTCCCGTTAAAGCAGTGTTATTATAAAAATGATGATTAAAACATTTTAACAAAAATAACGAAGCAAAAGAAAGCAGGTGAAAAAAACACCATATGTGATAATGAAAGGATGATCACACGCAAACGGTTAATGTTAGGCCAATTAATAATCTGTTCAAAAATGGTTAAAGCGAAGGCAACCGGTGCTGGAGCTCTTGAAAGCAGCAAGACTGTGGGTGAACAAGCATCACTTTTTGTGTAGTCTATTCGAAAGAGAACCGATCACACCAGTTGTGTTTTCAGGCACGGTTGCTTCATGCAAGGAAACAGGAGCACGCATGCGTTTAAAACAGTCGCATTTAGCCTACCCAATTCACTTGTACCGCATGTCTTTGGACTGTGGGGGAAACCGGAGCACCCGGAGGAAACCCACCCGAACGCAGGGAGAACATGTAAACTCCACACAGAAACGCCAACTGAGCCGAGGCTTGAACCAGCTACCCAGCGACCTTCTTGCTGTGAGGCGAACGTGCTACCCACTGCGTCGCCCATCCACATAAATATTGTGATTTTTTTATTAAACATTACTCCAGATTAGGGATGGCTGACGTGGAAACTGATGTTTTGACACAGCGCAAGTGTTTCAAAATACTGCACCGAAGCCTGATCCGAAACACCCAGGTTACGTAACGAAAGTGTTTCGAAACACCAGGTCACGTGACTAAAGCAATTCAAAGCATCAATCATTTCAGAAGTGTTTCACGACCTGACAAATCTGCGTTTGTCTGACAGGGTTGGAAATAAACCCCCATCTCATGTAGTCTAGTGGACTGTGAGTGCACTGAGTAACTGTTGCAAATGCACCAAGTTCGAATCCCGACTTGCACATAGACTCTGAAATTCTGATTTGATTTATTTATCAACGCTACTTTTTAATGACCAAAACAAAACAGATTTATTCAAAAAGTGTTCATTGGGATGTCAGACCCATGTTAAAACAAAACACGTTACAAGAACAGAGCATTTAAAAACTAGCATCTTTAGCTGCATCACCCTGGGTTCGAACCCATTATCTCTGAATGCTAGTCATGAACTCTCACCTCTTCCCTAAATCACTTAAAAACCTCAACTCTATAACGTGGGGTTTAATACCTCAATTTGCGTAACTGTTTCTTTACTGAAGCTGTTACAGTGCAATACATAAAATGACCTCTAGAGACGGGTTTCAAAACGTTTCGAAGCTTCAAAATGTTTCAGTGTTTCATGAAGCCTCGCTTTGCCCACCACTACTCCAGATGTGCTTTTAAAGACTGACCTTTATCTGAAGGAGCAACAGGAGCGTCGACAGCAGAGAAAACCGAGAGCTTGGCCTCATCGATGTCCTGCTGGGTGAATTTCCCCGCTCGCGCCCACTCCACTCCACCACGAAAAGCAGACAGCGTCTGGGTGGAATTTGGGTCTCTTACAAATAGAAAATAAAACATGTTGAACTTGACATATAAAAAATTCATGTGCATCTCACAAGCTTTCATTCATTTGTACCTGTAGGAATAAAAGGAGAACAGGCCGCCTCCTCCCATTCTAGCTCCGCCCCCATAAGCTCCACCCTTTTCTCTGATCTCTCCATGGAGGAACTTGGCGGTCATCATTCTTCCTAAAATACACAGACTGAGAGACACAGATGACAAACTGAAGGGGAGTAGAGACAATATGCTTCTATAAAAATAAAAATGCTTTTTAATAGTTTTTTTAATTGCGCTAATGCTGTGTTCACACCAGACAATTTGTGAATACAGCAAGCAAGGATAAATCACGATATTTGCACGTAAATAGACATGAGAACATTTTGAATTTACTTGCTGCATTTGCACATCAAATTCACTTTACAACAGACGTGGATTCCCGCCATGGGCGGGGATTCTGTCAGCCCAGTGACTCTAGCTTTGTTGCTAAATGACTAAAGTGGATTTTATTTAGAGAATAGCTGCGTTTATCTGCTTTATAAAAGCTGAAAAAGAGCAACCACTTGTTTGAAATTGTGTCCGAGTCCACTAGATCCTTCCAGAGGTGCACCCAGCTCTGTGTGTTCATAAACTCCTCCAGAAACTTTACCTGAAGCCGAGCCCAGTTTCATGAGCTGTTGTCGGTGTTGGCAGAAGGATTTTCCCCTGGGACACCAACAACAGGGGGTATGTCATAATCACGGCCCTAAAATGTCTGCTTAAGTTCAGATTTTTGAACTCAAGCGATACGCGCGTCAACAGTGCAAAACACTCAACTAGCGCCACCTTATTAGCGCCACTCATGTCATATTGCGCCGCAGGATGTCTATTCGCGTCTTTGCATTGACTTTACATGTAAATCACTCGCGCTTGATGCTTCTTCCATGTCTGGTGTGAATGCAGCATAATGGTTTAGAGCAATAAATACAATAAAAAAATTAAATCATATGCCCCAATATATGCACCATAAATTAGCAAAAAAAAGGACTTGAAATTAAGAAATGTGGACATCCATAAAAGTAATTTAATTCTGTGATTTTATACAAATATAAACCATAACAATAAACAAGAACAATGTAAAATATAACAATAGAAGTGTTTAGATTTTTATATTAAATATTAATAACTTTAGTACAAATACTACTTAGAATAAGTAATAGTATGATAACAATAATAAAAACAAGATTATTATTCAACTTTAATGTTATAACTACTAATAGTGTCTATTTTGAGAAAACATTTTATAGCTATAATAACAATAATTATTATTATTATAGTAATTTATTAAACATAAAATGTTTTTGGCCAAATTGTGCAGTTCTATCAAACCTTTTTTTCAAGAGTGTGTTTGCTGTACCTTGCATAATCAGCATGTGTGAACGGAACCGTCCGCACACACTCACTGACAAAGTTCACATTGAAGGGAAGCTGGAAATAAGTCTTCATCTGACAGGGTTTAAAATGAGCCTCCTGACAGGACGGAAGAGGAGATGAGTAAGAATGCTGCAGATGGAGGAAATCTGAATGTTTCTGTGATGTTTCATGTAATGTATTGTAGTGTATAAATGTACTCACTGAGATGAGTTTACGAGTCGCTGCTGCTCCAGCTTCAGGACCTAAAGCTCTCTATGAGGATAAAACAGACGGTTCATATTCATCTAAATACAATAAACAGAATTTTAGTAGATGTTAATTTGACTTATCTATGCGCATTATACACTTTCATTTTTTTTAAAAGTTTCATATACAGTGGAGATACAAAATAACAACTAATTAAATAAAAACTTCACAAATGCTTGTTTTTTCACCAGAAATAATGCAATATTTCTTTAAAGACTGGAGGAATTTTAGTTGCATGTATGCTTAGCTATCTGAGGGTTTAAAATGAAAGAGAAAACTGCAGTTTAGATAAACAAATTTATTTCCTGTTTTGATTGACTGAAACCAAGATCAATTTACAAAGTCAATTAAAACTAGACATTAAACAGGATTTTTTCTTAATTGAATATTGCTCTTTCATTTTAAAACTCAATATCAATCTCAAACTATATTTAAACGATCTTCATCTTAAAAATACATAACGTTAATAAAACGCAGAGTTTGGTTTCTGACCTCTACAACGGATGGTCTGACAGGTTTGCGCTCCTTCCTGTTTCCTGCTATATTCCCAATAAAGCGCTCCACCTCTGCTGCTACATCAGGCATCTTCTGCGGTGTGGCGTTCAGAGCACACCTGAAACAGTAACGTTAAATTAAGCATTCATTTTTACTTAACAAACTAATCAATAAAATATATAATAAATTAATATTTTAAATAAAGAGTATTATTAATAATATTTTTGTATTATTAATTCATACATTAAATAACAATACATTAATTTCTTTAGACCTATTTCTTATTAATAATTATATAAATAAGCACATTTTTAAATTATTAAGTGCCTAAATACCTTATTAATATATTTAAACAATAATATTATAATATAATAATAATATAATAATATCGTGTCTAAATAAAATGAAGTATTAATTATCAGTCAAAGTGTGAATTAATTAATAATAAAGCATATTATTTTACACTTCATCCACAGTGATGTTTACCTCATGTTCTCAGGATTGAACAAGTGTCTCTTTATGCGGGGAAGCTTCCTCAAAACTGACGTCAGGTCAGTCATCTCAGCTATTCTTTTCATAAACTTGACCTGAAATTAAAACAGTGTAACTTTATGAAGCCGTGTATTGTTATCCATCTCCTAAAAACCACCTGGAGCAGGACACTGACCTGGTCCATCCCGCTGAAGCTCTCCTGCAGGTCTGCTGTGGGCGTGAGCGATCGAGCTGCTCGTGTCATTGCGTACATGTGACCAGAGTAAGAGATGCCATTGGACAGTTCCTGAGCTGACATCATCACCAGCACACGCAGACGCTCCTCGTCATCAAATCGAGGACTGAAGATTCACACGGACACACAAATGCAGCATCAGATCAAAGTGATTTATGCACTTAAGTGAATAGACTGAAAACTTTTTTTTGATTCCATTATTTTGAAATACAAAATAACATGTATTGTACAGACTTGTATCTTTTGTAAAAAAAAAAAAAATCTTATTTGATGCAGTTTATTTAAGAATACATACACTCAGTGGCCACTTTAATAGGTACACCTGTCCAACTGCTCGTTAGTGCAAATTTCTTATCAGCCAGTCACATGGCGGCAACTCAATGCATTTAGGCATGTAGACATGGTCAAGACGATCTGCTGCAGTTCAAACCGAGCATACGAATGGGGAAGAAAGGTGATTTAAGCGTCTTTGAATGTGGCATGGTTGTTGGTGCCAGACGGGCTGGTCTGAGTATTTCAGAAACTGCTGATCTACTGGGATTTTAACGCACAACCATCTCTGAAGTTTAAAGAAAATTGTCTGAAAAAGAGAAAATATCCAGTGAGCGGCAGTTCTGTGGGTTGAAATGTCTTGTTGATGCCAGAGGTCAGAGGAGAATGGCCAGACTGGTTCGAGCTGATAGAAAGGCAACAGTAACTCAAATAACTACTAATTACAACCAGAGATGCAGAAGAGCATCTCTTAAACAACACGTCCAGTCTTGAGGCGGATGGGATACAACAGCAGAAGACCACTCTGAGTGCCACTCCGGTCAGCTCAGAAAAGGAAACTGAGGCTACAATTGGCCCAGGCTCACCATCATTGGACAATAGAGGATTGGAAAAACATTGCCTGGTCTGATGAGTCTCAATTTCTGCTGCGACATTCGGATGGTAGGGTCAAAATTTGGCGTCAACAACATGAAAGCATGGATCCATCCTGCCTTGTATTAACGATTCAGGCTGCTGGTGGTGTAATGGTGTGGGAGATATTTTCTTGGTACACTTTGCATTAAGCTGAGCATTAAGCACTGAGCATTAAGTCAACGCCACTGCCAACCTAAGTATTGTTGCTGACCATGTGGGAAAGAAATGTGTGGTTATCCCTTTATGACCACAGCGTACCCATCTTCTGATGTTTACTACTCGCAGCATGACGCACCATGTCAAAATGCTGGAATAACCTCAGACTGGTTCCTTGAACATGACCATGAGTACACTGTACTCAAATGGCCTCCACAATCACCAGATCTCAATCCAGTAGAGCACCTTTGGGATGTGGTGGAATGGGAGATTCACATCATGGATGTGCAGCCACAAATCTGCAGCAACTGCGTGATGCTATCATGTCAATATGGACCAAAATCTCTGAGGAATATTTCCAGTACCTTGTTTGAATCTATGCCACAAAGGATTAAGGCAGTTCTGAAGGCAAAAGGGATCCAACCCGGTACTAGTAAGGTGTACCTAATAAAGTGGCCGGTGAGTGTACGTACAAAGATTATTTTGAATAATTTTTATTAGTATATTGATTAAAAGAATGCATTCTTTTTAAATAAACTTGTTTAAATAATCCACTTAATTAATGTGTTACTAAATAATTCAGGCTTTTCAAAACAGTTTTTATAAATGAACAATTTATTGACTTTCTCAAACTCTTCAGCAGATACCCAAATCAAAGACTAACCTGTTGAATAGGTCGCTCCACAGCTGAAACATGTCTGGCAGATTCCTCTCCAGACAGGAAGATGACAGGACAATACCCTAAAAATGTAAACAAAGACACAATCACACACACTCTCTCTCTCCAATGCAAGCAATACAAGCTCAAAAATCAGCCAGAAAATTCACCTGAACAATCTGCAGCTTTAACAGTTTTTTGGCTATCTCTGTCTAGTTGGGTATACAAACAGCCTCATATTAATGCAAATTCTAAGGGTGTAACGGTACATATATTTATACTGAGCCATCAAAGTGGGGTGGGGGGTGTCACGGTTCGGTTCATGCACTTCGATGACAAATACAGTCAGTGCAGACATGCAGTCAATGGAATTAGACAAAAAAAAAACTATTACTTACAGAGGTGAAGAAGCCATTCACAAAAAATAATGTTTGGGCTTTCAGCAGAGAAATTTAAATTACACTAAACTGAACTGAACTCTGAAAACTGGACTGAAGCGATTTAATTTACTAGAACTTCTATGTTAAGCTGGTTTGACACAATCTACAATTTAAAAGCGTTATAGAAATAAACAAGAATTAAAAAAAAAAAAAAAAACGTGTTTTTGAGACTGGAAATGCAAAACGGTACAGAAGCTCACAACACTCGTTCTGCATCCGAGTTCTTCTGATTGGTCCACTGCTGTGAAACTGACATTTTTGGTTGCTGCTGTGTGTAAAAGTAGAATCTTTAAGAATTGTTTTATCTTTACACTGCGTTAAAAAAACGTGTTGCTCATGTGTGAGGTGCTGCAAAAGATGTTAGTGCATAATGGGGATGTACATCCATCAACAGCGTTCAAATAGAATAATGAAAATACACGATTCTGTCTTTTCTCGTGTGCATGCAAGTCCCTTCTATACACACACACACGCGCAAGACTGAACAGTTGTTGTTCACTGCATTGTCTGTTATGGATGGATACAATGCTTGTATTTCCATTTAAAGAGCTTTCAGTTTTGAAATCGAGCTTAAACTTTGAAAGTTTAATACACAGTTTGATAATTATAAAGTTTTATTTTTCATTATTGTATTTTTTTAACTTTTGCATCACTTTTCATGCTTTTCAGTTCTGTAGCTGATTGTAACAATACATTAGGCCTGTCATGATATCAACGTTGTTGTTGTACAATATATTGCACCAGAACATATTCCGATAAACAGGTAATGTCCTCGAGCAGAGATTCGAACTCAGGACACCCAGAAGTGCTACCTCACCATATGTCAGTGCAATAGCCTAGAGGTTAGCGTGCCAATATTTTAAGACCAATTTTAATGCCATTTATCATACAGTATAATCCCAGAACGACAATAAAATAGCATCACAATGCAAGTTCACTCTTCCAAAGAACACATCATATTTTATTCTTAATAAGGGTGTCACAATCCTCCAAATCCTCGATTTGATTACATTTTCGATTCTAAAGTCACGATTCGATTCTATTTTCGATAATAAATAATTAATTAAATAATAACTAATTAATTATTTGTAGCCTACCGTTTAAACTACCTGACCTGAAACAAATCATACAGTAAATGAATAAAGGTAAGTTACACATAATTACCACCTGTCAATCACTTTTTTTTTGCGGGACTCGTGAATAGGCAGTAATCTGTGTTGTTATTATGGCGTCGGTAAAAAAGGTGCACAACCAACAGGAACCAGCCAACAGTATGTGAGGTGTTCGCTAAAATGACTCAGTACTTGTGTGAAAGTAAAAGATGGAAGCAGTCTACTGACCTGCTGACTGCCTTGACCCGCTGTCTCGAGCGCATGACAATATGTGTGCGTCTGTATCTGTGTGTGAATGAGTGTGTGTGGTCACGTGATGTGGGTTTTCAGCGGTAGTGAGGAAGGAGGGCTGCTCAGAAATGCTACATGCCAGTGTGGATGTGGATCGTTGTCGTTCTAAAATGCCATTTAAAAACAAAGACATATTAGTGTAAACAGGGCCTGAGTGTGTATATTTCGCGAGCGTATCTGCAACGGGTGCGGGGCGGAGGATCGCGATGCGCCCATTGTCTATCATCCCAACCGTAATACGTACATAGCAGAGCTTGCAAACTGTTTTTTTTTTTCTTTTGTCGACAACAATAACATTGTCAACATAACTAACTGGAAATCCAAAATACTTCCACACCGGCGACTTCATTGAAAGAGGAGAGGGTTTAAGCTCTGTCAACGGGTCTCCTGTGTCTGCAGTTCAACAAGCACTTCAACAAGCCTGTTTTTTTCCCGCTTGGCAAGCCAAGCTAACGTGACATGGGGGCGTGGCAGCATCGACGATTCTATTTTTTGATTCGATAATCGAAGTTGAGCATAAATTTCGTGACACCCTTAATTCTTAAGATTATTTAATTTAATTATAGTCATTTTAACGGTTTAAAAATTAGGCATAGAATAAGAAAAACAAATATTTTAAATAAATAATAATAAATGTTAAAAAAGTGCTGGGTAAAAAGTAACAGAGGCTGCGATATCTGCTACCAGATCTATTTTCAGTTGTCAGGCACCCACATGAAAATATACTATAGTAATTTATAGCAAATACTTAAGAGTTTTCTTAACCTTACTGACACCTCCAACAGAGATAGAGATGTAGCACAATCAGCTAAACTGTTGTTAGAATTGGTTTTTATGTCTGGACGACATATATTTCATCACCAAAGTTGACTGAGGTCAGTCGATATATTGATTATTATGACAGGCCTACAATGCACTTCGGACATCTTCTGACTCCTAACATGCATTGGAAATGTGTTGCTCATGCCTGTGGTATCGAACTGTGACCCCAAAACTGAGGTATGTACTGAAACCATAACGCTACACCCCTAGCACACTCAAATGATGGATAAGGGAAAGATCAATACCTGCTCGTACAGATCAAGATCTTCAGTGTCTGGGATGATCTGGGGAGAAACAGACAGTCCTCCGGTCTTCAGCTCAATGCGCTGGGCCTGCTGACGGTAATCCAGCATCCCACTGCCCATCCTGAGAGCACATTAGTGCCATCATTTACTCTAGTTTGTTTCATGTTTTAGGGGGTTTGTACAATGTGTTACAAGCTTATTGAATTTTGCACTACTTCATTTGTACTACTTAGTTTGTCCACAACACTTAACTAGGGGATTGTATTACCGTCTAAAAAGAACAGAAAAATGTAAGACTGTAAAAACAACAGGAACTCACTTTAACAAGCGCATAAAGAGATATCAGCTACTCTTACTTTAAAGGAGTATGAGAAATATATTTTAAAGGTCATAACGTCTGGAGAAAAAAAATGGATTGTGAGAATCTTTTTAGCCAGCTGTGATTGATAACAATATCAAAATACACTTGAGAGATGTGTAAAAAAGGATACTTTAGGCTTTCTTTCTTTTTTCTAACAATCATATTTCAAGTACAGACATTTACAACATCACACAAGATCCATTTATCTAAATAATTCTGTTCTTCTGACTGAAATTTACCACACTTTTCTTAAAAATGTGAAGTGTTTTTTCAACAAAAGCAGTAATAGTTGTTTTTTGTGCATGAAAATTAGCAAGAATAATTTCTGACACTTAAGACTTGAGTACTTATGTTGAAAATTTAGCTTTGACTTTCACATGAATGAATTAAAACTTCCATACAAATTTGAAATTGTAATAGCATTGTATAATATTGCTATAATTGTAATCAATTAAAATTGCTTACTACATATACACAGTATGTTTTCACACATAACAGTTTTATGGGTATATACTGGATGATGTATATGGTATATTACAGTACATAGCAGCGATAAAGTGGTTTCCTACTTCGTAATGACGCTGCAGAACAGAGGAACGTAGATCTTGAGGTCTTCAGGGAGGGAGTTGATGTTGCTCATCGCTCTGAAATACACCATGCCGTTGGTGGGCTGCTCACAGTACTGTACAGGTACACCACCTACACACACACAAAAAGACTGCAGGATTTTCAAAGTAGTCGTGTCACAGATGTTTTTACACTGCATGACTATCTGGGCTAGCGTTTTGTCGCTGCTTTGTTTACACTGGGACTGGAAATTTCACACTGCATGACTTTACAATAGGAAGAATCGCCAACAACTTCATCCATACTTTTGTTATTAACTATATAATGAGAAAGAAGCCTTTGGTGGGCCAGAAAATGTACATGTTTGCTCACTTGGGTTTAAAGGGAATTAGCAATTTCTCCTCAACTGTCTTTTTTTTGACCTGGTTGTGATATTGCTCACATGACGCATCAAAAAGACATGGTGCTCCAGTCAAATTTCTGCTAGTTTTTCTTCCATTTCTTGGGTCCAAATAAACTGAAAATGAGCGCTTTAACTTCTCCCCCAAGCTCCCCCTGGCCTGCAGGTACCCACGCTAGTGGATGCTGCTCTCTCATTGGCTGTAGGTGTAGGTGACACGTTTCACACGGCATGATTTGAATCACCAACAGCACGCCAAATATCTCAGGGCATCGACGACTCATCTGAGATTTTTTCAAATCACGTCTTTGATAGTTTACACTGTGTGATTGTCACTCACGTGAATGAGCACCAATTTGCCTGTGATTTCAGGCATTTGTCAGCGATTTCTCAAAACCTGTCAGCGAGTCAAAATCGGGGCTAAAAATCATGCAGTCTGAACTCTGCTTTAGCATTCAAAAACATTTATGTTTATTTTATGTTTCAAGTAGAAACTACAAAAGAAATATTTTGATTCAACATAGAATTTATACAGATTTTTTCGATTTAAACGTTTAGGCATTCATTCATTTTCTTGTCGACTTAGTCCCTTTATTAATCCGGGGTCGCCACAGCGGAATGAACCGCCAACTTATCCAGCAAGTGTTTACGCAGCGGATGCCCTTCCAGCCACAACCCATCTCTGGGAAACATCCACACACACACACATACACACTCATACACTACGGACAATTTAGCCTACCCAATTCACCTGTACATGTCTTTGGACTGTGGGGGAAACCAGAGTTCACGGAGGAAACCCACGCAGGGAGAACATGCAAACTCCACACAGAAACGCCAACTGAGCCGAAGATCAAACCAGCGACCTTCTTGCTGTGAGGCAAACGTGCTACCCACTGCGTCGCAACGTTTAGGCAATGCTTTGTTTTTATTCAGATGCTGCATTTAAATGGGTTTATAGAAATTTTAACAGCCCATTCATTTATTGCAGCACCAGAACAGTATTTTTATATTCTACAGGTTTAAAATGACAAAAAAAAAATTATTAAAATGACAAATTAAACTTTTTCTTCATAATTTTCATCGTCCTTTTACTGTACATACAGCTGAAGTTAAAATGAGTATCTGTGCAATTTTAATTCTTTTAAAATTATTTTCTAAGTGTTTCTCAAGCACGTTCCTGGAGGACCACCAGATCTGCACATTTTCCATGTCTCCTTAACCAAACACAAAGCTGTGTGTGTAAACCATTATTTAAAACAGTCAAAACATGGTCAACCGTTTGTTAGAGCAGCAGTCAAAGGGGTAAGCAGGTTAATAATATTGACCTTAAAAGTTTTTTAAACTGCTTTTATTCCTGTCAAACTAAAAAAAGTAAGAATTTCACCAGAAGAAAAAAATATAGAAAATACTATGTAAATTTCCTCGGTCTGGTAAACATCACTTGGCGAAATTTGTAAATAATAAAAAAATAAAAATTACAGAAGGGCTAATAACTATGTGTGTGTGTGTGTGTGTGTGTGTGTGTGTGTGTGTGTGTGCATGCGTAGGTGGCGATCAATATCTAACCAAACGTGTTAAATCTAACATCTAATAAAAATGATCTAATGCTTTGAAGTATTAAATCAACAGTCCTAATAGTCATATCAACTTTGCTTGTGATCTTGACGTGTCTGTGTGTGCTTTTCACCTGCGGCTCCGAGCTGTACAGGTGTGTAGGGAATGATGGGCTCGATGTCGGACACTTTTAATGCAGGCAGACATGAAGCGTCTTGAGTTGTGCTCTGAACGGCCAACAGCTGTAAACCTGAAACAACACCACAGTTAAACACACTCTCTTCAGCGTTATAGGTACCAGATTGTTATGAGTCAATGGTGCTACCATTTAGCACAAATCCAAAAAAATCTCCTTTCTGGCTGTTCTTCCTATGAGGGAACTCTGTAAAAGCACAGTTCAAGTTTGTCTACTCATCGGTTAGATTAGATTCAACTGTATTGTCATTACACATGTTCAAGTACAAGTACAAGATAATGAAATGTAGTTTAGGTCTAACCAGCAGTGCAATAACAGCAAGTCCAGGATACAGGTATCACTTTTAGGGCCTACTCACACTATGCCATCCGTACCGTGCCCAGGCCCGTTTCCCGGATCGTTTGAGAAGTGTGAGTGTGCTGAATCGGGCTCAAGCACGGTTCACTTGGCCGACCCTGGCCTGGTTGGAAGAGGTGTGCCTGAGCCCGGTTCACTTGGGCTTCGGGCCCAAAACTGAAAGCGAGACGTGACTTTTAAGGGACTGTTTCATATGGATTTATTAATCATTCTTACTGTTCTGTGAACACAAACTGCCGTAGTGTATTAAAGACGAGAACTCCTCACAGCACGACAGCTGCGCGGCTTCAGCAGACCTCCTCATTCCTGCAGCACGAGGACTTTATGATTGTTTATGAGCGCCAAAAGTGGCGGATCTGTTCGGCTGAAACGATATAACTAGAGAAATCTCCACTGTGCTGCTGAGTGAGAGAGCGCTTCTCACTGAACAGCGAAGCAGCGATGACGTAAGCGTGCCGAAGCCCGTTTGTGGTGTGAGCGCGGGCCGTCGGGGGAGACGGGAGGGGGGACATGCGTGCTTTGGCCCGGTTCGAAGCAACTGTACCTTGTGTGAGTACGGTCATAAAGTGCAATTATAGAAAAACTATGGGGATTTTTACAGATGGATGTAATATCAACATTATATACAGGTTTTATTAACTATGAACAGAGATTTAGATATCAGAGGTATGCAGATAGATATGAACATAATTACAAATTTATATGTACAATGGGTATTAGGCATGGGACGATAACCATTTTCAAGGTATATCGCGGTTTGTAAAAGTTTCTGTAATATCGTTCCTAAGGTATGTGTTCGATTTCTTATTTACTTTTTTTTTTTGTTTTTTTTAAGACAACAGTATCTTCAGCAGAAAAGATATCTAAAGATGCCATTTATATTGTAAAGAAATCAGTGTTTTTAAAACTAATGAAGACAGCAAGAGTCAATGATTCATTGTAATTATTTACCCTGACAGGTTTACTGCTCCAAAATATTTCAAATGTTTTTCAAAATAAAATATATTGTTTTCAAAGGGGAGAAAAGTTTTAGTTTTTTACCCAGTCATTTAAAATGAATATATTTTAGAGCAGTGATCACAATACCTTGGTACCGTAAAACCGTAATATTTTAGTCAAGGTTATCATACCGTCACAAACTTATACCGACCCAAACCTAGTGGGTATGTACAATTCAAGAAGAATTAGTGCAAAGTAGAGCGTTGAATATGTGCAATTTTAATAATTTAATTAATAGATGACGCAATGTGCGCATCTGCAATAGTCACATCGCAAGATCTATAATGTTGAGTCTGGATTATAGTTGCCCTGAAGCCACAGAACACATGTGGTTTGTAGAATCACAGCTAAGCTGAACCATAACAGAGTGAAAGTATATCACATGCATGTGTTCAAGGCCTGTAACTGAGCATTTTAAGAGAGTTAAAAACATTTGGGCACAAAAAATAGTTTTAGTGCATCATCTGTATTTAATTATTTAAATGATTTATGAAAAATCTTTTTTGTCTCGTTTCTAGTTTAAATATCTACATTTCAACTTAAAAATAATATTATTTTGATAATACCATTGGCAGATTATTTAGCTTGTTTTAAGAAAAAAAAACTTAATTTAGACTTATTTCTTCTGAAGGTTAAACAATATTTTTACTTGATCTTTTTTTTTTTTTAGATATTTGGACTAAAGTATGATAAGAAAAGCATTTTGCCTTGTGATTATTACATTTCTGAACCTGAATACTGTAAGATTGCCCAGAAAACCGCCAAATAGAGCTATTCAAACCATCTTGTGACACTGTATTTAAATTATTCATATAACTTTTTTTTTCAGATAAAAGAATGCATTTTTCCAGCATCGTGCAGCCCTAAACTGTACCTTTCTCATAGATGTCCTTGCGGTCTTCATCGCTGAGGATCTGTATTTTCTGCTGTAGTTTCTGTTCTTCAGCTTCAGCCTGTTTCTCCAAGAATCTCTCATCAGGGCTCATAGAAAGGGTCAGTTGATGAGTGTTATTCTGAAAGCAAAGATCAACATTTTAATGCAACTTACATTTACATTAAATTTAGTCATTCAGCTTTTTTGTGCTAAATTTGATACAACTTTTTAAATTGTAACATTTAACAATTAAGGAAGGCATTAAGCGACTCAAGCAATAAAAACATGCATAAAAAATGAGATCATGAAACTAACATCACTTCTTAAATCTAGACTAGAGCATAGTAGGGCATAGTAGTAATTGTAAGGATTTCATTTAGTTTTTATTTTTATAATGACTTTTTATTTAATCTGTTTTGAATTTTTTTTAGCTTATTTCTTTTATTTATTATTCTTTGGTACTTACGGCTTACTTACGGCTGCTTCACTTAGCTGAATATCTTAAGCCTGTTTACAGGGTTCATACACATTTTTACTACTAAAATTCCAAGACTTTTCCAGGACTTTCAAGTAAATGTTTATGACATTACATATACAGTTGAAGTCAGAATTATTAGCCCCCCTTTTTTAAATATTCTCCAAATGATGTTTAACAGAGCAAGGAAATTTCACAGTATGTCTGATAATATTTTTTCTTCTGGAGAAAGTCTTATTTGTTTTATTTCGGCTAGAATAAAAGCAGTTTTTAATTTTAAAAACACCACATTTTTTTTCCGATAGTCTACAAAATAAACCATTGTTATACAATAACTTGCCTAATTACCCTAACCTTTTTTAGTTAACCGAATTAAGCCTTTAAATGTCCCTTTAAGCTGTATAGAAGTGTCTTGAAAAATATCTAGTCAAATAATATTTACAGTCATCATGCCAAAGATAAAATAAATCAGTTATTAGAGATGAGTTAATAAAACTATTATGCTTAGAAATGTGTTGAAAAAAAAAATCTGCTTTCTGTTAAACAGAAAACAGGGAAAAAATAAACAGGGGGGCTAATAATTCTGACTTCAACTCTACATGGTAAATAATAAGAAAAACCATGCACGTTCAAATTTATTACAGCATGTCAAAAAACAACCATCTTTAGTTTATTTTTAAATCCATGTAAAATTGATTTAAATAAAGCTCACACAGCACTAATAATGTGCGAGCATGTGTTTGGCCAAGGACAGAAAAGTAGTCTAAGTAAAGACAATTAACCTTCAATATTCAAGTATACAGATATTTGTTCAACTAATTTTCATGAAATTTTACAAAACCTTGTGGGTGTTTCTGTTTTTTTCCAAAGCTTTTCCAGGCCTTTAAATTGCCATTTTAAAAATCATTACTTTTTTCAGGTTTTGCATGACGCATGAACCCTGTATTTAATTACATTATTTAAACGTGCATAAAGTTTCTATTTAGTAGGTTTTGATAATATTATCAACTAAACAAACAGATCTTACCTTAAAGTAGTGCTGGACTTTCTCCTGAAGGTAGCGAGGGTTTTCCTTCAAACACTGCCGGAATCTGGACACACTTTCACTGATCTTCAGCAGCTGCACTGGATCACCATCATGATTCCAGAGGGAGGCAATATACTGCCAGACAGACAAATTAAATGTTTTTTTTAGATATACAGTAATGTGAGCTTTGAACCTTTTGAAAATTTGCATCAAATGTTAAAATCTCAAGAAAACTATTCATGGACAATGTTCATAAATGTTTGAAAAATTTACAGATTTTTAAAAATTACTTTTATTACTTTTTAAAATATTACTTTTTAGCTTTAATGGACTCTTATTTTAGTTTTAGTAATCATAAGCCCCTTTCACACATACAGACCTTTCCGGAAAATTACCGGCATTTTTCTGGAAAGGTTATATGTGTGAACAGGTCCTTTTTGAAAATACCGGTAAATTCGTTCTGGCTATTTTCCGGAAAAAGAAGTTGCAAGATTACCGGTAATTTCCCGGAATGCTGCGCTGTGTCAATGCAGAACGAAGATTGCCGGAAAGAGCGCGTGCACGTCTAGAACGTGCTGACATGAGATGTCTGCTTTAGCCAATCACAACAGTCAGACGCATTTCCGTCCGCGCGGTTTATGAGAATAAAAGCCTTTGAATATTTTCCCAGACGCGTTTAGCTGCTAGAAGTTAGTCAGATAACGTTTATATGTTCTTCTTAATGCCAACTGTGTAAATAATTATCGATAAGATGCTTATGATAAGCCGCTGTTTGTTTACCTTCAAGCTTTGCGTGTGCCTGTGAAACAGCCTGTTAGCGCCTGCACACACACATATTATGAACATCTCGACATGAGAAAGTGTTCCTCCATATGTTTAAATCGAAGTTGTTCACAATACTGATCATCCACAGAGTTTGTGATGTAGTCAAATGTTTAAAAAATACAAGCGCAGCCTTTTAGAGCTCATTTGTGGTGAATGATGTCAGAATTTACCAGTATTTTGGAATGGATGTGTGAACAGTCTTTTCTGGAAAAATTCTGTAACGTCCTCGCCTGTGTGAACAGCACTGTTTATAATATACTGGTAAAGTCGTTCCGGAAATTTTCCAGATATTTACCGGTATCACTTTGTGAAAGGGGCTATAGTTCATCATAAGGGGGAAAAATAACATTTTGGATCAACGAAAGATGGACAATGCAGTTTTTAAATCACACTAGATTGCTTACTAATGTTCAACCAGAAAACTTGTTTTGAATTGCATGCGATAATGATGATCAATCACACATTTATGTGCATGTTTGCGTGTTCACTCACTGAAGCGAGAGCTAGGCCGAAGCTGGTGGACTGATGTTTCATCTGAATCTCGATTTTATGCAGCAGAGCTTCAATCTGCTCCTCTTCAAAACCAGATCTGAAACAATTCATTTACATTGATTCATTTAGACGAGCCACTTTTATTCACAAGGAGAAGTCAAAACAGACCACTAAAGTGAGCCAATCGGCACTCACGCAATGATGTCATCAATGGTTTGGGCAATGATGTGTTTGACCGTCTCAGTGTCGTCCTCCGCCATGCCTTGAAGACCGATTGTGAAAGATGCTTGTCTAGTGCTGCCGTCAAACCTAGATGAATCACACTTAGAAATCAATTTCCAACTTATTTCTTTTATTTACTATTTTGAACACTTAGGGCTGCCTAGATTGTTCATTTATATCATTTAAACATGCTTGACACTTTCAGGGTCCTTAAACCTTCATTCATACATTTTCTTTTCAACTTAGTCCCTTTATTAATCTGGGGTCGCCACAGCGTAATGAACTGCCAACTTATCCAGCATATGTTTTACGCAGCGGATGCTCTTCCAGCTGCAACCCATGTGCCTAAATGCCTTCTGTGACAATATAATCACATAACAGAACTATTTAAACTGATAATCTTAAAATAAACAGACCCCGCAGAGGAGGAGAAGTCTGAGCCGATCTTTGGCTCAATCAGGGCTTTATAGAATGGAGAGTTTGGGCCAGACATCATGAGAGAGGAGAGGAGGCTCAGAGTAAACATCTCGAACGTGTCTGTGATGCTGAAACACATAGAAGAGAAAGTTAAATGTCAGATCTAAGACAATCAAACTACAAAACAAGTGTAAACGTTAGTTTCTTACTCTCCCAGCAGAAAGCTCATGCAGAGTGTGTTCTGCTTCACAGGGTCTGGAGCAAGAGCGTCAGGCCTGCAGCTCACATGATCCATTCTCTGAAGAAAAACACAACAGGACAGACCTCACAAAGCAGTTTGTACAGAATGTTTTATCAGGTTGAGCTCTCTATAGTGATGGCTGCTTTCAAAATGCATGACGCTTTGAAACATTTACAAATCTCTTCAAATCAGTGGATTGGGGTTTATTTAAACTTAGCAAGTCACATTGATTGTCTTAGTGTTTGAGTTTCTTTCTTCCGTTGAACATAAAAGATATTCTGAAAAAAGCTGGAAGCCTGTAACCATTGACTTCCATAGTCATTTGTGCTACTTTGGAAGTAATTACAGTTTCCAACATTCTTCAAAATATCTTCTTTTGTGTTCAACGGAAGAAAGAGTAAATTTCTGAATACAGTATGCTTTTAATTACTTAATAATTAATTAACCTAATTTAGGGGTTGGTAGCACGATCGCCTTACAGCAAGAAGGTTACTGGTTTGAGCCCCGGCTGGGTCAGTTGGCATTTCTGTGTGGAGTTTGCATTTTCTCCCCGTGTTCATATGGTTTTCCGGGTGCTCCAGTTTCCCCCACAGTCCAAAGACATGAGTTATAGATGAATTGAATAAACTTAATTGTCTGTAGTGTGTGTGTGTGAATGCAAGAGTGTATGGGATGCGGCTGGAAGGGCATCTGCTGTGTAAAACATATGCTGGATAAGTTAGCGGTTCGATGGTAAGCCGAAAAGAAAATGAATGATAGAATAACCTAATTTATCAAGCCCTCCCTAATAATAAAAAACAAGCAGTACAAAATACTAAAAGAACACAAATGTAGCATTATTTACTTATTTGTAGACCACCTTTAATAATATTTAGTTCTGTGAAAATATTTGAAATAGTTCTGTTTGAAAGATGTGCATTTACGGTGTGTTAAGCTATTGCAGTTGTTGTTACAATTGATTTAGAGAAGCTTAATTTCTCCCATTACTACGTCTTTGTTAATCTTACAGGTCTTTCTAATGTGTGCGATGGGTAACATACAGGTTTGTCCCATGGCGTCTGAGGAGGAACGGCAGTGTTTGGTTCAGTTCTCTCAAATTTTGACAAAGCCTCTTCTTCAATCTGCTGCAGGTGCTGCTCTAATGGCAAATCCCCATATGTGAAGAAACTGCAACAAACACAGGCAATAATCAGTACGGTCTACTGTGTACAAACATGCACGTTTAATGTGTTTAGCATGTGTACCGTGCATTGCTGGGATGGTAGTGTGTGGCGTGGAAATGTTTGAGCTGTTCCCAGGTCAGCTCAGGAATAGCGAGCGGTTCCCCACCAGACACCACAGAGTAAGTGTGATCCGGGAGGAGTTTATTCTGCAGGTGCTGAGCGTACAGACGCTCATTATCTGACTACACACACAACAGTTGCAAGAGAAGGATAACAGATTGTTTGTCTCAAAACATCAACCTCTAATCAGTGTAAATATGACTCCAACAAGAACATTAGAACAGAGGCATTGAGCCATGCATATATGAGGATGCACTAATATTTCATATTTTATGGTATGGCACAAAGCTTAGAATGTACAGTGTTTTTATAATTATGACAGCTAAATTTCTAAAACATCTTAATTTAGTAAAGTCTCACAAAACTGCATGTTAATAAATAATTAAGTTTAAATATATGGCAAAAGTGTAAATTGAAATTTAATTTAGGAGTAAAAAAAAAATATATATATATATATATATATATATATATATATATATATATATATATATATATATATATATATATATTTTTTTTTTTTTTTTTAATACAACAGTTCTGTCTGGTTCTTGAATCCGATTGGCTGATAGCCTTGTGATATTCTGCCAGTAACAGCACTAGTACAGCCTCTTCACCCAAGGGTGTTGTGTCTTACTCTGACCACATACAGCAACAAGCAGAGGACACTCTACAGTTTACAAATATTGTTGCTGTTGGACAATATAATGTACTTTTGAGGCTTTTTTTGGTCAAGAATGTAGTTGTTTAGATTGCAGTTATGCAGTTTATTTATAATAATGGTGCCTATTTTAAATATCTATAATATCAGAGAGACCATTAGCCTCTCTCTAAGCAAAGACAGTTGACAATGTTAACGATGGCGACAGAGACCGCATAATAAGCCCAAAGAGAAAGACAGCATGATTTTAAACAACAGCTGATCAAATCATTATTAAACTGTAATGCTGTATTTACACTTCAGTAATATTGTGATCTCCTGATTGCAACAGAGAAATATTGAGAAACCTCTGTAGACTGATGGAATTTTAGTATATATCATATATTAGACATTACGCTAGAGAATCATTCAAACACTAGCTCTAAAGTGATGTTAGTGAATGAGCAACAGTTTCTGCTGTTCTGACGTCAGCTGCAGATGTGAATGAATGGTGGAAAAAGTAGTTCTTCTTACAAAAGGATTTAGAGACTCTCTGTGTTTGATTTACTTCTTTATATATATATATATATATATATATATATATATATATATATATATATATATATATATATATATATATATAATCTTTTAATTTTAATAATTCACTTAATAAACTACTTTGTTTTAATATCTGTTTATATAACTACTCCTGTTTCTATATATTTTTAATGTTATTATTAGAAAAAAGAAAAGAAAATTCTATAATTTTATAAAAGTGGCTCTGGACAACAAAACCAGTGTTGGTGGATTTATGCATCATCTGAAAGCAGAATAAATAAGCTTTCTGTTAATGTATTTTTGGTTTAAAAAGGGAATAATTATTGGTAATAAATATACTAATATATATTTTTTTCCTTGTATTACATGTAGTGTGGGAAGTTCTATTATTTCCCCAATTTGTATGTTTTGTTTCCATGCATCTTGTATGGTGTTAGAGTTGCTAACTAATATATGGTTTGTTAAAACAGGACTATATTTGGCTGAAATTCATTAATTTGAAAATCTAGAATATGAGGGTTGAAAAAAAAATGAAAATAGTTTTTAAAGCTGTCTAAACAGAGTGCTTCTCAATGCACATTTCTAATTTTAAAAAGTGTTGATATATTTGTGGTATATTTACAAATATCAGGGTTCATACACATTTTTACTACTACTAAAATTCAACGACTTTTCCATGACTTTCAAGTAAATTTTCATGACCTAATGTTTCATATAATGTCTACGTGCACTTGGTAAATAATAAGAAAAACAATGCATGTTCAAAGTTATTATAGAATATCATAAATCATGCAACAATCTATTAAGTTTAAATGAATATGTATATCTATATAAAATTTATTTAGATAATGCTAACATAGCCCTAATAATGTAAGAGCATGTGTTTGGACATGGACAGAAGACAACTAACCCATATTGAAGTATACAGATATTTGATTCACTAATTTCCATTACTTTTCTAAAATCTTGTAGGTTTTTTTTTTTTTTTCAGATTTTCCAAAACTTCCAGGTTTTTCATGACCGTATGAATTCTGAAATATATTAATTTAAGATGATCTCTACTTTATATTCTAATGATTCTTGGCATAAAAGAAAAATCTATCATTTTGATTCATACAATGTATTTTTTGGCTATTGCCAAAATTATATCAGTACAACATAAGAAAGAATGTCTTCATTGTCACTTGTTTTACGTAATGCATCTTTGTAGAATAAAAGATCATCTAAAAATTTTAAAAAGCTCTGCATATATTACTGATATATTCTTGAAATCTGAACAGGACATGGAAGTTTTCTTACAAACACTCCCTTCATCTCATTGAACACCACACCCTTGAACACCAGAGGACTTGAGGGGTCAGTGGGGTTCTCATGCTCCAGCCTCCAGCCCTCCTGCCTGAAAAACACAAACATCTTCGCAAATTCATGCAGAATTAATCGTGGAAAAGCTGAGTATGTTTCAGAGCGTTTACCAGAAGTCCAGCTCTCTGAGACAAGGGAAGAAGACAGCGTCCAGATAGACTGACAGGAGGTTCTTGAAGTCTTTGGCATTCTGGGTGGAGAACGGGTACATGGTGTAATCGCTGGCTGAAGGAGAGATTAAAATCATGAGAAAGATAAACCACACATGCATATGTTCACTTAAAGGGATGGTTCATCCAGAAATTACAATTGTGCCATCCTTTACTCCTTCGCTTATTCAAAAACCATTTCTTACACAGGATTCTGACCTTTCCAAAGTCAAATTCAAGAACTTTTCAAGCACTTTCCAGGTACATTTTTGAAATTTAGAAGTGTGGAAATTATTTTATAATTACACAAATATACATACTTTACATTTAATCAGATGCTATTTGTTATAGTATAGTATTTAAATCATAAATGCATATTTATTTTAGTTTTATGCATTGTTCATTCATGAAGTCTCCCACAACTTAATGAAAGGGTGCACATAAACAACAACAAAATAAGAAAACAGCCACATCACGCTATAAGCACATGCTCCAACGCTTTCATTTTATGCAAAAGCACAAAAAATATTGAGAAGACTATTTTATTTCATTTAAATAAGTTATTATTATTATTATTATTATTACTACATGTTTAGTAAGATATATTACTATGAAAGCCACACAAATACATTAAGCAATTTCAAGGATTTCTAAGCACTTTTCATTTTCATGAATTTTAAGCATTTCCAGCTCCAATACAAACCCAGTTTCTGCTGTCAAACACAAAAGAAGCTATTTTGAAAAATGCTGGTAGCTGGTACCCATTGACTTGCTAAGCAACTTTTTTTCATTTTATACTTCCTACTCATTGGGTCCCAGCAACCAGCATTCTTCAAAATATCTTCTTTTGTGTTAAAGAGCTCACCAAAACCTGAAAATGTGCTCATTTGCTCCCTCAAGTGGTTCTTTACTTTAAAGAGTTAAACACAAACACAAAAGTAAACATTTTGAAAAATGTCAGAAACCTGTAACCATTTACAATGGTTTTAAAAGTAACTGCTTTTGTGATCAACTAAAAAGGAAACTGCAATCATTTTTGGCAAGTGAAAGTTGAGTAAATGATGATAGAATTATCAGTTTTGGGTCAGCTATACCTTTAAACAGAGGAAAGAAACTCACAAAGGTTTGAAGCCACAGGAGGAAGAATGGAAAGAGGTCATTTTCATTTTTGGGTGAACTATCCCTTTAAAAATTGACTTTGGGGAAGTACCTGTGAATGCATTCATGAAGGTGGAGAGCGAGCGGTTGAGCATCTTAAAAAAGGGGTCTCTGCAGGGGAAACGCTGAGAGCCACACAGAACGGTGTGCTCCAGGATGTGAGGAACACCAGTGCTGTCCATTGGGGTGGTACGAAACAGCACGCTATAAAAACACACAGGCAAAGGAATGTGGACATCAATGGGGCATAAACACAGACAGGCACACATATAAATGTGCACATCAATCAGGTATAAACAGACTGGACACTTTATTAGGTAAATTGAGTAGATTTAATTTTACTGAAATGACTTGTATTTACTGTATATTTACATTCCTCTTGTAGAGTTTTTGTTATTTGCATTGACTCAAGGTCTGAGAGTAATGTAATTTCAATTCTCTGTATGTCTGTACATGTGGCAGAATTGAAAATAAGGCTGACTTTGACACTTTGATCACTTTAACTGCATATTTATGCAAAAATTAAATCTATCAATTACATGATATGAACTAAATCCATTTAGGAATGTAGATGTGATCAAGATTATCGGCTAAAGTTTAACCTGAACATCAGATTTGTTTGATTTTTTATTTTTTTTATTTCCACAAAAGCAACTATTTCATGGCAAGATAAACATAGATAAAACATATTACACAATACTAACAACTTCATAATTCAATAAGGGATGATAAAATAAAAGGATATTAAAAACATTAGATATAATTTTTAGTTCGAAAAATAAACAACTTTTTATAACTGAGCATCAGTAGTGTAGGTGTTGGTGCAAGATGCAGTGACTAATTTGCATATGCATGAATCCACACAAACCAAATAAGGTAAGGATGCAGTAACATTAAAGTCATTTTACGTGGTAAACATTATTTTCACAGAAAAAACAACAACATCTAAGCATGTTATTTTCATTTATGACCACAGGGTAACTTTAAATTCTCTTTATTCTTAAAGTCTATATTATTTACTGTCATCATGGCAAAGATAATCAGTTATTAGAGATGAGTTATTAAAACTATTATTTTTAGATATGTGTTGAAAAAAAATCTTCTCTACGTTAAACAGAAATCGGGGAAAAAAATAAACAGGGGGGCGAATACTTGAATAATTCTGACTTCAACTGTGTGTGTGTGTGTGTGTGTGTGTGTGTGTGTGTGTGTGTGTGTGTGTATATATATATATATATATATATATATATATATATAAAATAAACAAACTTTTATTTTGAATGTGATTAATTTTTGGCCAGCACTAAAAATACAATTACACACACAGAACATATACACGCATACACACAGTACCTGAAGAGGTTGTTGGAATCATCTCGGGCTGCATGCAGATATTGAGCTCCTGTGGCATCATGGGAGAGTTTAACAGCTGTGAGAAACAAATCTGGCACTGCTGTTACCTAAACAATCAAACTCAGTGTTAGCAGAGTCATAAATGTCCAAAACAGCTGTACAGGTCTAAATAAGGAGCATCACCTCTCAGTCTGAGAGTTACAGTGTAATATAAAGACAACTGACCCAATAAAATCTACTGTATCTTTTTTAATGCATGAAATTCAGAGGCCTCCAAATAATGCCATCTAGAAATGTCATATTATAGTACAATATTCACAGCTTTTACTGAAATATTTATAAATATATATTTTTATCTGGTAAATAATATGTAAGTAAAAGAACAATCCCAGAAACGTTTATACATACACCATCATATTCATAACTTTCCCAAACATTGAGCCTTTTGAATGTTGCAACAGGCAACCACTGACTTCCAAAGTTAAATAAAATTCAATCATTATGACAAAAAATAGTATAGAGGTCAGTGATTAGAAGTTTCAAACATATTTTGAAAAATAACTTGTTTTAAGTACGACAAAAAACAAACACATTTCACAAATATGTTTGAGTGTTTGAATAAATGATCAGTTTCATTTTTTGTGAACCATCCTTGCCATTTTGTCTTGGCATTACAGTAACTATAAGACTAAAAAGGTTTTTTAAACTCCTGCTTCTCTGTGTGAAACAGGTATTTCATGATTTGTTTAGTCATTTCATTACCTCTTTAACAGTGAAGTTATGTATCTTCTGTCCCACAGTGTATTTGAGGGCTTTCTCTACAGCAGAGCTCCCTCTCGACCTCCATGAGCCCTGAAAACTACAAACACCCATTCATTATAAACTACAGTGTTAAACATGACTGATTGAGGTAAAGTTGGTTTTACATTCGCACAGTCATTCATTTTTAAACAGTGACAACTTGTGACACGCTTCCTACACTGTTTGCCATGCTACTTTGAATATGCGGTCAGAGATCTCATGTGTAACTTCAAAGCAACTTTAGCACTGTTAGATTGACTGTGAATGATTTTGTACTTTAATATTCATTGGCTGCTAATATAATTTCATGATTTATTTTTGCAAAGAGTACTTTGCTGAAATTATATTATTAAGAAGTCAGAATGTGTGAATATAAAACCAACTGTACACCGCAGAGTTTAATATGGATTCAGTACGGTTTATAAAAGACAACAAAGGCATGACGGTAAAAAAGAAAGCTTGTGCATCATTGAGAATAACATTTAGACAATGTTACAGTTGATTTGGTTTATTTATCTCAAATGGTGTCAGAGTTATATTTATTTAAGCGTTTACAGTGTCTCCAATATACTTAAAATATGGATTTAGTACCGCATATAAAACACAACAAAGACATAACTGTAAAAAAAAAAAGCTTCTGCATCATAGAGAATAATATTTAGACACGTTTACAGATGAGTTAATTTCTTTATCTAAAATAGTTTCAGAGTTTAATTAATTTAAGCGTTTACATTATATCAGATATTGTAAAAATATGGATTCAGTGCTGTATATAAAAACAAAAAAATCATGACTGTAAGAATCAAAGCTTGTTCATCATAGAGAATAATATTTAGAATCTTTTAGAGTTGATTTCAATAATTATCTCAAATAGTGTCAGAGTTTAATCCATTTAAGCGTTTACAGTGTATCAGATATAGTGAAAATATGGATTCAGTACTGTATATAAAAACAACAAAGGCATAACTGTAAAAATCAAAGCTTGTGCATCATAGAGAATAATATTTAGACACGTTTACAGCTGAGTTAATTTCTTTATCTTAAATAGTTTCAGAGTTTAATTAATTAGAGAGAATAACATTTAGACAATTTCACTTCCTAATCTGCAATTGCATCTCTGAATATACCACTAACTGTACTCAAAAATAAAAATAAAAATAATAATAAAAAAAAATTACTAAAATTTAACTAAAAAAAAAAAAAAAAAAAACATTTTACTAAATTACTAAAAAATTACTAATACTTTCCTTAGACTTTACAGAGCTGAAACTTGCCTATAGCACGTATTTATTGTTGCTCTTATAGTTGTGTAAATTGCTTCCTTGTCCTCATTTGTAAGTCGCTTTGGATAAAAGCGTCTGCTAAATGACTAAATGTAAATGTAAATGTAAATTTAAGCGTTTACAGTATATCAGATATACTGTAAAAATATGGATTCAGTACTGTATATAAAAACAACAAAAGCATAACTGTAAAAATCAAAGCTTGTGCATCATAGAGAATAATATTTAGACAATTTCAGAATTTATTTAATTTCTCTATCTCAAATAGTGTCAGTTTAACTCATTTAAGTGTTTAAGTGTGTCTGAAAAACTAAAAATATAAATTCAGTATTGTATATAAACACAACAAAGACACTAGTGTAAAAATCAAAGCTTGTGCATCATAGAAAATACTATTTAGACAATGTTAGAGTTGATTTAAATACTTTTCTCAAATAGTGTCAGAGTTTAATCGATTTAAGTGTTTACAGTGTACTCGACTTAATGAAAATATGGATTCAGTACTGTATATAAAAACAACAAAGGCATAACTGTAAAACTCAAAGCGTGAGCATCACAGACCATTTTAATGTTGATTTGGTTTATCAAATGGTGTCAGAGTTTAAATAGTTATTACAATTTTACCTTAAAAATTACTTTAAAAATATTATAAAATAATTAAAGTGCTAATTGCAAAAAACAGAGTATTGTGCAATAATGATTTCCTGAACCTTTTGGTACTAGTTTTGTTGTATAGTTTCTTATGGTTGAATTGTTTATTTCATTCATATGGTTATTTTTTAATCGAGAAAGTAATTCCTGAGCAACATAAAGAGCACACATTTATGTCTATCTGAAGTAGTTTGGGCTCAATCTATAACAGGAGAAAAGAATTAATGGGTTTGAAACCGAATGTCTAATGAATGTCAAACTAATTTTACCCCCGAGTTTTTTTTTTTCATTTTTATTATTATGCTTTATTATTTTATTATTATGCTTTAAACAACACATACATGACAATACTGTAAACAAAATAATGTCAGGTGATAGAAGGTAAATAAAATAAACAAACAAATAAACCAAACAAACACAAAAAACAAGAGTATAAATAATTTACTAAACTTCTTACAATAACAAACAAGCAGGACCTTCACAAGAATCAAACATTTTGAAACTACAGCAGGACAGTTTTATTGGCATTACCACTATGCTGAATAGTACAACAGTAATTTTTCAGTTCATTACAAAACAAAGTAAAACAGTGTCTTTTGTTGGGAAATTTACACTTATGAATATGAAACTTAATCAACAAAATAAACCCCTGAGGTTTATGACTGAGCTTTCCTATAGGATTACATCACATATATCAAAACAAGCCAAAGCTACACTTATAAACATGATGACAGTTAACAACAATGACTTGCACGACAATATAATGACCACTAACACATTAATGACAGGCTAAATGAACCCTCACACACGTCTGTAACAGGAGTTTAGGTTCACAGAGATGTCTCTCATGATACTCACCTCAAATTTGTGAGCTTTGTGATGATAGTCTTACTCTGACGAAACATTTTAGATGGTCAAAAGTACTGTCTCTAATTATTACAGTGATTTCCGTGCTGATTTAAATGTTAAAACACATCATATTTAACTGCTAGCGGTCATATTTTCTTTACAACTGAAGTTCTGTCCTTCCATGCTCCATGATGTACACCACGCATGCGCCGTAGACACAACCACCGTATAAACAACGCAGCTTCTCATTGGTTGCAACAGAAGAAGAGCGCGTTTGATTGATTTCTGCAAAGTCACCACTTGTACATAATAAAAGTTTGACGAAATAAGTAAAAACGTCAAATTAGGTATAAATACGAACCTAAAAACTGACGTTTATTAAGAATAAAAGAAAACTGAGTTTTTTGTATTACTTTACCGAATGTTTTTTAAACTGTCCAGCAGATGTCAGGAGAAGCAGGCAAGCAGCGCTTTATTAAACACAAAAGGTCAAGTAACGTTAACAGAAAGGGAGTGAACGCGAAAATAAACTACTTTTAGGACATGTAGGGAGTATTTATCTATTAGGGTGAAATATTGTAATACGTTTTAAAATGATAAGGTGATTGCTGGACTCTGGAGGGAGTTTTCCTAATAAAAAAATACTAAATAAAAATACTGGTTTCATCCCTAACTCGATAGTGGGTCAATTCCTTTTAAAACTTGTGTTTTTAAAATAAAAATAAACTAATTAAATTAAATTATTGAATATATAGACGTAAAGTATATTGTGCCATCTCATGCTATTTAATTATATTATAATACATTAAATATTCTGATTGGAAATAAATGTCTATATTAGTTTTCGTTATTACAGATTTGTATTATTTATTTTATTTGTATTAGCTTTTTTGCAGATATATATATATTAGAATGTTACTGAACAACACATTAAATATGGAAGGCATCTATTCTGATATGTATGTACACATAAACACTACCTGACAAAAGTCTTGTCGTCAATCCCAGTTATAAGAGCAGCAAATATTAACTTGACTTTTAGTTGATCATTTGGAAAAGTGGCAGAAAGTAGATTTTTTCAGATGAATCATCTGTTAAACTGCATTCCAATCATCACAAATACTGCAGAAGACCCATTGGAACTCGCATGGACCCAAGTTTCTTATAGAAATCAGTTAAGTTTGGTGAAGGAAAAGTCATGGTTTGGGGTTACATTCAGTATGGGGGTGCGAGAGATCTGCAGAGTGGATGGCAACATCAACAGCCTGAGCTATCAAGACCTTTGTGCTACCCATTACATAACAAACCACAAGAGGTAAAATTCTTCAGCAGGATAGCGCTACTTCTCATACTTCAGACTCCACATCAAAGTTCCTGAAAGCAAAGAAGGTGAAGAAGCTTCAGGATTGGCCAGCCTAGTCACCAGGTATGAACATTATTGAGCATGCCTGGGGTAAGATGGAGGAGATATTTAAGATGAATCCAAATAATCTTGATGAACTCTGGGAGCCTTGCAAGAATGCTTTCTTTGCCATTCCATATGACTTTATTAATTAATGAAGCGATTTGAGTCATTGCAGAGATGTCTGGATGCAGTCCTCCAAGCTCATGGGAGTCATACACAATATTAACTCTTTTTCCACTGTACCATGACTTTATATTCTATACTGGACATTATTTCTGTTAAGTGACAAGACTTTTTGTCTAAGCAAAGCCAGACCTTACTGTCCTAATGAAATAATTAAAAATCAAGGCATGATCATATTTTATTTTGATAAAATAAGCGTAATCTAGAGGCCTTTGCCTTTCATATAAGCCACTTCTGACACCAAATCATAAACTAGAAGTCAAGTTATTAATTGCTGTTCCTAAAACTTGAACAGACGACAAGACGTTTGTCAGATGGTGTACTGGCTTCCCAGCTGAAGCAATAACTCCTCTTTTAAAGATCTTTTCTCCCCATTCCAGTTGGTTTAAAGTGTTTTTCCCAGTGTTTGTGTGTGAGGGTGGGTCTGTAGAGCATCTCCTTCATCTTACTGATGTCTGTTTTAGGTTCATGCGGAGGTAAAAGTCTGTGAAACACTCCCATGAACTCGCAGTACTGAACATTTGTTGTTACATTGAACAAAGTGCATCAGATTTTTGTCGACACAGTGTCTTTGTTTACTGTTTATACACAGTCCTCCTGTGGATTTCACTGACACAGGATACCAAATTAATCTCTAAAGCATGGAGCAGCAGTCCAGGCCTGAAAAGCTGAGAGGTGTGATGTTTGCACACTGCATATTAATAATAATATAAACATGGCAACACAGTGGTTAGCACTGTCGTCTCACAGCAAGAAGGTTGCTGGTTTGAGCCCCAGTTGGGTCAGTTGGCATTTCTGTGTGTACTGTATGTTCTCCCTGTGTTGGCGAGGGTTTCCTCTGGATGCTCTGGTTTCCCCCACAGTTTCCCCCGCTAGATGAATTGAATAAGCTAAATTAGCCATACTGTATATGTGTGAATGAGTGTGTATGGATGTTTCCCAGTGATGGGTTGAAATAGGTGAATAGGTTGGCGGTTCATTCTGCTGTCGCGACCCCTGATGAATAAAGGGACTAAGCTGAAGGAAAATTAATGAATAAATAAATAACACACAAAACTGTGTTTTATAAAAATCAATTATTTTTATTGTGGTATAAAATGTATTTACAAAGATTTAAAAAGTGACAATACATTGTTGCCTTAATATGGATCTACTTTTAACAAACAAAGAGCAAACAAACAAAATGCACCTTTTATATTATATATAAAGCTATAGAAATAGTGAGAGACCACTTTAAGATTTTTTGTTTCTCTAGATTTACTTGTGTTTGAGTAAATTATAATTAATCTTTTATTTTGTAAATGACAAATTTAAAATAACAATGTAGTCAAATTGCAGAATATTTAATTTAAATATAACAATAAAAATATGCCATGTTTTTAAACATGTTTATGTTTTAGAGCAGTGTTTCTCAACCATGTTCCTGGAGGACTAGCAACACTGCATATTTTGGATATCTCCTTGGTCTGTCACGTGTCTTTCAGTCTCTGCTAATGAGCTGATGATCTGAATCAGGTGTGTTTGGTTACGAAGACATGGGCTGCGTACGAAACCGCATACTATACAGTAGGCTAAAATCAGTATGCGTGCCGAGTAGTATGTCCGAATTCATACAATTCGACAATCAGTATGCAAGAAGTACCCGAATGACTTTCTACTTCCGGCGAGATTCTGAAGTGCGCATCCCATGTACGCTGCGCTATCGCATGATGCCCCGCAAGAGAATTCATGAATGGGAGTGAAGTGAGTATAGAACGTACTAGAGTAGAGTATAGATACTGTATAGAACGTACTTTTCTAACAGCCGAGTAGTGCATTTAAATTCAAATGCAGAACCTACTGAGAAGTAGGCGGTTTCGGACGCAACCATGGAAATTGTGCAGAGCTGGTGATCCTCCAGGAACGTGGTTGAGAAACATATGAAACATATAAGAATACCAATGCTTTAAAGTCAGAAGGGTTAAGAAATGAATATATGGTGAAATAACCCTGACTTAGAAGCACAACAAATGAAAACATTTACGGAGGAAATCTGACTCTTATAAAAACAAAACCTTTGACTCAAACCAACCTTATCAATCCAGAGCAACTGAGAATGTTCAAGTGGTCTCTTCACTTTATTAAAACATTTCAGTGGTTACACAAGTAAAAATCAGAGGTCTTCAGAAAAACTCAAACAGTTCAACTGACATGAATCTAGGCATGGGCCGGTATACGATTCTGATGGTTTGATAACCTTGGATAAAAATGCCACGGTTTCACGGTATTGTGATTGCTGCTCCAAAATAAGTTCTTTTTAAATGTCTGTGAAAAAAAAAAAAAATCAAGAACTTTTTTATTTTTGGAAACATTTAAAATATTTTGGGCCAGTAGCTTTTGATGTAAGGCAAGGCAAGGCAAGTTTATTTATATAGCACATTTCATACACAATGGCAATTCAAAGTGCTTTACATAAACAAGAATAAAAGAAACAAGTAAAATAAAAAAAAAAACAAATAATAAAAATGCGTAAAAACAAAACAAAACATAAAAACAGGTAAAATGTGATATAAAAGAATGAAGAAGAAGAGAAAAACATGATAGTGAAATCTGTCGGACGCAGCACAGTGCTCATTCAGTAAAGGCACAGCTAAACAGATGTGTTTTCAGTCTTGATTTGAATGTGCCTAATGTTGGTGCACATCTGATCATTTCTGGAAGCTGATTCCAGCAGCGAGGGGCGTAGTGGCTAAAAGCCGATTCACCCTGCTTTGACTGAACTCTTGGAACTTCTAGTTTATATGATCCTAATGATCTGAGTGATCTGTTAGGTTTGTATTCAGTGAGCATATCTGTGATGTATTTAGGTCCTAGGCCATTTAGTGATTTATAGACCAGTAATAATACTTTAAAATCTATTCTGAATGTAACTGGCAGCCAGTGTAAAGACCTGAGGACCGGTGTGATGTGCACTGATTTTCTGGTTCTGGTTAGAATTCTGGCTGCAGCGTTCTGGATGAGCTGCAACTGTCTGACTGTCTTTTTAGGAAGACCAGTGAGGAGTCCATTACAGTAATCCACCCTGCTGCTGATAAAAGCATGAACAAAAGCATGAACATGTAGAAAAAGCATGAACATGTAGAAGTTCCTTTTCTGCTGAAGATACTGTTTACAGTACTAAAATAGTTGTAAAAAACATGTAAAAAAGAGGACAACAACAAAAATATCGATATCGTAAAAAAATATATTGATATCGTGTTGACACTGTAACACCTGCAGGCCTTTAAACATCTGGACAGCAAATGCTGGAGTTCATCAGCTCCTCCTGCCAACATCATGTCAAACAACTGCCAGCAAATTTCCTCATGCATTTTTTTAAAGACCACAAAAAATATAGCATACTACACAGTAGCAAGTCTGTGTCCTGTCTTTATGTTACACCCATTCTAATAAACACAGTTCAGTCTCAATCTTTATGACACTAAACAGCAATCAATGATCATCAGAATTACAGTTTCACTTCATGACTCTTGGACAAAACTGAACTACTGATACTGATGCTGATTACTTTAGTGCATTCATGCCAAATTAAAAGTTTATTGCTTTTAAATTCAGCACAAACGCTGCACCTAGTCGATAAATGTAATAAACACTTTAATTTCTCTCAAATGTGCTCTTATAAACCTGCCTGGACACACTCAGTAGCTGCTCTGAACAAAAACACACCAGCTGTGCAGTAAAGCAGAGGTTTTCAGTTTGTTAATGCAGCTTTGTGTTAAAATGTTTACAAAACCGATGCATATTATATGTATTCCACTTGGAAAAAAATAAGTTTCCCTGGATTTACTGTTTATTGTTACAGTGCTCAGCATAATTAAGTACAGCCCATTTTGAAAATGAATATTTTAATCCATTTCTCAGTGAATATACTGTAGGCAGTGTATTTTGGTGCATTTAAACAAAACAGATTTATTAAACAGATATATTTATTAAAATAGCATTTTTGTCACCAAACATATAAAAAAATTGAAAAATACAATTAAATTCAAGCAAAATATTGAAAAAAAAATACAACCTACACAATTTCAACTCAATTTTTTGGCTTCTTTTCATTTTTCCTTTTTTTAAATTTGTTTTTATTATTTTTCTATAACATACATTTGGCTGTACTGTTTTTTTGAACCGTTACCTTAAGTTATTTTGTTAGATAAGCTCCAGATTTGACTTCAGTACTGACTAATCTAATGTACATGCACAAATATAATACTGTAAAGCTTCCTTTTAAAAATATGAATTTAAAAAGAGAGATTTGTGAGAGATCTGTGCTTATATATGCAGAGCACTGTATGTGTTTCAATGAAATGTCATTAAGGGGGGCTAATAATTCTGACTTCAACTGTATATATACACACACACACAGGCAGTATATGAAGAGTTAAGTTCAGATGCAGATACCTCTGAATGCCATTTGATTTTTTTTTCAAAAATTTGTATTTTTCTCAGACTCTTGAATGTAGGCTCAGTAATTTTACTTTTACAGTGATAAATAAGTTATTTTTATTGGCTTTAAAGTGAAATAACTGAAGACAAATGTAGAAGGCTGAGAAGAAACATGTTCATTTTACGACAAAATATCAGACTACATTTAGAGGTTTTTGTATCTGAACTCTTTATATATACATACAAGCATATATATATATATATATATATATATATATATATATATATATATATATATATATATATATATATATATATATTTATATAAGGTTTATCATTTGCATGTGTCTTTATGAGGTGTGACAGAGCATTTTTAAGAAAGTTTAGAACATTTGGGCACAAAACATTATGATGTTTGGAGATGCAAGAAAGATTTATTTAAATATATATTTATTTATATACAGAATGTATATGATTTGTGCCAAAAAAGAATTTCTCACCTAGAATTTTTTTACCCAAGTCAAAATATCTTCATTTCAAAGAGAGAACAGGACTATTGTAATTAACACATTGGCACATAATTTTGCTTGTCTTCAGGATAAACTTTTAATTTTGACTTATTTCTTCTGAAGGTGAAAACAAAACATTATTATTACTTGATCTGAGAATGTTTCGTTATTTTACTAGAAGACAGAATTGTTTTTGCTTTGTGATTGTTTAATTTCTGTACCTGAATACTGTTAGACTCCCAGAAAACTGTCAAATAGAGCTAATCAAACCATTTTCTGAAACTGTATTCATATCGCAATATCGTGCAGCAATAATATATATATATATATATATATATATATATATATATATATATATATATATATATATATATATATATATATATTATATATATATACACACAAACACACATGCATGCACGCATGCACACACACATATACATACATACACACGTGCACACAAACCTATATTCACACACTTTTTGAGATACGCACATTTCCAGTGCAGAATGTAAAAGCTGGCTTATATATAGAATGTAAACTGGCTTATGATTATTGTATATTTTTTACCCCAGGTGAAATGAATTTACCCCAATTTGGAAATTCTACAAACAAGTTAACCTCTATTCAGCACCAGAACGTTGTGCATTAAATTAACAAATAAAATGCCATCCTTTTTTTAAGTCTCGATTTGAATGCATATAAGAAGTAGGTGCAAAATGTGCAACGCAGGCACTCACTGAATGCACACAAAAACAGCCGTGCAGGTGTTTGGGATTCTCACACACACGCTTGGTTTGTTTTTGTGCTGTAGCAGGTTGTTCGTCTCTCGCTGCTCGTCATTCAGATGTGTCTCTTCATGTGCAGAGCCAGATGATCAGAACGAGAGAAACACCTGAAAGAGAACATAATGTTCATACAAGAGGAAAAGTCCCCCTGAATATAAAACCAAAGATAGTATTAAGGTTCTCTATAAGTCAGTGTGCTTAAAACTCGCATTTAGATGATATAAGCAATAAGGGTGTAGATTCGCATCATGGATGTGCAGCCGACAAATGTGCAGCAACTATGTGATGCTATCATGTCAATACGGACCAAAATCTCTGAGGAAAATTTTTAGTATTTTGTTGAATCTCTGCCATGAAGGATTAAATGGGGTCTAACCCGGTACTAGTAAGGTGTACCTAATAAAGTATGCTGTGAGTGCATCACCTACATTTGAATTCAATTCAATTAATACACTCAATGCTGAAATTTAGAGGTGCACTTCATTTGAAAGCAACAAAACAAACACGCTAATAATGCAACAAGGCTGCTAATTGGATGAAAGCGTGTTTTAGGAATTGGTTTGAGACTATGGTCAAAAACATATTTCAAATATAGCCTAGTGCACCTTTAAAGCAAATAATCGTTAAGACAGAGTCAACATTGCCATTATAGATTAGACAAACTTCAGCCCCTTGCCTCTGATTGGCCGAGCTGTTATACACAAAAATGGTTAAAAAGTGGGAGGGGCTACTCTTCATGTCTTGTTGGAAATGACATCAAACAATGCTGTGCATCTCAAGGCATTTCAGAAGAGCTTTATCTTGCGTTTATCTGCCTCAAATGGATTTTTTGCATTGAGCTTTCCTGCTTAGTATGATTCGGTACAGAGCACCCTGATGAGGCTGCCCTTACATCATAGGCATGATGTATATTATAAAGTTACCATTGATATCACTTGATAGGCGTGTTGTATTTTTAGTTTCTCACCATGTCAAGTTCCCTTTGCAGTCTTTCTTAGAAATTGAGTATTGTACTGTTCTTACCAGTTACAGGAAATGAGCCATTAAATGCTGCATCACACACACACACCCACACACACACACACACACACACACACACACACACACACACACACACACGTGCGCGCGCACACACGCACCTGTCACAGTGGCTGCATTTGAAAGGTTTTGCTCCAGTGTGTTTTCTGAAGTGTCTGGTCAGTTCATCACTTCGAGCGAAACGCCACTCACAGCCTTCCCACGAACACCTATATGGCTTTTCACCTGCAGGAAAGACAAAACACAGCTATACTCACTGTTTTTGTATTTTACTTAGGGGTAAAAAAAGTACTATTTGAATGCTAAGAGTAAACAAGCTGATGCTGCTGAGAGCAACATTTAGAGGAGTGTGTACAGTAGATGTGAGCTGCAGGCTTTCCCTCATTAGCACAATAAAAATAGAACAAACAATGACAGCAGTGAGAAAGGATGCTGAGGTTTAAAGGTTTAGAAGGCACATTTTTAAATACGTTTACATACTTGAAGACACTTAAGTTAATACTCTACATTAAGGGTTGTGTAAAATTCACCAAAACATATGTTGATAATAAGAATTAGATGATGTTTTGCAGAGTGTGTTTGTGATTGCACCATGACTTTGAATCAGTTGTTCAGAGCAGGCCTCAATGTTCACCACCTTAAAATGATTTCTGGGGCATTTTTAGCTATCTAAGGAGATTCTGTTTTAGTTATAAGATGTATGCCTAACTTTTAATGCCGAATTTTAACATTTAGTATCAATGAAACTAGAATAGCAGCACAGAATGAGGTTATTACGGGCCAAGCACCGAAGGTGTGTAGGCACCTATTGTATCTGTTCCGGTTCTTAGTAATATTCTTCTCTGTTTCCTCTTCTTCTTCTACTCTGGTTGTCTACAGCATTTGCGCAAACTTTCACAGTCTGATCTTTAACCACAACAAATTTGCACTCTCTAACTCAAACTCTCTAGCGCCACCACTTTTTACTTTTACTGTCTATCTTTAGAACTTTGAATCAAATGGGCTACAATCTTTTTTTCTGCTGATTCCTTGGCTCAAAATGAATGATGTCATTTTTCATCATGAAAATCTTTTCTCAATTTTGAATTTTTAGTAAAACCCATTTGAACTAACTCATCCTAGGCCATTTTTCCGATTTTACCAAAATTGAATTACATGATCTACAGAAAAAAAAACATGCAACACAGAACATGTTCATTCCCACAAGTCCATGTCTATGTTGAGCTCTTTAAAGTGATCTACAGTATTTATTCTTAATTCTATTACTTCTAGACAAGTCAGGATAGTAGTCAGGATCATTCATTAAATTGCAAGCAAGACGAGAAGTGTGGGAAATAGGGTTAATATTTGCACCTCCAGCACATGACAGCAACATGAAGAATGAGCATTCGAAGAATGCAGGGAGTCACCAAACCACATGTACACACACACACTCTTCAAACATTTGCCTCTAGAGGAGGAGGTCTGCTTGCTAAGTATTCAAACAACGAGAGTGATGCAACAGCAAAGCCACATGAGAATGAACGCATACTGTGTATGAATGCACTGAAACTGCTGGGTTTCTATCACCCTGTGTTAATGCACATTTAGAAGTATTGCATGAAAAACTAGTGCTGGAAATACCAAATATTGAATAAAAAAATCCCTTCACAGAAAACTTTTTACACTCACTTGAGATGGCTTTGGACAAAAAGGGTTAAAGCAAATAATGTGCGATGCATTTACTGAATAAACTCTGAAGTAGGGAACATTACACCTGCATGACCAATGAAGTTCAAGTCAAAATGGAGCTTTATTGTCGCTCCAGTATATATGTAATGAAATGTCGTGTCTCACATATACACTATACACACAACACTGTACATAAGAATTATTTGAAACCTATACATACTAACACTGGAGCAGTAAACTAACTATAATTATGGATTTTAATATACGTACCTAAACTATCCACATAACCTAAGACAAGCTATACAAGCACTTTCACACAAGACAGAACAATTTTGTACAAGATATTGTGCAAAAGGAAGTATTTAGGTTGGATGAAAAAAGTAGTGCAACATGATCAGCTACATAGTTGCTAGGTTACCAATACTACAGTCAGCCACTCTAAAGCCTCATTCACACTACGAGTAACTAGGGATCTCTCAGCTTGCTCAGAGGCCGTTTGTATTCTCCGTGCTGTGGACCTACACAGACCTGCGTTCACAGCAGGTTGCCACCCAGAGCGAAAGAGACATTGGCATTTGACATTAATGAATTTTGGCTTGGTAGAACATTTTATACAAAGCGAGTTACACTGCATTCTAATAATGCATTTTATTATCAGTTCATGCATTCTCTAATTTTGGGATGTTTTAACTCTGTAAAGGCTGATATCTTAAATAAAAGTCCAAAGAGACAGTTCAGTAGATAAAAAATAATTAAAAAAGCATTCAGGTATAAGAAATTGTATCGTTTGTAACTTTGAAAAGGGCGAAGCAGTGGCACAGTAGGTAGTGCTGTTGCCTCACTGCAAGAAGGTCGCTGGTTCTAGCCTCGACTCAGTTGGCGTTTCTGTGTGGAGTTTGCATGTTCTCCCTGCATTCGCGTGGGTTTCCTCCGGGTGCTCCGGTTTTCCCCACAATCCAAAGACATGCAGTTTAGGTGAATTGGGTAGGCTAAATTGTCCGTAGTGTATGAGTGTTTCCCAGAGATGGGTTGCGGCTGGAAGGGCATCCATAAAGCTGCATAAAAACTTGCTGGATAAGTTGGCGGTTCATTCCGCTGTGGCCACCCCAGAATAATAAAGGGACTAAGCCGACAAGAAAATGAATGAATGAATGTAACTTTGAAAAAAGAAAGACAATTAATTTTATTGAATTGTTAATATAAGGACTACGCAGTGTTATTTCACATTTGATCATAGCATTAATGTACACCTGACCTGACAAAAGTCTTGTCGTCAATACCAGTCGTAAGAGGAACAAATAATAACATGACTTCTAGTTGATCATTTAGAAAGTTGCAAGCAAAGCAGGTCAGGGTCTTCCAGGATTGACCAGCCCAGTCACCAGACATGAATATTATTGAGCATGTCTGGGGTAAAGATGGAGGAGGCATTGAAGATGAATCCAAAGAATCTTGATGAACGTTGGGAGTCCAGCAAGAACACTTCGTTGCCATTCCAGATGACTTTATTAATCAGTGAGTCATTGCAGAGATGTATGGATGCAGTACTCCAAGCTCATTGGAGTCATACACAATATTAACTCTTTTTCCACTGCATCATGACTTTATATTCTATACTGAACATTATTTCTGTTAAGTGACAAGACTTTTGTCTTAGCAAAGTCAGACCTTACTGTCCTAATTAAATCATTAAAAATCAAGGCATGATCATTTTTAATTTTGCTAAAATAAGCGTAATCTAGAGGCCTTTGCCTTTCATACCAGCCACTTCTGATACCAAATGATCAACTAGAAGTCAAGTTATTATTTGATGTTTCTAAAAACTTGGATAGGCAAAAAGACTTTTGTCAGGTAATGTATACCTGAATACAGTTCGTCTCCTCTGAAAACAATAACATTATGTTTATTTAATTTTCACTTTATTCTATGTAGATTTTTTATTATATTTTATGCAAACACACTCCCCCCTACAGTATCAAACCAATAAATCTAAAACAATAAATTCTTTCCAAATAGTTTTTCAAGACATCTAGTGAAAGTCCATACATATCACTGAATAAAAAAACATTGCTATGTTGGATTTTTCCAATATCGTGCTTCCCTAGCTTTTAATTCAAATCAATCAGGTGAATAAAGGAATGAAGCATATTCGAGTAACTGGTTTTTTAGCAAAATTCTGATCATGTCTGTGTGTGTGTGTGTGTATTTAAGCGCTGTGTACATCATATTCATCAGTGTGACTTTCAGCTTGATCTGAACGAGAGCAGTTTTGTTTCCCAAAGCTGAGGAAGCTGTTATGGCAACAGTAAGTCAAAATACTGGTAGGATTATACACCCTCACATAGAAACTGCTTACCCGTGTGTGTGCGCTGATGTGCTTTCAGGTGAGAACTCTTTGTGTAAACCTTCCTGCAACCGTTAAAGTAGCATCGATGAGCTCTCCTTCGTCCTTCAGGTGACCCTTCACATCTGACCTCCTCCCCTCTTGGACCGTCTGCATCTTCTTTCACCAGTGAGGGCGAGGAGGGCGGTGTGCTTGCGATTACACACTGCTGCTCAGACGCGTTGTGGCCCAGTGGGTGTGTGTGAACATCAGCAGATGCGATGATCTTCTCACAGCTGCCGAATGATGAATGGCAGGATGCTGCGATCTCATCCTGTCTGGGGATAGAGGCTCCCGGTGGGGACAGGTTTGCTTCTGTCCCACAGCACCGCACAAACTGGCTCCACAGATGGTCGGATTCGCATACTGACCTCAGATCTGCTGCAGAGACATAGGGCTCGCTCTGCAGATAGCGCTCAAGCTCAAGACAAGTCTGTGTGAGAGAGAAAAAGGGCACAAAAGTGACATGTTACATGCATTTTCTGCTTGTGTTTTTAAATGTAAAACAATTTTTTTTTTTATGTTTTGGAAATGTGCGACATTGTTTTAGGGTAAATTTCTAAATGGTAAATTCTAAAATGAAACTAAAACTCTTAAAAATAAAGCCCTGTTATCATTTATGGACATATATTGTGTTCTAAAGCTTTTAGTATCTTCTGTAAAACACACAATTTGAGGTTTAGCAGGACTTCAGACGTTTTTTTGTTAGTGTGAAGCTGTCAAGTTGCAAAAAATTATACATTTATAGTAACAAATGTTTTAAGTTATATGAAGACTGAAATTCAAAGGTTTTGGGTCAACGAGAAAATGAAATACTCTTACTCAGAGAGATCAGAGTGAATTTATCGTAAACATTTTGAACATAAAAATTTTTTAAATATCGGTTTTAAGTGCTCTACCATAATTGTTTCTAGACATGGGGCGATAACCGTTGTCAAAGTAATCCGCGGTTTGTTTTAAAATCGTCAAAATTGTGTGCAATACCGTTCCTAAGGTATGTGTATGATTTTTTATTTATGTTTTTTTTTGTTTGTTTTTTAGGACAGCAGTATCTTCCACAGAAAATATATCTAAAGATGACGTTTTAAATAATAAATAATCTGTTTTTGAAACAAATGATGACAGCAGAAGTCAATAATTTATTAAGCCTGACATGTTTACTCTTCCAGAATAATTTTAATGTTTCTCCAAATATTGTGTTCAAAAGGGAAAAAAGTTTTTGTTTTTACCTAGATATTTAAAAAAAAAAAAAAAAAAAAAAAAAAAAAAAAAAATATATATATATATATATATATATATATATATATATATATATATATATATTAGAACAGTAATCATTTTTATCCAAGGTTATCATACTGTCAGAATCTTATACCAGCCCATGCCTAATTGTTTCCTTCATTCTTCCTACATAAGAAAGGATTTTTTAAGCATTAAACCAACATTGAGATAAAGTTGGTTATATATTCACATATTCGTTTAGTGACAACGGTCCCTATATTGTTTACCATGCAACTTTGAATATTCAGTCTGAAATCACATGTAAATGTGACTTAAAACAACATTAGCACTATTTAGTTGACTGTGAACAATGTTGTACTTTGATAGTCATGGGCTGCTAATATGATTTCACTATTTAGAATTAGCAGAGAATGTTTGTGCAAAGTTATATTATTAAGAAGTGCGAATGTGAAAACAAAAAACCAACTTTACCTTAATCAAACCAACATAACTTCTAAAGAATCATGTGACACTAAAAACATAGTAGAAGTAGCTTTGTAGAATTATTTACACTGAAAAACAATGAGTTCTGTAAAATTGATGCAAACAACTTTGTTTAAGTTCAGCCCAAATAAATAGTTTACAACCACAATAAAAACAACTTTTAAAAAAATTGTAAATCCAAGAAATAATCTTTGAATAGTTTTTTCATTGTATTTTGATGCTGTGTTTTACAAACATCATTATAAATAAATGCAGTCAAATAAAAATACTTTCTTTTAGCATCAAATGATATTACGACTTCTGAAGGATCATGTGACAAAAAAAGATGTGAAATTCAGCATTGACTATATTAATGCTGTATTTTTAATAAACGCAGTCATAAATGAACAGACTTAACGTTATTCCTAAAATAAATGTTTACATTTCAAAACCCTTTCACTTGTCGATTATTGTAGATTATGGTAGCAAGTGCAATTTTTATGTAAATTTTAAACGTCTTTTCCCGCTAAATTAAAATCTTTTATGAAAGCAATAATTTGTATTCCACTCTTGGGGAAATCTCGTGAACTGAAACATCGTATATTAAAATAAAATAATACCCTGTATGAAGTCGTATATTTATTTTCTTTAAATTTCTTCGGTCAAAGACTTAACAGAGGTAGTTTATAGTTGGTTACCTGTTGCCAGTACTCCTCCAGAGACGGTAACGCGGACAGGTATCCCGTGTCAAGCACACTCTGCAGCTCCTGGAATATACTACACATAGGAATAACATCCATATCCCTCCCAGAACTGTCAAATTCAGCTTGAAAATGCGTTTTCCCGCCGTGTCTTCATGTAAGGCAGCAGCTTTGTCTGTAGCGGTAGCGAACACTCGGCTGCAGAGAAAGCGCTGTAAACTGCAAACTTCCCATTTCAAAACAAACCTAACACGCTGCGTGTCGTCATCAGCTGTCAGTGAACGAATCAGAGGCGCGCAGATAGTCCCACGCCCACTATCTAGACTCCACCCACTTAGAGAGGCAGTCCGGGTAATTGGATGGTGATTGGTTGTTGGCTTATCCTTCTGTGTGATGATTGGTGAGTTGTAGTTGGCGCTATTTCTGGGGAGGTATATAAACATACCCCCTTCATGTTCTCACTTCACTTCAACCGAGGAAGGAAGCCTGTGAATATGTGGTTGATATATATATATATATATATATATATATATATATATATATATATATATATATATATATAATGTGTGGAAAAAAGTATTAACCTTAATGAACCATCAATTAACATTAAATATTACAATTATGATTTAATAATTATTTTTGATGTTTTTAAAATACTTTAATGTTTGTTCTTTAAATTTTTTTTAATGTTCATTGATGGTTCATAAAGGTTACAACCTTTTTTCACAAACAAAAACACAGGCCTGAATACTGAAAATATTTTCAACTCATCCTGACCCTCTTTATCCTGACCATTGCATAGGGAACAGTATTAACAGATGCTTGCTATCAGGGTCGTAGCAACCAGGGGGTGGGGTGGGGGTGAGGGGGATACGTCCCCCTCACTTTTAGAGACAAATCATTTAGAAACTATTAATTAATGATTATATTAACGCAAACTTTTGGACTCATTCTCATTCAGCTGTCCCCCCACTTGTAAAATGTTTATCCTGAAGTTGATATAGCCGCAACATATTGGTGTTTCGTAACATTTAATTCACTTAAGATTTAACAATATGTTTAAAACTCAGCCTCATGTACGTGTGTCAACTCATACATCATCTCGGTCACACATAACCCCTGTACTGCAACAGTTGCACTGGTTGCCTGTTAAGTCATTAAGGCATTGATTTTAAAACCTTGATTTTAACTTATAAAGTTGTTCACGGTTCTGTTCCTGATTATATATGTGATCTGATCTGATATCTACAGCATCTTCTTGTTATTTACGTTCCGCTTTGGGGATCACCTTGTTTCAGCCTCCTTGCAAACTTAGCACCATGAGAGGTCATTCTCCTACTGTGCACTTAAATTGTGTAATGCTCTTCCCACAAACATCAGGAACGCCAGTTCCCTGGACTGTTGTAAGAAACTTCTTAAAACTCACCTTTTTAGTGTTGCTTTTGAGGCTTTTTTCTTATTTTGAATTTTTGCATTTCATGTTTAATTGTGTTCTGATGCTCTTGTTAGCGATTATTTGAGTCTAAGAAAAGCGCCCTATAAATAAAATGTATTATTATTAGTTTTTATGAGGTGGGTTGTTAGCCCAATGCTCAACCCCTAACCTGGAGAGCCAGAACATACACACATACACTCTACGGACAATTTAACCTACTGCAGCACTTGTCTTTGGACTGTGGGGGAAACCAGAGTACCCAGAGGAAACCCACACCAACAGGGGGAGAACATGTAAACTCCATACAGAAATGCCAACTGCCCCAGCTGGGACCTGAACCAGCAAGCTTATTGTTGTGAAGCGAGAGCGCTATCCACTGCACCACCACGCCGCCATTATTATTTACTTATTTTCAATATAACTGCTGTCCTAAATACTAAATCAGAGATGCCTAGCACAAAAATCATCTGATAATGAAATCCTTTTCATGAAGTCAGAGATTCAAGCGAGCTGGTAAAACTGGACACGTCAAAGCAACTGAACAGCGAACACTGAAGAGCAAATCCATCGATGTGCAGCTCCACAAGATCCGAAGCAAGACAGTGGCGAGGAACAAAACTTCACCAATTGATAAAAGTGTGAGGAAAAAAAACTTGAGAGAGACCAGGCTCAGCTGGGCACGACCACTTCTCCTCTGGCCAAACTTCTTGTGCAGAGCCAGCAGGCATTTATCCAGCACTGGCATACAGCATGTGGGGCAAACATGGCCCGGATTTGGCAGAGGTGGCACTGTCAGAATACTTGGGCCAGATGTAAAACGTAGTATTAGACCCAGATGTTCTTAATTGATATGTGGGTCGTTTAGCCTATCTTGAGCCACATTTAAAATATATTCTTATTATTTTCAAATAAAGAACGAAAATTTTACCAATCGGATCGCTTTGAGAAAAAACACGCCTAAATTGCAACCGGGTTCATTAATTTCATTGCAGTAGTGACAAACCAACAAATCTGGCCCAAGGTTAACTTGGCTTCCAGACTTGGCCCAGATATGGTCCATGTTTGGCTATTGTCTGAAAGCCAGACTTGGTCCAGTCATGTACCGTAATTCACTATGACGTGGGCCAAGCAAAAGCTAATTGCGTCGCCACTGGCTTGCATGGTTCGGGACCTGTAGAGATGCACATCGATAGATTTGCTCTAACTCTCAGCAGTGAATATTAAACCACACTGAACTGAACTAAACTGAACTTAAACTCTGACAACTGGACTCACACTGTTGCAGTGTACCATAATCTTCTATGTGAAGCTGCTTTCACACAATCAACATTGTAAAAGCGCTTTAGTAATAAAGATGAATTGAATTGGGCCAGGTAAGGCAGTGGCAGGCATCCGCTGTGTAAAAAAATTGCTGGATAAGTTGGCGGTTCATTCCGCTGTGGCGACCCCGGATTAATAAAGAGATTAAGCCGACAAGAAGACGAATGAATGAATTGGGCCAGAGCTGGGCCAGAGATATTTTGCTATATGTGGGATTTTATGCAAGTGTTTGGAGGGCATCTGAGGTGAATCAGCTCTGAATCAATCTTTGATGTCTGTGATTTATAGTGCTTTCCACACCCCTGAAATCCTCCGATTAAAGACGCTGCTGTGAGGATTACAGAAAGTAAACACCTGGAAGCATGTACACTTACCTGAACCTCATAAAAATACTGTGGCATGGATTGTTTACAGTCATAAAATTTCCCCCTTATCATGGCTGAGTGAATGAATAAAGCATGTTTACACACACACACACACACACATGCACTAACATGCACATACACACAGAAAAGGGAGTGTGTGTAGTGGTGGTGACTCATATTTTCTGTGATTACTGTTTGTGTACACGGTGTCTCCCTCAGACACACACTCTTTTATGTTGCAGAGCTAGTCTTCTGCAAAGTACTCCAAATAACAGATTGTTTCCGAGGTAAATCATAGCACCAGGAAGACATGAATGATCACAAATATGATGCTAACCAAAAATACACAATAAATGCAAAATATTAAGAAAGAAAACTGTATACAGACTCAGTAACTTGCATGCTTGTTAAATAGCAAAACTATTTTTATGATATTAATGTTTTAATACACTTGCGTCTTGAAAATTTGACAAATTATGTTGTGAAAAGGTAGATGTGGGCATTTTAATAAAAGGTTTTTAGTATTCAGTCAGTGGCTGTGGGCTTTAAATTGATCAAAAGTCTTGCAAAAACTGCATTAAAGTTTCCACACGATCTACCACAACTGTTTCTAACACAGAAAACATAATGGAGGTAAAGATCAGATTTGTAGAAGATGTATACAATATAATTGCAGTATGCAAAATTAATATTAAATAGCAAATTGTTGAATATTGTAGCAAGGAATAAGGTCATGTACAGTTTTAAAAGTTTTACTTTTTACTATTTAAAATAGGTCTGCATGATATTGGAGAATTATGATACAGGTTCACCAGATGCTTTGAATGGCTCTGATGTTTTTTTCTGGAGAGTCTAACAGTGTTTGGGTACAGAAATTGCATATTCATGACGGAAAAATGCTCTTCTGAATTAAGAGTTTTTGTCTCATTTCTCGTCCAAATAACCAAAGTTTCTTAGATTAAGCCAATTATTGGTTTGTTATCAGTTTCAGAAGAAATAAGTCAACATTAAGGAAGTTTTTCCTTAAAACAAGCTAAATAATCTCCCAACTGGCTAAGTAAAATAAAATAGTTTTCGGTTTGGAATGAAAACAAGACAAATTCTAACAAATTCTTAGACAGACAAGCATTTTTGCAGTGACAATTTTTGAGCATTTTTTTTTTACGGACAGTTCAGTTTATTGAACTCACCTATAGCGCATGTCTTTGGACTTGTGGGGGAAACTGGAGCACCCAGAGGAAACCCACACAAACATGCAAACTTCACACAGAAATGCCAACTGACCCAGCAGGGCTCAAACCAGCAACCTTCTTGCTGTGAGGTGATTGTGCTACCCACTGCGCCACCAGAAAAGATATATATTCACTTTTATAGTTTGTTGTATAACACATACATATGCGACTTATACAAGTGTAACATATCAGTTTTATTTTTTTAACATGTCCCTTATCTAAATGAGATTTTACAACACTTTACTTTTTGAATCTATTTGGTAATGGTTGTTCAGTTAAAATTATGGTTTTTCTAAACGAGCAAACCCTTGAAACCTTTTCAGAGTCGGCTTAATTCATCTACATAAATATCGTTAATGTGGCTGAAAGACACAGTGAATTGTAAAATGCTCCACTCATGTGTAACTGGAAATTTCTCACTTCCTACATATAAAATTGCACAAATCATGTTTTAAGCTTGATGATGAAGCGGTTATCTTACTGTATCAAACATAAAATATGCTGCAAGCGATTGTTCATATAAATACATTTGCACTATTCAATAACAATACAAGTCAGCAATCACAATAATTAAACTGATAGTTTCTCAGTACTAAATAAGGCTTCAGTGGCCAACTTCCAACTAGAAAACTCAGATTCATGATTATTCTAGCACATGAACACAGCATCAATCACACGCATTAGTTTATAAGAAGACTCCTCTGGGAAATGTAATTTTATTGTGTTTTTGTACTATTTTCTATATATTTTTTCTGATGTATGATTTCTCATACATACACATAATGAGATGGAAATTATTAAGTAAAAAAGACACACAAGACTGAACAGGTGTGGAAGTTCAGTGTGTGAATGTGGAAGCATGTTGTTCTGCAACGCATACGAAAAGCTTGACACATGCAATC